CCGATCGACGACGACGTCGTCCATCGGTCTGACAGTGTTGTTACGTTACTATTCAGGCGGAACACACTCCATCATATTTTATTTGTTTCTATCCTTTTTCTCTTTCTTTTCCCCTTCTGTTTTCTTCTATTTGAGTCTCACTGGGATTCCCTCGAGAGACTCCGCCCATTTTTAGTTGCAGAAAATATGACAGTTTGGAGACGGAAATCAGTTTGATAGACAGTTATCACTTATTGGAACGTAGTTCTTTTTCATTTCGAGTAATTGATAAGTAGCATAGAATGTTGTGTTCTCTTATCTTAAAAGTTGTGGCCCACATCAGTTACTAGGTCAGGAATTTTTAATTGACGTAATTAGCGAAGAGCTAATATAAAGAACCAGAATTACAAAAAGAAAAAGTTAAACATCTAGGTTTTGTCATCTTCCAGAACATATATTTGAAATAGAGTTTCCTTTAAAAAGATTACATTTTCAAAAAGTCGTAGGGTTACATTTCAGTTCAAATCTGAAATTTGGAGCCTATATACATTGGAGTTCTCAGTATCAATTTCTCATATACCGTAAAACCTGCATTAGAAGGGTCCCTTCAATAGAAAGGCTCCTCTAATAGAAGGGTCCCTTAATAATGTGTTGTTTGAATTTAATAATTTCCTGACGATTTCAGTGAAAAATAGTCCAAAAATCTCACAATTTCACAGTAGTTTTGTTGAAACACTCTTTTTTGCTCAAGAACTAGCTCGATTTGATGAAATTAACAGATTTTAATGACTTTAAAACGAGAATTCACCTGTTTTTTGAGGAAAATATTTTGGAAAGTATGGCTGGAACAATAGAAAGGCCACCTCTAATTGAAGGGCAGCGATGATGGAAAGGATGACCCTTCTAATACAGGTTTTACGGTATACTGTATTTTCCGCAAGTATTTTTTGTTCTCTTTTTCTAATTCCATGTTATTAATGTTTTCATTACAATCCCTTTAACCTTTTTTTAAAAGTTATTCATATTTCTGGTCTTCTAGAATTTTCCTGAATAAACCATTTCCGATCTTTGAATAGTTCAAAGTACTGTATAATCCTAGTAGCCGTTGTAATTTTCATAATCCTCTCTTCTCTCTTCCGTATACTATTCCCCACTTTAAATCCGCTCCTCCTCCTCCGTCACTTTGCGTCTGAATTGATATTCTGTAATTCGCAACAACCAAACCTTTCTCTCTTTTTTATATTAGTTTTGGTCGGTGACCTGCTCCCTCCCGACAAGATGTTTGACGCCACGTGGCACCATTATCACCATTGGTATGCCAGGTTGCCACAGAAACTTTCTTTTCCATCACTACTGACTCTCGTTATCATTAATCAAAAGCCTCTTCTGGCTGCTGCCACGCGTCTTCCCCACCGGACGGAGAATGAACTATTATCAGACGAATTTCGGTTTGTCGCGTAGATAGAAGCAAGCAAGCAAAAAAGAGAAAGAACAAACTCTGCTGCTTCGCCAATTATTTATGATTAAAATCGACAGAGCAGTGAAGGGAGAAAGTACGTCCGGGTACTACACTTTATCAATATTTGATTTGAACTTACCAGCATGTTTTTGACAATGGACATAAACAGAAAAATGACGAGAAAAGGATCAGGATCAGATCAAGCCCCCACTCTAATCCATCTGACCGTTCACTTTTATATATATATACAGAATATTATATGTTTGAAACTATGAAACCCGTTTAATAATCTGCCTGTCCGGCGTCTATACCGCCTCGTCCATCCGATCCCCCTTTTCCTTTTTCACCTATTCCGCCATATATTTCTTTCTCGCCGCAATTATTACCGTCTTTTGACTTTTTCTGAAACTAAATCCTCTCAATTTTCTTTTTTTTTCTAGAGGAAATAGAACAAAATTCGAATAGAAGCAGGGAGGATCCATTGAAGGACCTCCGACTCAATCATTCTCTCGATCCGATCACTTGCGGCTCGGCCCGCGGCTCCACACCCAATTAAAATGGAAGCAGTTGAAATTGATGAGCAAGATTGGGACTTTTGGGATGATAATTATTTGGATGAGGAGCCAACGTATGCGATCAGAGCTGGAAGAATGGTTAAGGTTGAAAGGTTAGTTGAAAAATTACAAAAAATTGTTTGAACTGGATTTTCAATTTTTGAAGAATCTAGAACCTATGAAAATGTTTGCTTTATGGATCAACAGAAGGCCAAATCATATAAAAATTGAACTATTGAGATAGTTTTAAGCTGCTCAGTTTATTTATAAACGCTATGTTTTCATATGAGTCTAAAGATTTGAAGGGGGATTTCGAGCAAAACTTTTTTGTATTTTTTTGCATTAAAATGTTTCCAAAAATAAGTATTTTTACAATATTATTTCGAAAAAGTTTAAAAGAATCCGAAATCCTCGAAAAAAGCCGTTGAAAGAGACGATGATTTGAATTCCCGCGCAGTGATAAATCTAGGCCGCGGAGGCAGGTCGTTATTTTAAAAGTGGCCGACGGTGGGTTTTTACGTTTTTTAGATGCCATGGCCTAGATTTCTCACTGCACGATAACCCAAATCTTCGTCCCTATTTTCCATCTTTCTTATTTTCAGCAGCTTTTTTGGAGATTTCGATTTTTTTCGAAATAATATTATGAAAATACATAGCCTTGGGAACATTTTAACCTAAAAATAAACAAAGCTTTGACTCGGATTCCCCGTTTAAACAATCTTATTGTCAAGTTCTAAACTTGTGTATTATCTCTCACTCAAAAAAGTAGATAAATGTCTAGTTAGTTTCTTTTTCTTCTATTTTTGATTGTTTCGTAGAAATTCCTTTCATGGCTTTTTTGTCTTCTTTTGACCTTCTGACGTCTCAGTTCATTTCTCCGAAGCTCACCGATCACAACTCTTTTTTAGGAAGCGATAGTAGTACGTGTTCTATTTGCATTTCAATTTGTACAGTCTATTTCTTTCTCCCTCTCTCTTTCTCCACAGTTCAGTTATCTGCATACCGCCACGCAACCTCTTTTAATTTGCAATTTTATCAATGGCAATATTACTCTCTCTCTCATCTCACGCTCACGTTTTGCGCCTCGAACGAAACGAGAGGAATCGCAAAAGGAGAGACCGCACAACGTCTTCCGATTCAGATGACGTTGGAAGAAGACACGTGGTCCCGAAAGTGATCCGCGCACGAAGATTGATCAGTTTTTGATTGGTGGATGGAATAGGGGGAATGAACGTTGAATGATCTTTGTGATTTGCTATTTGGGGGAGGAGGTTTAAATGGAGATGATGGTTCAAGGACACTGATCAATCAGAATGGAATTGAAGAGAAAGAAGGAACTTGTTATTTTTGACATGGTCGAACTAAACTGCATCAATATTAGCAATTGATAGCTTCTGAAAAGCTAAATATTTCTAGGTGATAGGAAAAAGAACAATATTATGCTGGAATGCAAACATCGGAGCTGAAACTACCGTAATTAACAAAACGTTCTTACTTTAATATTTCTCTGTCCGTTTTCCTGCAGTTCTTTAGATTTAGAAACATTTCATTTTTCGTTTTCTTTAGAGGTTTTCAACACACAAGTTCGGAAAAGCTACAAAAATCAAGAAAAGAGGACCGAAAATTTAAGGTTACAGTAAATTTTGATACGGGGACCGTTGGCCACGCCCACAAGCTCTTTCAAAGCTCCGATTTTTTTAAAGCATAAAAAAGTGTCATCAGAGAAAGCTCAAATTTCTCTGAAAATTGAGGCAAAATGTTAAGCATCAAGTATTATTTATAGCTCTTCCATCTGAAATCACGTTTTGCACTTTTCACCCATTTGTTATCTATATTTGTTACCATTTGAAAACATGCATATACTTCAAGATCTGTCTACTACGCCCACTTAATATATACACTTCCTGATAAAGTTTTGTTAAATTTCTTACAGTAACCTTTTTCTAAACATGTATCAGTTATCTTATCTGTCTCGTAATATAAATTTTTATCGAAACTCGTTAAAAAAGTAAAAGAGCATGATTTCTCCGACATTGGAGATTCGTAGCCTCTGCGATTCAATTAGCCAAATTCGATCGCTTCCACAAACACTGACATCATCCGTCCTTCCCCTTCTTTTATCATTTCCTTCTGAATGACCTAGAAACCAATTGGCACGTCTGGTGAATAGGAAGAGGTGATGGTAATAAATTGTATTCAAAAAAGAAATAAAGAGAAAAAACAGGGATAAACGGCGCGGAAATGGTTGTGCAAAGAAGGACTGTAAGAGGTTCTTTACCTTCTCTGCGCCTGTTTACTTCCCTTGTTCGGTCGAGATTTCGGGCACGAAGCGCATCCCTTTTTCTCTCTGTTTCTCTTTTTTTGTCGAATACAGTGTCTTCCTAACTTAGGCCCTTATTTTGTTCTTCTTCTTCTTCTTCTTCTTCTTCTTCACCCATCTCATCAGTGTCTTCTCTATTTCCCCCACTTGTTATCAGTGAATCGCGCTTTTGTCGTCTTCTTTTTCTTCTTCTTCTCCCCCATTTTTAGTTTCAATGTCACTTCGTTTTGTAATATTATCATAGAGCGATAAAATATTCCTTGGAAATTCCCCTTGGCTGTTTTGTGGAACTTGATGATCAAGTTTTGACCCGAAAAGTGTACTTTCATTCTATCTATTTTTCTTGAAATTATCTGATTTTATCAGTTCATGTCATTGATGCTTGTTTCATTGAGTTTATTAGATTTTTCACGACTCTATGAAAAACTGCAAATTTTTTGTTTCTAACTTCTTCTGATTTCCCTTTCTTTTTTTTAAATCAATTCAAGAAAACTCTTCAAAAGTCACAAACTCCCGAGGGTTTACAAATCGAAAAGTAACCCTCTTTTCGTGTTCTTAATCACCTAAAAAATGCAAAGCCGTGCCGCAAAAAAAACCGTTGCAAAGATCAAGAAATCATCAATTTCCCTGTCAAGGACACCAACCAATGATATACTCTAGTTCATTCTCTAATTGCAGAGTTCCAATCATGCGAGGAGAGCTAAAAATCGGCGGTGCCACGTCATCATCGGGACCAGCGACCTCATATGTGATCCGTGGAGATAAGCAGCCATCGAACTCAGGAGGATCACCAACTGGAGACTCAATTTGTGCTGTTTGTGGAGATGGACCAGCTAAATTGCATTATGGAGTGTTAGCTTGTTATGGATGTAAAGGATTCTTCAGAAGGACGTTGACTGGAAAATATCGATATGCATGCAGATTTGGAAATAATTGTATTGTTGATAAATGTGAGTTTTTGAAACAGTTCGTGAGTTTTTGTGAGTTTTTGAAACAGCAAATCAATTATTATATTGTTCAGACCAGCGGAATAGCTGTAGATTTTGTCGATTCGAAAGATGCATTCAAGCAGGAATGGACCCAAAAGCAGTTAGGCCGGATAGAGATCAAACTGGAAAACAGAAAGTTCCTAGGATAAAGAAGAAGCAAATCGATGAAGATCTTTTGAACCATATGGTAGCCTTCATTGTGGCTTCATCCATCTCATAAAAATAATTTCAGATGAGGCTACAAGGGGATGATTGGTCACGGAAACTTCCAGTTGAGACAAGAATACTTCTGATGCAATTGATGACTATTGAAGATAAAGTAGTAAAAGGAGATAATAATATGAGTGCACAGAACACCGCTAAAGATCCTAAAAGTATCTCTCTTCGTGAAATGTTCGAATCAAAACCAGCGCTTGACGGAAGGCGGATGGAGATTGGATATGAACCATTCAGAATGGCGAAAACGGAAGAACTGGGAGTAATTGCTCATCGAAGAGCAATTGCAGCTGTTGATTGGGTTGATTCTCTTACCGAAATCGCTGATGCAGTTGACACAGAAGATAAAGTGGCACTAGTGAAAAGCTGCTACTCTCCACTGACGATTTTCAACTTCTCCGCAAGAACTGCTCAAAATACAAAGAATCCAGATATTCTTTGTCTTTGTAGCCATTCTTATGTACCCAGACGATTGCCTCCAGAGTTCAATGAAACAAAGTGAGTGTTTTGAGAATCAATTAAATATATTTTTCGAATTTCAGTCATCTCTCAAACTTCTTGATTGATCGAACATTGAATGAATTGGTAGCTCCATTGAGAAAATTGAATTTGAAAGAAGAGGAAATCGTTCCACTGAAAGCGATTATTATCTTGGATCCGAATGCCAAAGGACTCTCCGAGCATGCGAAACAAGCGATTCTGGAACTGAGAGACAAAGTTCAAGATATGCTTTTCCAAATCGTAAAGGAACTTCATCCAATCTATTCAGCTAGCAGTAGATTTGGAAATCTTTTGCTTCTTCTCCCAACTATTACGGTAAGTAATAATTTGCCATTTCGAATCTTTCTTGAAAATATGTTTTTATTTTCAGACTCTTTCCGGTTTGATGTCTGAAAACATGCATTTCTGTCAAGCACTCGGAGGAAGAGCCAGTGGAGATAATCTTCTAGCTGAAATGTTTGGAGATCGAGTATTTGATGATCAGATGATAAGCAGCAGTATCAGTCCACCACTTTTTGAAAATCCAGCTGAAATTTGTTTGGAGGTATGAAAAGCAGAAAAGATCACATTGTTCTCTTATCTTGAAAGTTGTAAACTCATTTAAACTCATTAAATTTTCGAATTCGAGTTTCGGTGAAATTAAAATTGTGGCAAAAATTTTGATAAGAAACGCAACTGTGCAGTGCAATACAAACAATGTTTGCAGAGTATTTCTCCACCGATGGCAGATCGAAGATTCATTAAGAAGACGGATGTGGCAACGCAGACAAATGAGGACTTGTTGTCTTCAGGACCATATCTTCCACACTCGAATTCATGCACTTCCTTGCTGAACTCTGGATATTCACCTCCAATGGTAAATATGAGATTGAAAAAATATTCAGAGGGCTAGAGAAAACATTTGAAGTAGAGGGAACAAAAAAATTAAATACATTAGCAGTGCGTTTCAAAGGAAGGGGATTTTTCCAGAGTTAATTTTGATGTTAGGGTATGAATTCTGACATAACGGTGTACAGTGTTCAGTGTTCGAAGCATTTTCTGAGCTTCGGAAAGTTTTCGAATATTCTATTGATCTGAAAATTCGCATTATTTTTTCAACGCATGCCAACTTTCCCAGTAACACGCTCGCTTCTGTTGAGCCGCTGTTCAGCCGCCAATTGTCCGTTCAGAGTTAGAGAGAGGTTTTTGATGAAAATTAAGAAAACAGAAAGTTAGAATTTGATTTTTTAGTCATTCTGACAATAATCTCAAAAAAAATCACATTTTTCCCAATTTTCGAGTGGTTCACCGATGGAACATCGCTGACCCTTCAGGGGTCTTCAGGCTCCCCTCGCCCGCTATTGAGACTCGCTGCTTTACCTGTGTAGCTCAGCCGGTATCAGCGCCGCACCTTCAATACTACTCCCACATGTTCAACTCCTTGAGAGGCTTATATGAAAAAATTGAGAAAGTTATTTTTTCATGTGCGGATTAGATTCATACATAAAAATTAACCGAAAATTTTTCAGTTGTCATCCTCACCATTCCCACTTCTGGATGATAATGATGATGCTTTCCAAAACGATATCAGTTTGACTGAATTGAATGGATGCGAAGAGTTCTTCAACCAACTTTTGGATGATCAACCAATGCTCGACACCTAACAACCCTCCACTTTTAAAAAGATCTTCTTGCCCCTCTTTCAAGATTCTTTCTTCCCATTTTTTGGTGTACATATCCCCATTTTCTATACATACAATATACATACATAGTAAGTTATTGTCCCATTTCTTCATTTCTTCTCATCACCAAATCCCCAAATGACAAAAAAATCCCGCCACCTGCTCGAAGCAAAATTTATCCATCGTCATTCTCCCAGAATACCCTCCCACAACAGATTTCCATTGACAAAAACAGAAAAAAAGCATCACTTTTAATTCACTTTTTTGCAACAAGATCAAACGTCTCTCTCTGTGTCTTTTCCCTCTCTCAAATCCAAACACTCTCTCTCTTTCTCCGTTTACGTCTGTGAATCCCAGGTATCAAATTAGTTTTGAAAAAAAAAAGAAATTTATCTGTTTAGTTTTTTGTGTATAACTCCTCCAAATAGTGTAGATGCATCCTTGTCAAACACCAATTCTCTTCCCGGTTGGGTCCTATTTTCCATCCCTTCCAGTTCTTGTATTTTTTTGATTTTCCAGCTGTCAAATTTCTCATGCTTTCCAGATTTTATATATAAAGAGTTTTACTAGAGAATACTTTATTGAGTCAGAAAGGAAATTTTAGCACATCTTTATTCTAGAAATTGATTTATGGATTGTTCATGGCTGATTTGGAAACCGGTGGTGGACATGTGAGGGTGATATCGATGGCTTGATGATCCGGTGGAGCAAACACCGGGTGAATCATAGGTGGAGCATTCGATGGCGGTGGTGGTGGTGGTGGAGTCAATGGAGAAGGAATCGGGGATGGCATCGGAGATGGCATTGAAGAAGGAGTAGCCATCGGAGGAGGAGTAGAAGGATCATCTGGAGCCGGTCCACGATCTGAGGTTTGGACTTCGAAAGGTCCTGGAGGTAGAGCAGGTTTCTTGGGAGCTGCTGGATCAACAATAATAGCCAGATTTGGTTCGGAAATCTCTTGGGATAGAGAGTTCTTCCGGCCCTTTCCTTTTTCATCTTTCTTCGCTTTCAGCTTTTTTGCCTTCACTTTTGCGTACGTCTCCTTGAACTTGGCCCACTCTTGTTCATTTTTTTTGAGACCTTTTGAAATAAAATATTCTAGAACACAACGAATCGCATAGACATATTGGGAAAGAGTCTGAAAATGATTTAAAGTTTTTTTTATTTTTAGGCAATTTTCGATTTTCTACACACCTGAACACTTTTGGCACGATCTTTACGAAGAAGTGTAAATGCATCTTTTGGGTTTTGAGGCTTAGAATGGCGGAGAGAAGAAATTAGAGATTCGATCAATACAAGAGTGCCAGTACGGCCAACTCCAGCTGAGCAATGGACGATGATGGGTTGCCTATAAAACAATCCACCTTGGATGGATCAAATTTACAAAATCTTGGAACCCACCTATCTTTGCGAACAGATGAAAGAATGCGAAGTGAGAGATCACATGAATCCGGCATCCCTTGATCTGGCCATGATGGCCATTGATAGTGGTTCAGCTTGAATTCCTTGCCAGTCGATTTCACGACAATTTTTAAAGATCTTTGAAAATATTTTTCTTTTCCACTGGCATCAGGGACCTGGGAAAGTAAAAATTATGAATCTTGACTTTCTACAGTAACCTCAATAACAGCCTCAGTGAAAACTTTGACTTCATCCAACTCGTGCATACCTACAGTTTCCCTAAAAGTTGATACATTTTCAGATGCTTCAAAATTAATCGTTACGAAAAATATTCGCAGCATTTTTCGAATGTTGGGATACCGGTTCGAATCCTTGTACTTGTAGCAGTTGACACATTCAGCTTCTGGAGTCTCATTACTGACAGACTTGTAGTCTTTGTGCAGTTGTGGTGGAGTGCTCAACATCACAGCCGACGCCCATTTTCTGATCATCTCAGCTCGTTGCTCTTTATCCTCCCTGGGATCACTTGCAAACTCATCCTCCTTTTCTTTCTCCTCTTCTTTCTTCTTCATTTTCATTTCATCCTCTTTCTTCTTATCCTTATCCTTCTCCTTACCCAATAAAACTTTAGTTTCAGAAAGAGCATTCATAGATGGCTTTCTAGCCAACTTTGCAGTATCTTCCATGAACTCCTGCTGCTCAACAGAACGCTTGCGCTCCAACCCAACTGGCTTATCGTCTTCTTCCTAAAACTCAAAAAAATCGAAAAATCAGAAAAAAGCTATGCTACCTCTCTGCTGATGGTTTTAGTTGCTGTAGTTTTAACCCGTTTTTCAGTGGAACCTCTCTTCTTTAGTCCATTTTTCCCTTTAACTGGTGCTTTACGGGGAAGATCTGGAGACGTTTGGGGTTTCAGTTTCTCTCCACTTTTCGGTTGATGCTTCTCATTAGTTCCAGAAGTCTATAGAAAACTCGTTAAGCTCTTAAAACAGTTTCTGGCGGATAACCTTCAGCTTTTCTTGAGAACCAGCAAGCTGATGATATTTCGAACGTTCTTGAAAACTCGAAGCTTTCAAATGCTCATTAGAACTAGGCTGAGCCGATTTCCGGGCACCTTTGGCAACTGAAATGTTTATGTGGCTAACAAAAAAACGCAAATAGTAGATACCTTGCTTGTTCGTATTCATCAAGGATTTGTTGATAAATTATATAATTACTTTGCAAGCCAGAATATTGCTCTGAATTTCTATCAAAAATCTTGGAACTAATGGTGAAACTGGATGGTTCAGGGAATCAAATTGGAACTAGGATATGCTCTGATCTTCCGATAGTCTACCAACTTGGATGCATCCTCGCCACGTCCCCAATGTTGGGTTGATCACTTTCCCGAACGTGATAATAATAATATATTTATTTGCAATGCATGGGGGAAATAGATAGATAATTTGGCAAGAAATGGGACCTGTACAAATAAAAGAAGTAAAATGACCAGACGGACCGACAAGAGTCCTGTAGGTCAAGTGGGAGGGATCAGAATATCATAAGGAATCGCTCCTACTCGCTTAGCAAACGCCACCGGACTGCTTAGAATTTATCACCTTACATACACGGTTCCACATAGACAAGTTTCTGTGAAGGAAGCAGTCAAAGTATTGACCGTTGATTTTGAACAAATACGGGGCTCTGTTAGAATGGCTGGGAAGAATGTAGGACGACATAGAGGGAAAATGGTATGAGTTTATAGCAATTTTGTGATAGGTACGAAGAACTAGAAGGGTGCGGCGATGAAGGGTGGTTAGCATAGAGAACTGGCATAGGCGATCGGTGTATGAATTGAAGGGCATATTACATCTCTGGATGACTTTTCCGGTGAAATAACGAAAAGGAGATTCTAGTTTATTGGCAAGTGTGGCATTGGATGGATCGAAAAGTTCACAACCGTATTCGAGGACCGGTCTAATGTAGGTGTCGAAGAGACGGAAATATAAAAAAGGGTTTTTCGATTGGAACGTTTTCAGTATTTGGCGGGACTTGAGTTTAGCAGAGTAGGCAATAAGATTGATGTGTTTGTCGAATTGAAGTTGATCATCAACTAGTATACCTAGGTCCTTGAATGAGCGATGCGGAGTAATGGGGGATCCCTTAATAAGGTAAACTGTCTTAGGATTGCGTTTACCATAATGCATAACGGCCGTCTTATTTTCGGCTAGTTTGAGTCTCCAGATGTCACACCATGCTCGACGATTTCGATACTTCTCTGCATATCCAATGGGTCGGAACCGGTTATTTTTAGGTCGTCGGCGAACGCCGTGACATGGACATTGGGAGGAAAGAGGCCGAGTAAGTCGTTAATGTAGATCAGAAACAAAAAGGGGCCAGTGACACTTCCTTGGGGGACTCCGGATTTGACAACAATCTCACTGGTTGACATTAGGCCATTAACCTTGACGTTGGATGAGCGGTTGCTGAGAAAGGACTCGAACCAAACGCAGCATCGTTCATCAATACCTATACGCCTCATTTTCAGCAGCAAGAGATTGTGTGGGACAGTGTCGAATGCCTTGCGAAAGTCAAAGTAAATAACATCTACGAATTGTTGCTTATTTGCTAAGGTTTTCTGTATTCTGGAAGTGGACTCAAGGACGGCTAGAACACAGGATCGCTTACTGACGAATCCGTACTGATTCGGAGAAATTCTCGGACCGATAACACGCTTTAGCTCTTCAAGGATTAATCTTTCGAAGAGTCTGGAAAGTGCATGAGTGAGCGTTATGGGTCTGTAGTTATTAGCGTCATATTTGGATCCCTTCTTGAATATTGGGCTAACAACCGAGTGCTTCCAGATCTCAGGAAATTTGGCGGAGGAGAAGGATTCTTGGAAGATGAGCGAAAGAGGGATGGTTATCGCATCACTGCACTTTTTGATTACAAGGAAGTTGATAAAATCCGGGGAGAAACCGACTTTTGAGGGTAGAGAACCGATGTGCTTTGCAATATTTATAGGAGAAAAATCAGGACAGACGGCAAAGGGAGCGATAGCAGGGAGGGCGGAGAAAGGAGGTCTTGGGGGCGAGAAGGCCTCTTGGAAGACGGAAGAAAATTCGTTGGCTAGTTCAGAAGCGTCTGAGGATAAGGTGCCATTAACCAGGAGAGAAATGGGACAGTGCGGGGGACGGAGTCTAGATTTAACGAAATGGAAGAGTTCTTTGGGGTTCTTGTTGTTGATAATAGAAAGCTCCTCCCTTGCACGCGCCCTCTTAACTCGATTGAGCTGTCGCCGAACAAGCAGTTTGAGCTGGGGTCTAGGGAGGGACGGGTTGCGACGTTGGATGAACCTGAAAACCTTGGGTTTTCTATGCGAGAAGGTTGGACGACGAGCACGGACGGTTGGAGTGTAGAGGACTACGAGTTCGTTGAAAATGGCGGAGAAATGAGCAAGTTTCGAATCAACCGTGGAGAAGAAAGATAGCTGCCTGGGCCAGTTGTAAGAGCAGAGATGATCCAAAAGACGCTTGACGTCACATTTTGTATAGTCTAGACGTTTTGACGAGGTAGTGTTGAGGATGGGTGAAGGAGGAGAAATACTAGGTAGGATTGTTTCGAAGAGGACAGAGGAATGGTCGGAGAGCAGGAAGGGTGGAAGATTCACGGTTTTCGAGATGTGTTGCGGCTTGTTACAAAATACTAGGTCTAAGAAGTTTTCAGCACCGCAATGACTGGTTCTGGTTGGGAAGTCTACTATCTGAGTCAGATCGGATAGTGACATCAGGCTTTCCAGGCCAGCAGGCAAATCATTAGGCAGAAGGTTATCAGAAGACCAGTTTATCTGCGGGTAATTGAAATCACCGAGAAGGAAATTGAAGCGATAACTGTTGCTGAGCAGTAAAGATAGATTGTGAAAAAGTACATCGGATTGGGCTGGTGAGGTGGACGGAGGACAGTATACTAAGACGAATCGGCAACTTATCTGAAGCAGATCGACAGTGATAATTTCGCAGTGGTGTAGGGGGTAAAACTGGGAGCTGAGACTATCAGCCTCTACCAGCTGTATGTCTTTGCGGGCGAATACCGCGACGCCACCTCCCTTGCCTTTAGGGTTAGGGGACCGTCTGTCGAAGCGAAGACAATGAAGGGTCGAAGATGAGGAGAGAGAGTCAGGGACGGATGGGGAGAGAAAGGATTCAGTAACAAAATGAAGGTCGATCTGGTTGTCTAGCATGTCAGAGTGAAGTACTTGGAGGCGTTCTGCAGATGCTATAGATCTTACATTGGAGAGTTTGCAGGAGAGATTTATCACAGCTGATTTGACTGAGGAAGCAGGTAAAGGGTTCGTTTTAGGGAGGGGTTTCAAGGGAAAGGGGGACAAAACTGGGGCGGCGATATGACACGGGGAGATATCGGAGACGGGACGAGGTGCCACGGTTAGACAGACAATAACATTTGAATGGACATTTATACTTTTAAACAGACGTTGAGACATGCATGTGGTATCATGATGGTAGATGCCCGAGCGGGTCCGGTGGCAAATTTCCTATGCAGAAGAGGAGGGAGCGGCTCCCTGTGCAGGGGCTTTGGGAAGGGGTCTGGGGTTTGGGCTCTCAACAATAGTAAGGTCTCTAACGAAATATTTGATAACACCGGCTTGGGCGTTGGCCTCCGGCCTAACCTTAAATTTTTCTGACAAAACCTATGGAGCGCCTCCTAGCCGAGTGATAATGCGATTCTGAAGCTATCACATTTGAAGAGACTTTTAATATTTTTCGATTTTTCTGTATTTACTATTGTCTTCCTTTGATTTCCAGATTTTTTTTGGAATTTTTGCAAACCAATCGCCCAATGTTTATTCACCGAGAACAGAGAAAGAGCGTGGTGAAAGGAGGGACACAGAGAATGGCCTAGTATTTCACTCCTGGCCGAGTTTTTAGTTGGAATAAATTGTGAAATTTGAGTTTTTTCCCCCGTTTTTAGCTGAAGTCAGCTTTCTCGAATTTTAAATTTTTTTCAAAAAAGAAATTCCAGACACCTGGGCTATTAAATGAGTGCCTTACTTCAATATAATAAAATCAAATACGAATGTAGCTGCGGAAAATGGCGGACACTCCCGGATTTGTTCTTCTGTCGGCATTGCTTCAAAATAAAGTAGGCTAATTTTTTGTCACCGACTTTAAAGTGATTTTTCAGATGTGACGACTGCAGCTGTAGAGAAATTGATGCGATATTCTGTCCACGATGCCTAGACACCTCTAGTCCACCAGAAGCAAGACTCAAGAAACATAAATGTACAAGTTGCAATGACTGTCCAAACTGTGGTTAGTGTTTTTTCTGAAGATTTATAAAATTTTCTTTCTTTTTCTTCAGCTAACGTTCTAAGCGCGCGAGTTGAGAACGAGAAGTATTATCTACATTGCCACCATTGCCGCTGGTCGACAAGAGATGCGAAACAAGATGATCGTGAGAGTAACAAATCATGGCCAACGTTAGTAAAGAAGTTCATATATAGAAAATTTATTTGAATTTTTTCTAGGAAAGAAAATCCGGTGACAAATCATCTGAACGAAGTGACGGCGTATATGAAACGAATGGAAGTGATTGAGAACGCTCCGAAGGATTTGAAAAAGGGAAAAGGAAAGGCTTGGTCGGCGATTCATTTAAAAGATAAATTCGGAGTTCAACAGATGGTTGAAAAACGACGGAAAGCAATGGTCCCTGAAATGAATCCATTAAAGGCTCATGATCCCACAGAGGTGGGTAAAAAATTCGATCAGATATTAATAGTTAAATTTAAATTTTAGGCTCCAACACTTGAAGAAGAAATAGAGAATCGTTCGAACGTTTTGCGATCCCTTGATCAAATTATCATGCAGCCATTGACGAATTCGAATGAACTTTTGTTGCCAGTGAAGGTACCCTTACAAGGAAGAGTTATGGTTCGATGCGATGAATGCGAGAGAACACTTGTTAAACGAGATTTTGGAGTCGCAACTTATAAATTCAAAATATCGGTGAGTAAAATTGTTCCCTCCTCCCTCCGAAACTCAATCCCTAATTTCAGTCTTTCGCTCGCGAATTCATCCCCGACATCAGAATGTCTCGTCCTGTTAAAGAATTGAAGATTGGAGAAACAGCACATGTTTTCCTGTCGGTCACTAATCTGTCCTCATCTCCATTAGAACTGACTATCACTCCGCAGTCTGGGGAAGGAACGATTAAGTGTTCCAATGAACCGATCCAACTGAATCTGCCATCATCGAAAAGTATTGATTCTGCAGCAGGAGGAGTTCATGCGGAACAAAGGTGAATTATTGTCAAGGCATCCTCATCCCTATACTTTGATTTTTCAGCGATGTCATTGTATTCCGTCAGCATAATCGAGTTGGTCTTCGATTGGATGTTGTCCCGACTGAATCTGATCTGACCTCTCCTATTTTGGATCTTCTGCTCAACTACAAACAAGATGGCTCTTTTAGTATCCTGGCTGCTAGCGAAAAAGTACTGAAACCCGAAGAATCTGGGGTCGATCGAATTCTGCCAGCACACTTGAGAATAAGCCTTAGTTGAATATTTCATGTATAATTATTATTACCTTTTGTTATTATGTGCCTAAAAAAAATAATTTATTTTTTAATTTTCAATGCGGTTTTTTCTATGCTCTATTCATGAAATTTGAAATTTTTATCCAAACAAAGCTCCGATTCGAAACATAGTGACAACACTCCTTTCAAGTTCTGTAATTGATTGGAATGTCTTCAATAAAAATTAGAAACAACAACAAAAAACAAGCAAATAAAAGCATCAAAAGTCGATATTCTGACAAGCTGTCGCTTTCTGTTGACCAGGAGCAGGCTCGTCGAATGCAGGTGGTAGATGCATTACTCTGATTTGGAATCCTTTTTTAGAACTAGCTTCAAAAATTAGATCCAGAATAGGCGGGGTGTGTGTTCCAGCAGACATCAGTCGAGGAAGACTTTTGAGATGGAAATATCCGTGAGCCGTTCCCAGATGCCTGAACATCTTTTTTTCTTGTTCATTGAAAGGCATCAACTGAATATGTGTATCTGCTGCTGACTCCAACTGTCTCCATGTGTCGTTTGGCATTCGATGCGAGTTGGCAACAATGTAAATGACGGCATAACTGGAACGGGCAAGTGAACGAAGACAGCACAAGAATCTACCCAGAGATTCGTAATCTTCCCAAATGTTCAGATGAATGTTTTTGAGAACAACTCTCAGCAAATTCTTCTTTGGTCCGCCTGTAAATAGTTTATTTGAATATTTTCTTGATGTTTACAAAGCTTCACCTCTTCCTGTGGATTTTGTATGAGCCTCTTCTTTTTGGACAACTTCACAAAGTATTTTATAAAGACCACTAAACGATGGAATTTCTTCGTTGTAGACATCAACGTTGGAGTTTTCCAGATGCTTCGAAAAGTCATACTGATTTCCAGATGGCCCGATTTCTGATGTAACTTGTTTGACATTCCCATATCTCCAAGCAATTTTCATATCATTATCCGCTTGTCCTGGTGAACTGGGAATCTCTTTTTTCTGATCATCTTCCGCTGCCTTTCTCGTTGGAATCACTTTGAGAATCGTTTCACTGACATCTTCAGATGGGTCGGCGACAAAACAACGGTGACCATAATGTAAACCTTCAGCCAAGAAAGAACGAACAAGATAGGATCCATAACATCTGGAGCGATATTCATCTGAAATAAATAAGTTTATTATAAAAGAGAAAATGAATCAAACCTATGAGAACAATGCTAGAATTGACGAGAGCTCCACCGAGAAGAGTATCGAAAGAATCACATCCGCTGGTAGTTTCAAGCAACCGTTTTTTCGTCGAGCAACCCGGAATTTGGACACTGTCACCGATATTCAACATCTTTAAAATTGCTATTTTTCTGTGGGACAAAAAATTGAAAAAAAGGCTCTAAAAGGAGAAAAAGAGCGGTATTAGACCGGTAACCATAGAAAAACTACTTTTAGAGATGTAAAAACTGTGTAAAAAATTTATTGGAAAAAACTAATTTTTCGAAACAATAAAACTAGCTAAACACCCGCAATTTAAAAAAACGGGTCAAGATTAAACAACTGCAACTTTCTTTCTATCGTCTCCACTCAATTGCAACTCTTTTCGAAGTGCTTCACGAGCGTCCATTTCTTGTCTTCGACCCATCACAACTTGGGATTTTACTGTTACGAAAGCTCCGAATCCGATGAGAATGATTATTAAATAGGCCATCCATGTGTTTCGGTGATTTTTATCGAGGTCGTGGCGCCCGACGAGCTGAATGAAGTCAAGTTTTGAATTGTAAGCTGCTGAAAAGGCTTACCTCGGACCTATATGCCCATTTCACTTTTTGCCCATCAATGATCACTTCACGATTTTTGACTGCACTTCTTTGACGAATTTGTTCTTCGATAAGATCCATATTTCTGCAAATCAACATAAATTCCATCAAACTAGGTATTTAAATGTCTTACGTGATATCTCGCTGATCCTTGTCTCTATGAAGATTCGGATTTTTGGCGGGAACAGTACAAAGACACCGTCTAAGTGGGATAGTTTGAATGACTCGAAGCATCGCAGAAAAAGTCCGAAATTTCTATTTCCTCAACGAAAAAACTTGAGAAAATTTGACAACGACACTCCGAAATAACGCATGCGCGCGCTGTTTATCGTAAATCATGTTTCCAGATTTTCAGCTCGAATTTCTGATTTTCAAAAAAGTTGTTTTTTTCTCATTTTTTCAATAAATTTATTTCATCTCTATTAGAAGATTCGCATTAAGAATATATAATATAAATTAGATTTGTACATAAAAACTAAGTATTAATAGTTCTCAGATTCTCTTCCTATCATCCTTTTTAGTTGAATATCCATAAAACGTTGCTGCAAGTGGCTGTCCTGGCAAAACATGTGCGTATTCCTCAAGCCATTCTCCGAAATTGAAATCATCCATTGCAATCCTAGCCAAATCCTTCTGCGACCATGTGTCGTGTTGCTCAAAAAGTGCCAAAATCATGGTGTGCATACCAACAGGTTTATCAGTTTCGTCTGGTGGCTGATATGAAACTGCAGATTTAGTTCTTCTGTGGATTTCCAATTGACCGTCGAAGGCAGCAATATTTGCTACGAGCCATGTGACAGCTTTTGAGGTTGCATCTGTCAATAAGAATGATGATTTTGTAAGAAAATGAGGTTTACCGGCTAGAATGATAGTATAAAGCTTTTCATCTTGTAATTCAACTCCGGCAGACATTATTGGAGGATCCGCAAGTTTCTCAATGATGGAAGCATCGAAAAGTTGTCCCATTGAAATTTGTTCATCACTGAATGTTGCCTAAAATTGTTGCAATTTCATAATTAATATCCTATGTTTATTCTTACGATAAGCTCATAAGCAGGTGCTATTGGGAGAAGACGAGGAACAATTCTATTCTCACGGAAGGCTGAAAAATTTCAAAAAGTTTTTGAGGGGGATCACAGAATTTCTCACTATGCTCTGGTTCCCTGTACTCAAGAGTTCGGTTTGGTTTGCAGCAAAGTTTTATGGAGTCATCTCCTAGACTTCCTAAGCATCGATAGCCACGAGGACATTGTGAATCCACTGAGTTTCCGCATGGGAGAAGAAGAGTCTCATAGTATTTGGGACAGGCTAAAAGAAAAGATAATCGTGGTCGGAAACCGGAAGGACCGGGCGGCGTCTTCTTTGACACGTGGCGGCTAATTAATGCCGAAAGGAAGTACTGTCTCCCACTCACTTGGAATGTCGGCATCTTTTTTGTCCTCACAGCAGACATATTTTTGACTGCGTAATGAGTATTGGCACACTGGGTTCCTTCCTGCCGGGCAGTTCTAAAATAATCCTTATTGTAGTTTAACCTAATTGATGTGTCAAGTTACATGATCATCTGGATGACATTCTATAGCTCTGGATGGTATTCTGAGTGTTGGTTTGCTCATCTGTGCTTGTTGCCATGGTCGGACACAGTCTGAATTTGACCATCCTTTGACCATGTGGGAATCTAAACTTCTTCATTAAACATTTTCTTAAAAATTTATGTCTTACTGTATCGGGCACCTAAACCTGCGGTGGGCACAAGAAGCATAATCAGCACTGTGTTTAGCATGATGTATCAATAGCAATACGGCAAATAAGGCAATCGCCATGAAATGTAGCATTTTTCGCAGATTTTATATGCCTGCCGCGAGCCGCCGCTCCTCAAAGCAGGAAGTGGTGTTTGTTTATATTTACGTGCTCAAATCCAGGCACAGTCAGTCTTCAATCAGTTTTAAATCCGCTCGCAAACATGTGTTGCCTAACACTCTTGTTGACCAAACTTGGAATTCGAAATCGAATCGGTTGAAAAAAAGCCTTATCTGAAGGTTCTCATAGAGTCTGAGGGAAAAGAGAAAAGATAAAGGGTGTGAACACAAAGACAAGGTCTACTTGATCTGGCGATAATTGGGCATAGTTTCTTTCTCATTGTGTGCTCAGTTGAGGATACGATCTTTGAGAAATCGGAAGATCAAAGACGATATGAAAAAGAATTCACTTCTTAGAAGTGGGTGTCTGGTATTCTGCAAACTCTTCAAGAGTAAGACTCCCCAAGAATAGATTTTCTCTGTTTTTCACACGACTCCACATTTGACACATTTGTCCGAACGCCGTTACATCTGTTCTCACATTTCGGGGTGACTATCATGAGTGATGTGTCCGGGCAAGACATCTATTGAACTGTCACATATTTTTATTACGGTACTTGCATGAAGAATACGATAACTTGTTTAGATAACATTTCACAACTGATCTGTTGCTAGCTGACTTTTTCCCTGTTTGATAGTTTTGTCTGGCACTAAAAATACTCGAATTTGAGCCTATTTCCGAACTTTTTTTTTAAATCTGGAAGCTTTCCATATAGGTTTTATCTGAAAGTTCCACACTCCAGTTACAACCTTTACCAAGTTATTTTCTATTTCCGCCCCATTAGTGCCAACTATCTGTGAATAGTGTTGCGGAAGAGTAAGACGGAGGAGGGCACATGGGCGGAGTCCGAGTAAACGGATGTCTCACGTTCATACTCCTCCCATTATCATAACCATTCACCACATTCCTAATAGTGATATCGACTCTGTTATATGGTCTTTCTTTTATTGCCGAGCTTATATCCAATGGTTCTGTTTCCCGAAATTCGTATATTTGAAAAAAAAACTTCAGATAATTATTTAAATCTCGATATTCCTCGTTAATATTCTATGAAAAAATAACCCCTATTACCGTAGTTCCTTCTCAACCAAATCGTCCACTTTGAGCTCAATTATCTCGCTTCCTGTGAAAGATATCAAGATTTTGTCAACAGATAAAATACTGGTTATATCATGATGAATATTTTATCAGTTGACAAATTTTCGATATCTTTCACAGGAATCGAGATAATTGAACTTAAGAGGAAATACGGCAATAAAACTTTCTTAACTTCATCCACTGCACTTGTTTTCCCAGAGTCACACTTCTCACTCACACTATCTCTATATTTCATATTTCTTACTTTATTTTAGGAGTCTATACAACAGAATTGAAATACAAATAGATCATCCATCTCATATTTCACCATTGACTCCTCACTCTTGGTAATTATTACACTACTCCAGATATATCTTCATCTCTTTATGAGCTATCACCCAATTATCGTACACTTCCCTCTCTCAGAGAGACAGTATCTCCCCGCCTCCTTTCACGATGCCATCCCCCTTTTTTTCAGCAATGGACCGAACGTATGCAGAAATAGAGAACGCGTACTCACAAATCACCACACTGTCACCAATGACCGCAACTCCAAAAAAGCCAAATCATCAGAATCAGATGCGACAGAGTCAATCACGGAAGACTCGACATTTGAGAGAAGAGTTCGACAGCAGACTTCCTATCGAATATCGGTAAGATTATATATCACATTCAAACCAGATATCAAAATGGTATAATTTTTCAGCTATCCGAAAAGAAACAGCGTGACGTCCTCATCGACGACAAGAAAAGGAAGTCTGGTGAGCAAGAGTTCGTCATCTGGATACTCATCGTCTGGTAGTATATCTTCTATCACAACTGTTGTCAGTGGAGTGAAACCGTACCGTCCGAAAAAGGAAGAAGATTTATTCGAGAAAGAGGAAAAGGTTGAAGTCATTGAACTGGAAAATGAGCAAGTGGAGAACAAAGAAGAAGATCCAGTATTCGAACTGCCAAAGAAGGTTCGCGCATGTTGTATCGAATGTCGAGAGAAGGAGATCAGAGAAGAGCTTGATCTGGAGTCCCATCAGTATGCTAATATTCAATCAATCAAAAAACCACAAGATCCATACGGTAAGCTATTCTAAACCAATCAATTTCTGTTTTATTTTTACAGTATTCCTTATGACAACGATGCTCTCCAATTTACAAAAAGATGACGGTGGTCGGAAAATGGCAAAAGTTCAACAAAAGATCGAGAAAGTACTGCGATTCAAGCCACGCGAACCATTCAATGTCGACAACAAACTGATTTTTGATCGACAAATTTGCGCTTTCTGTAAGTCAAATCCTTCTAGTTTCTTCCATTTTCAACAAGACATTTTCAGCATCCGACGTTACAGTTCGCCTTCAAGCAATTAATGACATGGCACCTGAAGCATATCGTGACATCTCCGCCAGATTCTGCGAAGCTCTTCATCATGGAACTCCAAACTCGAAAAGCCTGAAAAGCATTGTGAAAGGCGTCAAAAATTTGCTCAACTTTTAATCATCCTAAATCGATATTATGTAGAGATTTTATCTCAAAATATAATTCATATTTCGAATTCAATAAGTTATCACTTGTCCTAATAACTTTCATTTTAGAACCCTATCTATCAGTCCATAAGTCCATCATTCACTCCTCGTGTCAAATGATCCAGTTACGAGTACAAACTTCTTGTAGACGGTTAACCAATTTTCACCATTTTTTGTTAAACTTTCTCATGTTCAATTCTTTCCTTCTTGTCATAAAGTTGATGCCTTGCTTGTTGGGTTGAAGGATGAAAAAGGGGGCGATGAAATTGATGGGAATGGGAAAACCTCTCTATTGTTATGGCAACCGTAAGATTGCCGTGGGATACATAACTTGAGGCTGTTGTGTTTTGGGGGACAACTATTATTGACTAATCGTACGAATAAATAAGTCAAAGGTCTCAGAACGACAACTATAGTAAACTAAAAAAATTTTTTTCTCGTTTTTCACTTATTTTCTTTGATTTTTCTGTTTATTTTTTGGCAAACAAGTCGGAAAATCAAATTTTTTAATAGCGAAAAATTTACTGAAAATGTATTATCGCTGTCTGAGAAAAAAAGGTTCAGAGCGGAATATCGCGCAAAATTTATCTTGAAGGTGCAAGTAAACCTACAGTGCTTTGAGCTGATTTTCTCGATTTTTCGACGATTTTTGCCGTTTTTTCAATGTAAATCGAGGAAAAACAATTTTAAACGCTGAAAATCATCGAAAAAGCGACGAAAAATTGAGAAAATAGGGATAAAATATTTGAAGTAAATAGTTCTCAAAGTACGGTAGTTTCCGCACTTGCGTCTTTATGAAACATTTTTTTGAGATATTTCGCTCTCATTATTTTTATTCTGAGACACCGATAATACGGAAATCAAGGAAAAAACTCGAAAATATAAATATTTTTAGGTTACGGTAGTTGTCGTTGCGGGACATTCGGCCACGGCCACCGGTGTTTCTCTTCTAGAGAATTCTCTTTCTCTTCTCTTTCTCTTTCTTCTGTTTCTCTTCTCTTCTGTTTCTCTTCTAGACTCCAATTTTTGTACCATTACAATAAAATCGAAACTGTTCAATGCTCAGCCAATAACAGAAAGAAATAATAGGTCAAGTCAAAAACAAAGAGTTTTAATACTCAATGTTTTGTTTGATGATTCGAAAGTGTAACAGATAAGAATAGCCAGTCAGCTGATAGCGACGAGTTCCATTTTTTTCTAATGTTCTTCGTTTTCTTTGCGTCTCCGGAAAATATGATGCGTATGACAACCCCCGCTTTCTTGAACTCATGGCCCTTGGACCAAGCGCCTTGGTTATCCAAAGGTCCATCTTCTTTTCCTCCGTTCTCGACACTCCCGTTCGTTGGGTCCCCCAACCAATCGATGACCTCTATTGTTTAGCCAAGCAACGAGAGGAGACGTCCCCTCTCCACCCAGTGCTCTCTTTCTGCCCCGTGCATGTCCCCCGTCTCTTCTTTCTTCTTCTTCGTCTTCTTCTTCTTCTTCTTCTTCTTCTTCTTCTTCTTCTTCTTCTTCTTCTTCTTCGCTCTCAGTAGTCACATTGATTATTCGTCGAGGGGACGAAAATGTGCCTCGTCGCAACATCTCTACGTTTTCCGAAGCATTTCCTTTAACCTAAAGAATTTTTTTCTTGCAGACTACGGTACTGAACCATGCACAGTTTAACCAAGAAAAATAATCCAGAAATGCCGGTGGAGACGGATGAAGACGATTTTGTGATGGTTGGAAAAACAAGCCAGAAGGCAGAAACTAAGGGAGAACCCACTTCTGATCAAATAGAGAAATCATTAAAAAGATGCAGGTCATTTAAAAAAATAACTTTTTTGAAATACAAGTAGCTCCATTTTTCAGAGAACGACTAGACGATATGCCGAAAGACCTACATAAGAATGCCCTCAAAGTAGCCTTGTTCTTCTTCGTCTTCGCACTTGTCATCAGCCTCACCGAGAGAGTCACCCACTTGCAAATTCGCAACAACTCATTGGAAAAGGAAAAGACTGAAGGATTGGAAACGGTACTAAATTGAGATTTTGATCTTTTCAATATAAATTTTTAAAATTCCAGATCTCGCAACTCCAAGACGAACTCGACAAAATGAAGGAGATTGAGAATCAATGGCTTATCAAAGAAGAGATGAAGCAAGAGGCCAGCGGTGCTGAAACTGATCAAGATGAGGATTTGAAATTCTATAGAGAATGGGGAGAAAGCAATCGTGTATTGAAAATGAAGTTGAGACAGACCTATGAGAAATTGATGGAAGACAAATTCGCGAATATTGTAATGCCCGCCTTCTTGTTCATTTTCGCAGTCTTAATGGGAGTCGCCATCAGAGACTATCAAATTAGGAATGAGACAGAAAAGACCAGAAAAGAACGTGCAGCAGTTGCTGCAGCGATCGTCGCCTCCGCAGCCACAGAAGCCACCAAGGAAGAAGAAGGCGTTGAGGAAGAAGAGGAAGAAGAAGAGGAAGAGGAGGAGGATGATAATGATGAAGAAGAAGAAGAAGAAGGTGATCAGAATGAAGACGAGGAAGAAGGAGCAGTCAACGAGGAGGAGGATGATGAGGATGAGGACGATGAGGATGAAGCTGTTGATTCTGAATAAATGTATCATGTCACTGTATATATTTTGATAGCTGTATATTGTACCTGATTTCTTTACTTTATCCTTTTTACGCTGTATATTACGCTGTATATTGAATCATGTATATTTCAATGTATTTGATTTTGATCGTCCCGCAATAAAGTGTCTTTCCTTCGACAATCAGTTTTTTCATGTACCTGTAAGAGAGTAAGATGAAATGTAGAGATGGGATCATAGATGTATGATTTTATCTCAATGGGAAAGAACATAAACCTACTCCAATAGTCATAGTGGAAAGAAGGATCACAGAGCCCTCAAGGAACATAAACTCAAATAGAAGCCCACCCAAACGGTCAACTTCGAGCTTAATTATCTCAATTCCTGTTAAAGATGTCATAAAGTTGTCAACTAATAAATTGTTTATCATAATATCAAAAGTGTTTTGTTAGTTAACACATTTTTGATATCTCTTATTGGAGCCGAGATAATTGAGCTCAAACTTGACAGTGGGAAGGCCCTCCTGTTACTGTTTTCTGTTCCTCTCTGTCTTACAGTAACCCTTCCCTGATTTATAAACATAAATTACATTTGAAAAGCAACTATTTCAAATTCTCCATTACTTTTTCAGAAAAGTTTATAACCCCCTCCCTCTAGTATCAAAATCCCAATCTATGAAACCCTACAACCTTCTGCTCTTTTCTCTATTTTTTTTCTATAATGGGTTTCTAAATCCCCAGCTAGCACGCTGTCACAACGCTCAATAATACCACTTCTTCTTCTTCGAAAAAAAAATCTTCGTTTCTCTTTTTCTCCTTTAAGCTTTCTCTCGCTTCTGCGAAATCAATATTTTCTGTTTGACTGCGTCTTCAACACGAGGAAAAAAGCATGCTCCTTTCGGCAGCAACTATTCTTCGTTGTTCTTTTTTGAAGTCTTGCTTTTACGTTAATTTCTCATGAATTGTATTACTTTCAGGGCAAAATGAGCTTGATAGTTCAGGAGGATTCAGATGACGATTCGTTTGTGTTCGTCGATAAAATAAAGAAGGAGGGAAAGAAGAAGGATGACTACAAAATGAAACCACTCAATACTCTGATCAGCGGACTTAGGTAGTTTAGAGAATCTGAATTTAAAATTAAAAATCAAAAATTTAGAAAGAACACGAACAAAGAGCCAGACTATGAGAACAATGCCAGATTCCTTTCATTTGTGACTCTCGTCGCACTCATCATAGCGTTCACTTTCAAAATCGGAGATCTAACTGTCCAGTACAGAGAGTTGGAAAATGTGAATCGAGCAGCAATGGAGAAGGTTCGTATGATATTTTAAAGCCTATAATGTTGAGTTCATCAGATTTCCAATCTTCAAAAAGAAATCGACAAAAACAAACAGCTCGATGAGCAATGGAATGCTCGAGAAGAGGTTTATGGAGAGCCGAGTGGAGGGCTTGGAAGATCAGAAAACGTGATTTGCACGAAACAGGAACAAGAGAAGGTTGATCTTGAAGGAATTCTCATAGTAATGATTTTCTTTCAGGTCATGGAAAAGGGAAACAAGAAGGAAGCTACAATGACTGCGGAGGAGGTGAAATTGATTTCCGAGGTTTTACATACGGTTGCTGCTGCCATTTACGTCGCTCTCGTCTTCATGGCTCTTCGTCATTTGAGAGAACGGCGACGCAGAGCGGCACAAGAAGTCACCCCGATTCCTGGAACAGTGTCATGTGGCAACAAGAAATAATTGATATCGTTAAAGCACATTCATGTACATTGGTGATCTCATTTTCCATCCTCCTTCCATGCTTTATAATCTCGTTTTTCAAATAAATGCATTATCTCCGTAATGTTCTTAGCTTTATCCCAATTAGAGTATTAAATGAAAGTCGTTAGTTCATTGGGATTCTATTCAAAGAATAACCCTTAAGCTGATTAATTATGTTTTGAAGCACCAAAAGAAGACAAAGAAAGTGAAGAGAAAAAGAAAAACACGATTGAAAGCGTATTTCCAATTATCTCGGTTCTTGCCAAAGATATGAGAAAGTAGGGAACTAATAAATTGTTAATTATAACCTCAAAAACGATGAATGTTCATCACAGAAAAAAACACACTTGTTATTGAAGAGCCGAAGACAAAAACAAAATTATGGTGGGAAATTAAAAAAAAAAATTAGAGCTATTAATTATTCAGGTATCAGTGGTTCAATGTTCGCATCCGTCGGTATATGATTCTGGAAATCTTCTTTTTCATATCTTTGACTTTGATTCTCTATAGGCTACAAACTATATCGAATCAAAATAATCGGGTTTTAGAAATGGTAAGTTCTGAATCAACATTTTTTAGTTTTATGAATTTTTATTTTCAGGGGTTTTCAATGCAGTCTCAATTTGGTGCTATAGAAAGAAAAGTAGAAATGCTAATTTCTCGAAAATCAAATCCAGACAAAAGTCAGTCTGAAAATACCAAACCCCTGGAAGAATCAATTGCTGATGTACTGAAGAATATGAAATTTTCTACACAAGATTAAAAAGTGGAACCAATAGTTTCACAGCAATCAACATCTAAAACTAAAGATATTACTCTTAAAGTTTCTATTTCCAAAGAACCATTCCGATTCAATGCAGCTGATTACCAGAGAGGAGCATCTGTTGATATGGATCATTCTTCCAGTTCAAATTTGAATCCAATAATTGGATATGATCAGACTAATCTTGTTTTACTGTATCGTCCTCAACTGCTAGCAGATAAAGCGTGGTGCTCAAATGCAGAGAATCCAGTACTCACTATTAATTTGGCCAAGTATATCAAACCAATTTCTGTATCATATGAACACGCTCACTGGGAAGGGATTGTTCAGAACGGGGCTCCGAGAACATATGATGTAGTGGTGAGTTTCTTTCTTGGACTTTTTGAAAGATGAAGTCTTTTTCAATATTTCCAGGCCTCTCTTGATTTCTACTGCGAAAAATGGAAGCCATTGGTTTCAAACTGCGAATACAGTCAATATGGATCAAATGAACAGATGTGTAATATTTCTTCTCGTATAGATGTTCCTTTAATTGGAAAAGTCCAATTTCGGTCCCGTGAAAATTATGGAGGCACAAAAATGACTTGTGTTCACTTAGTTCGTGTTTATGGAGAGACGAAAACACCTGCAAAAATTGAAGAGAAGAATTTGAGAAGTGAAGAAATTTATACAGATTTGAGATGGTATTATCATAATAGCTACTTTAAATATATTTGGGTAAGTTGACATTTAATCTTGACTGATTATAGGTTTCATTTTAGGCGAACAAGAACTGTACCGTACTCTATGAAAACAATTGCTGCTTGGAATGTCCCGAATGTTGTCAAGAATGTTTAATCACTGATTATAATAGACAAACTTTCGAAAACATTGGTTTATACACTTTGCTAGTTGTCGTGACAGTCATAATTTCATTTTTCATTATTTTAACATTTCTATCAATTCTATTCTCATGTATCCCTTTCCTTAGACGGTATATTCATTGATTCTTACATTTGTAGTTCATTTTCAAATCTCTTTTTGGGGTTTATACTTTCATCGAAAATTTTTCTCCGATTCTTTTCATACCGGTGACTAGGATATTAGTAAATTCTGATTTTTTCACTATATTGATCTATATTCTTGTTTTTTACAACCGCGAAAGGCTTACCTCCCACAAGACGTTACATCTAATCTAGTTGGGACCTTCAAGTGAAGAAGAAAATTGCAGACGCGTCCTTTTGTGTCCCCTTGTGCCTTCATCTCGTTTCTCTGAGTCTCCAACGAGCATCATCTCTCTCTCTCCCTGAGCAAAACAAAAAAACAGAAGCAGTGAAGCATTCGTAACGTTTTTTTTGTACAATGGTTTTTTGGTATTGGATACAAAAACCAAATAATCGCTATCGATTTCCAAAGTGGTACTGTGACAGAAGACACGAATCTGCTTGTGATTCTTGTCCGGCAAGTTTTTTAACCACGAAGAGCACTTTTGTCAGTGACGAAACGAATACAAAGAAGAAAAAATGGTAAAGATTACTAGAGGAAATAACTTATTCAGTCACTTACAGGTGTCAATATCTGAAATCAAGATTTTGTCATTATATGGTTTTGCAAATCCTCTTTCTTATTTCTTTGATTTTGCTTTTCTATAAAATACGAAGTGTATCCAAACAAAATGATGAGCTAGTAGAAATGGTAGGTACCATTTTTCAGAAAATATTATTTGAAATGAAAATAATTATTATTTGCAGGTCTTCAAATTACAATCTCAAGTTCATAAGCTAGAGAAGAAGTCAGAACATAAAAACCATCGATTTGAAAATAGTGAAGACATCAAACCATCCATATCTGATGTTATTCTAGGCTCGAAGATACAAGGACAAACTAAACCACCCGTTCCGATAAATCTCAAAGATCCTATGATCTCCAATGAAGAATTTCAATTCAACGCAGCAGATTTTCTAAATGGAGCATCGGTGGACAATGATCATTCTTCCAGTTCAAATTTGAATCCAATAATTGGATATGATCAAACTAATCTGGTTCTACTTGATCGTCCTCAACCACCAACAGACAAAGCGTGGTGCTCAAATGCTGAAAATCCAGTACTCACAATTTATCTGGCCAAGTATATCAAACCGATTTCTGTATCATATCAACATTCAAAATGGCATGGCACAATTCCGAATGGGGCTCCAAAAACTTATGATGTCGTGGTGAGTTGATTTTATTTATTTTCTGTTGAAGTTTACCGTAAAACCTGTAAAGCCTGTAATTGAGATAAAAAATTTGTTAGTTCATCACTTTTTGATATCTTGAACCGGAACTGAGAAAAGTTAGCTCGAAGTTAAAAGCTAAGGGCTCTTTATTACAGGTTTTACGGTATCTGAATACTTTCAGGCTTGTCTCGATTACAACTGTGAAAAATTAGAACGGCTTGTTTCTAATTGTGAATACAAGTCATATGGAGCAGGTGCTCAAGAACAGGTCTGCAATATCAATCCTCATCAAAATGTGTCCTCCATTGGAAAAGTTCAATTCCGATTCCGTGAAAATTATGGAAACACAGAAATGACTTGTGTTCACTTGGTTCGTGTTTATGGAGAAACCAAAACTCCTGTGAAATCTAAGGAGAAGAATTTGAAAAGTGAAGAAATTTGTAGTAATTTGAAACTGTATTATCATACAAGCTCGATAAAATACAACTGGGTAGGTTGATTCAAACCAACGATGAAAAAACAAAAGAAAATTCCAGGAAAATAAAAACTGCACCGTACTTTACGAGAATGAATGCTGTACCGAGTGTCCGGAATGCTGCAATGAATGCCTTATAACTGATTATAATAGCAGCACTTTCGACAACATTATTTTATATACCATTTTAGTTATTGTGGTTGCAATTGTACTATTTTTTGCCATTTTAACAGTTTTTGCCATACTATTTTCTTGTGTTCCTTGTCTTATCGGTAGAGATCAGTTGTAGTTACTTATTCTTCCTCGACCTTTATCTTCAATTAAAAGATACTTTGTATGAATCTTGTACAATAAATAAGCTTTCAAAATATGCATTTAGCTCTACTTTTTCCGAATCGATTATTACATGTTTTCATAGCTTGTTTTTTATGTTTCATTTTCTCGAAGTCCGAAAAAAGCGAGGTACCAGGAATAGAGACGCAGAAGACAAAACTAGAAAAAGTGCTCAGCTGAAGTAGAAGAAGCGACGTCAATGTGTCTCCCTTCTCCTTTGCCTCAGCTTCTGTTTCCACGTTTGTGGCAAGTACATGTATATTCAGTAGTACGAATGTTTTCTTTTCAGTTTTTGTTCAAATTTTACTATCCTTTTTGTTTTCGAAAATAAGATTATTTATTTGACTCCGAAAACATATGTACTCTATTTTTTTGGATTTTTCAGCTTTATTTTCTATAATGAAGCCAAGGATATACGACTGAAAATGGAAAAGGAACCAAATCCTCAGGAAGTTGAGCTTTCTGAAACAGAACCTCTGACTTCGAATGCTCCAACCACGAGTTACACGGAAGTTGAAGAAACTGAAAAACCGGAAACTACACCTTCTGATAAGCCACCACGCCGACCTGGAGTATGGTGAGATTCTTCTGAAAATCGATTTAAAAACCCAATTTAAATTCCAGCTGCCGATTCGTATACAGAAACTTTCTTCATTTTTCAATAGAAATATTCTTATTGACTTTATTATTAATGCAACGGAGTAAAAACGACAAATTATTGACGGATATAACAAATTCGAATGTGACGGTAAGTGAATTCTGAACTTGACTTAAACCTGAAAATTGGAATTTTTAGATTCAACATTTGAAGTCTGAAATCCGAATTCTCCGAGATAATCTTGCTTGGGAAGTCACTAGAAATATGGCGAGAAGTTCAAGAATATTGAATCCTGGAATTCAAGCAACGTCAATAAAGTTCAATAAAACTGGAGAGACCGGAAAAAGAGAAATCAACTCCCTCCCGATTCCTTTGGGGATGTACATACGGTTTAATGCAGCGAGCTATATGGATGGTGCGCGTGTCATAAGAAATGAATCATCTGAATGGAATCGATTTTCAAAGTTTTCAAGAGACCAAAGTGGATATGTACTATTTGAAAGAGACCAAATACCACATGGAAAATCATGGTGTTCAGATGGAAAACAACCGTTTTTAACTATTAGTCTGTTTCGAAATACGACACCATTAGCAGTTTCATATCAGCATACAAAAGAATATGAAGGAAAAATTCCATACGGTGCACCGAAACTTTATGATGTCTTTGTGAGTTTTTAGATTTCGATTTCAAATGATTTTGGCTTTTTTAAAGGCATGCGTGGACTGGTCCTGCAACGAAAAGTTCCTGCTTGTCGAGAATTGCACCTATGGGATACCGGGAAAAAGTTACAAAGGAAACGAACAGATTTGCAATGTTACTGAAAGATTATACGATAAGGAAGTAGGAATAATACAATTTCATTTCCGAGAAAACCATGGAAATTCTGAGGAAACCTATGTTTATTTATTGCGGGTATATGGAGAGAAACGGCCTTCAAAACCGAAACGACATCTCCAGAATCCAGAATTGTGCTCAGATATTGCTCATTCTTATTACAATAACCAATTTTTCTATCAAATGGTGAGCAAAACAAAATTACAGTAACTCTAAAACCTATACATGTTCAGAGAAACAAAAATTGCTCATTCCTTTATTCCAATAATTGCTGTGTCGACTGTCCAGACTGCTGCAGAGAATGTGAAATGGAAGATTTCAATTCAATTTATTTATTCGGTTGTATTTATAGATTCACCATATTTTCGATTCCCATGATAGTATTTATTGTATATCCAATTGCTCTTTTGATTCTAGAAGTTTTCAAGTATTACAAAAAACCAAAAGAACCTCCGATAGAAGATAGTGATTGACATATTTCATCCAATTTTTCTTTGTAAATAGTGTATATACTTTTGTAAAGCAACAGTTTGAAGAAGTAGTTTTGGGTTCATAGCAACAATTTATGTTTGGTTTTACCGTAAAACCTCTAATAGAACGACACCCGGATCGTCCACTTTGAGCCTATATATCTCATTTTCTGTGAAAGATATCAAAAAGTGGCTAACTAGTAAAATGTTGCTGATATCCTGATAAACATTTTACTAGTTTACCACCTATCATGACAAATATTTTATTAGTTGACAACTTTTCGATATCTTTCAAAAATGTCAGATATATAGGCTCAAAGTGGACGATCCGGGTGTCGTTCTATTAGAGGTTTTACGGTATCTATTTGGTTGTTGTTGTTACTTTGAATAAATTCAGTATTTATCCCTTATGTAAACTGAAATGTGTCAATTTCTGAAAACCTTAAAATAATTGTTGAAAATAAAAGGGATTACTGTAGGTGAAAATATTCGAAAATCAAAAGGTTTACTGTAGGAAAAAAATTATAAAATATAAAGGATTATTGTAGAGAAAAGGACCTCCGTGAAGCCCTAACAAAATGAGGGCGAGTCTAGGATCAGAGAAAATTCGGAAAGAATCAGTAATCAGTGTCCAACGTCCAAGTTCCAGGGTTCTTCAGGATTGCGGGGGCCTCGTTTCACAGGACATCGAACTTCAACAACAACTTCCAGAATCGGAATATCTGAGCTGTATGAAAGGTAGGGAATTTAGTAAAGTTTCAAAATTAACAGACTTCTTTTTCCGTTTTCCAAAGAACAGGAACTTTTGAAAAAGAACTAGAGGTATTTCCCGAGTCTAAAAATCTATAAAAATGTTGTAGTACTAATTTTTTTTAGTAATCTCAATTTAGTAATCTCGAATAAATTTTAAGTAAAAAGTCACACACCTTTCAACTCCCATAGCGCCAATTTTAACAGAAATTCACAAGTTCTTAAAAATTAAAAATTAAACAATTTTAGGATGTTCATGAAAAGTTGGCAGTTGCAGTTCATATTTGGAAAACCGTCGTGACAAGATTTCCTTCTGACAAGAGGTAACAAAAATGAAAAGTTGAATTCAAAAGTTATTTTTGAAATTTCAGCTTTCGGATGTCAACAACAAGTCAATATGCTCAAGGAACATTCGGAATCGGTGCTTTAGGAGTTGAAAAGACTTTGTGAACTTGATTGACTTTTTTTGGGATCCCACTATACTTTCATTTTTGTGCGCGCATTTGTCGTCGTCGTTGGTTTTTTTTCTGGAATGTCTTCTGATTCCGACCATTATACTCGTTTTCAGTAGTTCTCAGTTTTGAGTGGAATTCCGTCTTCCGTTCTCCGTCTTGTATTCCGTTTTCCAAATAAATATCGCAAAACGGAAGGCTAGAATTTTCGTAGGGTTTTTGTATTTCCAATAAATATTTTTTCGAAACAGTGTATTCGGCTAACTGCAAAGCCGATGCTTAAAATTTGAATCTTTTCCGGCCATTTTAGGCTTCCCGTTGTCCGCGGAAACAATTGTCTGTCCGGTATCCGTCCGGTTACCTGACATTGGAATTGAAATCGTCGAATGTTTCTGTCCAGTTTCCTTGTCTGCCAGAAAAATATTTTTGTCCGTTGTCCTCACAAAAAATTCCACTGTCCGTGCAACTCTGGTCTGGCTAATACGTTAACGAAACGAACCTTGGAACAAATTACAGATATTTGAAAATGATTTTCCGAGAGAAAGCATTATTTTTTCAATGGAAACTTTCATTAATACGGCCTCAGGTTTAATGAAGCGACCACCCAAATTTTTTGAATTGGGGGCTAAAATAAGGGTTGAAAAAATGGAACGGAAACAAGATGTTTTCCCCGAAGTCTATAATTTTGAAAAAAGTACAAAAAATTGAAAAAAAGAGATTGTAGAGACAATCTTCTTCAGTCGCTTATCATTATAACCTTGAAATCCAAATTTTAATAATCTCAGTTTGTCTTCTATCTGTAGAGCCAAACTCCATCCTATTAAAAGAATCATCTTTGTTCAATAAAATGCTCTAGAAAAAAGTCGTCTCAATCCTACACAACATGCAGATATTCCTGCAATATAAATGGGAAAAAGAATGAAAAATAGAACAAAAAAGATGAGGATGAATTGGAAATTATTCAGAAAGTCTCCATCGTTTATTTGGCATCCGGAACAACACTCCGGACATTCATCACAGCATTCATTTGAATACAATGTGGTGCAGTTTTTCGATGCCTGAAAAAAATCAAGTTAGAAGTTTTAAAGTACCATAAGCACTCTAATAGAACGCCACCCGAATCGTCAAATTTGAGCCCATGTATCTCATTTTCTATGAGAGATAGCAAAAAGTGGTTAACTAATAAAATGTTACTGATATCATGACAAATATTTTATTAGTTGACAACTTTTCGATATCTTTCAAAAATGTCAGATATATAGGCTCAAAGTAGACGGTTCGGGTAGCGTTCTATTAGAGTGTTTACGGTATTTCAAGAGATTTAAAAAAACTTACAAGTCCGTTATAAAATATTGGGATTTTCTTATGGAACCATGCCAACCGGGAACATAGACCAACTCGTGATTTTTTAAGCTCCACGTTGTCTTCCTTCTGGTTTCTGACGACTTCTTTTGCTTCTCCATAAACACGAATCAAATATAAACAAGTTTTCGAAGAATTCCCATGATTTTTGTTAAAACGGAACTGCACACGATTCACTGATGGATAGGTGTTGGATATTTGACATTTTTGTTCTTTCTCATTTTTGGATGATGAATAGTTGCAGTTTGAAGCAAGAGCTACGGTTACGTTACAACTTTCGTTGATGCAAGCCTGGAATATTTCTAATATTTCTAATTTAAATTTCAAATTTGGTTCTTTTTGGTCTCACCACAACATCGTAGGTCATTGGAGCATCTGCTGGCACAGTTCCATTCCATTTCGAATGTTGATAAGACACCGCAATAGGTTTTATGTCTTCTTCTAACTTCACCGTCAGAACCGGATTCTTTTCATCCGAACACCATGCTTTACCAGCTAGAATTGGATCTCGATCTAACAAAACATAACCGCTTTGATCAGATCCTAATTTGAACATTAATTTGTCGAGAAATCCGTCTCCAGAAGGAACCGGATTTGAGGATAATTCAGTTTCCACAGTTGCACCAAGAATGAGACTGGCTGCATTGAATTCAGATTTTTTATTTGAACTCTCTGGTTTCACAGTTGGAACAATATTAGTAGTAGGCGTAACAGTTTTAGCAGTTTCTTGAATAACTGTATTTGCTTTATGTGAATCTTCTCTTGGAGCACTATTGAGCTGAAGCTCAACTTGATAAAGTCTCTGCTCGAGTGCAAATATCCTAATTCGGTCGGAATAGATCTGAAAAGTTGACTTTTGGATTTGGAGATAACCTGAAACCCTACCTGAACTAGAACCAAAAAGGCAAACAAAGCAACGACTGCATTGACAATGGGCTGATGGAAAACTTGAAATTTGATGTATCGATAACTGAAAAATACCATTCAATGAAGATCAAGATTACTGTAAAACCTGAAATAGAAGGGTCCCTAATTTTTAACATTGAGGCAATTTATCTCGGTTACTGTCGGAGGTATAAAAAAGCTGTCAACTAATAAATTGTTTGTCGTAATATCAGAAAAATGTTATCAATTGGCACTTTTTTGATATCGTGCATAGCAATAGAGATAATTGAGCTCAAACTTGACAGTGTGGGGGCCCATCTAATACAGTTTAATTGTATTTTTTACTCACAAAGACTGTTCCTTCAATATTGGTTTTTGGCTTCCATAATACTCGTTTTTCTTAAATTGAAATGGATTTGGAGGCTTAGAAGACTCGACATCTTCCAGGAATGGTTTAGTCTCGGAACCAAATTTGGGTTTCATTGAAATCTGCAAGGTTTTTTATAAAATCGACTAGCTTAAAAATATGAGGTAAGAGAAGAGAGCTTTTTTGTGAAAAAGGTCATGCGGAGAAAGCACAAAAGAGCACAAACCCGTCTTCCTCTTTTTCTATCAGCTCTCTCTCTTCAGAATAAGGTTTCGAGAGAGAAAGAAAAGGCATATCTTGAGTGGGACTTCCTCTCCCTCACAAAAGAGTATCGACGTATACGTAAGGATTCTGAAGAAGAGAAGAAATATGAAGAAAAGATGTGGGAATATGGAAACCCCTTCCAAAAATAGGATATTCGAGCCGGGTTATAATTATATGGCTGAGAATATTGGAGGTGGGGAAAACGAATTCAAAAGAAGCCTCATTTTAAATATTAATGAAAAAATTGAATGCATTTTTTCTCCTGAGAAAAAAACAACAGAAATGAGCATAACAACTAATTTTTTTTTCTTATTTCTATGGCAAATATAAAAACAACCATGCCTCCGAAAACAGAGATAATGAAGCTTCTCATCAAAATATGACTCATTTGGATATTCCCTGTAGATCTATGATGGAAAAGGTAAAGTTTTGAAAAAAATATATATATTAACTCAAATTGACAAGAACATTGGGGTCCGCGTCACTTCGAACCTGCGACAATTCGAAACCGGTCATTTCGAAACCATGGTAATAGACACGAATAGATGAATTTCATAGCCAGTCTACAAAAACAATTTTAGGATTTTCAAACATGCTTTGTCTGATAAAACAAATTCTGAAACTTGAAAAATTCGCAAATTTTTCGAATTTCAGAATTTGTTTTCCTCTCCAAGTTATCTAAAACTTGACAGCCAAGCTCCAGACTCCTGAAAATATTGAAAATGACCGAAAATTTACTAAAAATACGTTGCTGTATACATATCTTATTGACCGGTACTGTACATGCATCTTTTGTAGTTTCTATCGAATCTGAAAATGTGACTTTTCTAACATACCTGTTTTATGAAATCCCTATTTTCATTTAGGTCAACCTTGTGTTTCAATCCTTTCTCAATAATAAACCTGTCGACTTTTGTAATCGCTTTTCTTGATAAATCTTTTTAGTGCATAGAAATATTGACCGCTGTTCACTGCTACCAGTATCCCCCTCCACGTCATCTGCTTATGATGAACGCCGCATTGACGACATTGTAAACCTACAGTCAATGTTTGGAGGTGCAGACGGGAGGTTCCATTTGCAGGTGGACCGAAGTGCTCAAGGGAAGCTCCGCCTAGTGGACCCACTCATCTTTCATTTCCTAATGTCATTCATTCTCTCCTCATCTGGTCATTCGTGACTCAGTTGTCCGTTCTCATATTTTCAATTTTATCATACAACGTTTTTATAGAAATGCCAGTCGCTTGGTCGGGACTCCCATCACTCGTTCAAGAAGATATTCTCAAGGAGATGTCAGCCGAATCTACATTTTTCTTGTCAATGGCTTCCAAAAGAACCGTAGATTCGATGAGCCGCTTTAGAAACAAAAACGTATCTGGAATCATGATGGTTTTTGGAAAAGATGCAGTTGGAATCAGATTTGAGACTTCCGACAAAAATTTCTTCAATTGCGAGAAGATTGCATTCAAACTGGATACGTTCCCAAGGTAAACTATTTTCTCTACTTCTTCTAATATAAATGTTTAAAAATTTCAGAATCACCGGTTTGTATGCAACAAATGATAACAAAATTATATCCGAGTTCGTCTGTGAATCCAAGGAAAATATTGTCTCGGAAACACATAATCATCTTCTCGATCTGTTCAGAAAGTCCCGGAATCTGGAATTCACCGTCGCTGTTTTTGACTTCAAGAGCTACAAATGGATTCCATTTGTAAAAAGAGCAAAAATTATGGCTGAGAATGTTGGAATAAGTCATCTTGAAAAGTTCATTGATAGTCACTCGGATCTAGAGAGCATTCACTTGGAGAGGAAATTTATTGGACATATCTCTCCAGAATCGAATCTCTACAATATCAATCATGTTTCTTTGAACGCGCTCAAGTTTCCATTCAACGAGTTCATGAACAATTTTAAAGGAAAAAGTGCTGCACTTCAATGCTCTGGACATCTAAACGGCCATGTTCGTTTGTTCATTCGCAGTTGGTTGAAAGGAGGATATGCAGACAATGTGAAAATGTTACATGTTCTTCGTACTGGACAAGAAATATTTTATGATGAAATGTTGTTGGAGTCGTTCTTCGATGAAGTGACACCCTTTGAACAAGCTGGAGTCTCAAGAGAACTCCCAAGTTTTAAAGAGTAAGTGAAATTCCGTAGAGAATGATTTTTCAATTTTAATTTTTTCAGAATCAGAAAACAGTTCGAAACGCTTCCTAATTGGTTTCAAGAAACCGATAGAGATATGGTGATCGAGAGAGAATCTGACAAGAAGAAGGCGCTAGTTAAGATGGGAGCAAACGATTTCATCTTCTTGGTATTGGACGACATCGATATGGTAAATGTTTGAATGTTTTTTGTTTTTTTTTCTGTTCGTTGTTTTTAATAAACTTTTATGAAAACCTGCTGAACTAATGGAAAGCTAAGGAATTCAAACCCAACTAATGCACATTTCTAATTGAAGCGGTTATACAAACCTAAAAGAATCTGTCCACATTTCTCTTTGCGAATCCTCGTTCAAAGGTTTTTTGGTATTCGCGTTTTTTACAACCCTTTTAAAAAACCCCAAATTGACCGGAATGACCATATGGATAATGACCAGCTGGACTCGTGACAATTTCATGAATTGCGCATCCATTTTTTGCTGTTTCTTCATGGTTTGTTTGCTCACCGATTATCACTTTTTCCTGTGCCGTTCTGTTTACCCAAACAAGCAAAAAAACGAGATGTTCAGTGCAATCGAGATGGATTTTTTTTGGTCTGTCGGAAGATCAACATCAAAACAACAATAGAAGAAATGGAGAAGGCTTGAAATACCGTAAGACCTGTAATAGAAGGGCTCCCACTGCACGGCACCGCGAACAGGCGCTAACAAAAGTGGGCCTCTTTGCTCGTCACATCTCGTCACAAAATTTGGCCCACTTTTTAAATTTTCAAAATCTGTTTCGAAAATTATACCGTCTTAAGCGTTTTTGGGTCGCTACTCAGCTTTCTTGCGCCGCTACTCAGCTTTCGACCGCCACACCGACGCGCGACGCATTCAAAATTGCCTCACTGCCTAATTTCAAATAGATGCCCTTCTGCGATGCCATGACACTGCTCAGTTTGAGAAGATTTTTCTTGGCTCCTATGCAAGATATCAAAAAAGTTTCTACTAATAAAATGTTTGTGATATTATGACAAACAATTTATCAGTTCACAGATTTTTTATATTTTTGACAGGGACCGAGATAAAGTAGTTCCAAGTTATAAGGTCTCTTCTTTTACGGTATTTAGAATTTTTCAGCGCATACTTTTGATGAGTGTCTGTGATACTCTATGCGGTTGGAAAGTTTGGGATGAAGTGGTCAAGGTCAAAAAATAAGAATTGGATGATGCAAGAAAAAATCAGGAAGTGGAGATAAGGATAACGACAACAAACATTCTCAATTGCATTGGATGATAAAACTAGATGAGACAATTTCCCCTATTTTCCATAACAAAATACCATAATCTGCTCTTGGCGCCCTCCTGGGAATCTAATTACAGAAATTTAGAGAAAATATCAAATTTATTACAGGTTTTACAAAATTTTTAATATACGAAATTATTACAGTGAAATGGTCTAGTGCTTTCCTCCATGACGTCCTCCTCTGAAGTGTGGACGGCTTCTCCACAAATCGAAGAGCTCTTCCTTGGCCTTCTCGCTCAAATCTCCCAGAATCTCGAACTTCTGCTTGTTCAATGCCTCGATCTTCTCGTGAGCAGTCTTGGCCTCATCAGACAATTTGGATTCCTTCTCCTTGTATTCCTTATCCTCCTTCTCCTTCTTCTCCTTGAACTCCTTGAACTTCTTCAAGTTATCTCCAGAAAGTTCCTTCTCAGCAAGAGCCTCGATCTTCTCTGGTTTCTCGCTCCACTTGATAGATTTGTCCTTGAAGATCTCCTCGAACTTGGCGAGAGTCTCCTTTGGAAGTCCCTTCAAGAATGGAAGAGTTGGTCTCTTGTGAAGGTTCTTTCTGGCGTCTTTTGGAAGAGCATCAATGACTTCACGAGTCAATCCTTGTTCCTCATAACACTTGTCTCCCTCTTTGTAGTCCTTCCAGATGTCGTTGATCTTCTCTTGAGCATCCTCGGGAAGGCTGTCCAAGAATGGTGGGATTCCGCATGGTGGAGATCTCTGGAAAGTAAGATCTTATTGTTAGAATTCAAAATTGACAGAGAAAATAGGTAACTTACTCTGCCTCCTGGCTTAGCGTGAACCGTGGCGATAGCCAATAAAGCGACGAATACAACCTTAGAAATCATGATTGACTTGATTTGAAACGAGAAGAAGAAACCCCTATTTATACACGGCCTACCGTCCAGCGAACATAATGAAATAGTGTTGAAGACGTAGAGGATCGAGAGGCTGGCAAAATAATGATAAATTTCATTTGGAACAGATCTTTTGGTCGTGTGTTGTGTCAAGAAACAAAAAAGTATTTTCAAAAGATAGGTGAAAGAGAAAAAAGTTTACGGAAGAAGTCAGAGAAGTTAATGTTGGATAGATCAGAAACTGGTACTGATGTTGTTCAGTTTTGGGAGAGGAGTTTTGAATTCAATAGTCAAAGAGTGGTCTAGCAATAGTGGAGTTCTGAAATTTCCAGACCTGCATTCACCATATATGTACAGTAACAGTTTAATGAGATTTACAAAGATGCATTTTTCAGTTGATTTTCGGCCATTTTGATCATTTTTAGGCGCCTAGAGCTCGGCTGCCAAGTTTCCGATAACCTTGAAACTTTTGGAGGTCATAAAACAAATCTAGATTGAAAACTTTGCATTCACAGAAATTTTAGAAAACTCCTAGTTTTTCAGGTATTCGCCTATTTCTGAAAAACACCCATTTTTGACCAGTTTTTGTACTTAAAACAGATGTATTTCAGAAATCGTCGAATAGCTGAAAAGCTAAGAATTTTCAAAAATTCTGTGAATGCAAAGTTTTCAATCTAGGTCTGTTTTGAACTCTCCGATTCATTTTTCATAACTTTTGCTCTTTTTTTATACTTTTGCTCCAAGCCACACCGTAACTTGTAATAGAACGTCACCCAATCCGTCTACTTTGATCCCATATATCTGGTTTTCTGTGAAAGCTAATAAAATGTTTACAACTGATAAAATGTTCATTACAATATCAGAAGTGTTTTATCAGTTGACACTTTTATGATATCTTTCACAGGAATCGAGATAATTGAGCTCAAACTTGAAAGTGTGGATGTCCTTCTATTACAGGTTTTACGATATATCTGAACATTTTTGATCCAAATTTATGAAATTTTATTCTTAACTACACTCCAAGTTCTAATTCTACCTAATTCAAATCCTAATTCTTATTCTACATTTGAAGTAGGTCTGATAAACCGGTTTTCCCTTTGATTCTGAACTACATTATCATTTCACAGTTCATCAAAGTTCAACCTAAAAATTGGATTGTGTACTTATTTGATTCATTTTGATAAGGATCTTTATTTTCTTGAGGTGAGTCTTCAAATGATACAGAACTATTACAAAAGACGACCAGAAGACGTTTAGATCTTCTTTGGTCTTCGTCGAATCATCCGATGACATCATTTGCCAAATGAGAGAGTTTTTCCTCAAGTGAAAGCATCCGTTTTTTTTCTCCCAAGTGTTCGCTTCATTTCTTTTTTCCTCGTTTTCTCAAAAAAGATCGAAAATGGACATAGGAGGCGGTACTTGAAAAAACAACAACAACGGTTTGAGATCAGCATCAAATGAGATAGTGTGAAGGGAGAAGAGAGTGCAGAGATCGAGACGAAGGAGCACTGTTTGGCGAAGGGTTCGGTTTCCGAGATGATGCTTTTTTGTGGTATAAAAGGTCTGTATTCCGGTGGAAAAGGACATCGGAGCTCAACAATGATTTCTAAATTCGCAGCTGCTCTTCTTCTTCTGGCGATTACCATTGAGGCTAAGCCTTGCTTCGGAAGATGTGGATTCGGAAGAGTGAGTTTCTTTTTATAGTTTGAAATTTTTAATTCACAAAATTTTAGCCACCACCACCATGCGGACTTCCACCATTCCTTGAGGATCTCCCTGCTGAGGCTCAAACCAAAATCACTGAAATCTGGAAGGACTACAAAGAAGGAGATAAGTGTTATGAGGAGCAAGGATTGACTCGTGAAGTTATGGAATCTCTTCCAAAGGATGTCCGTAAGAGCATCCATAAGAGACCACCACTTCCATTCCTCCGTGGACTTCCAAAGGATATCATCGCCAAGTTCGACGCTATCTTCAAGGATAAGTCCATCCCCTTCGCTCAGAAGCCAGAGAAGGTTGATGCTCTTGCTCAGGAAGTTCTCACTGGAGACAACTTGAAGAAGTTCCAAGAGTTCAAGGAGAAGAGAGAGAAGGAGGAGCAAGAGTACAAGGAGAAGGTAAATAAAATATTCTTTTGTGATTTCAAGTTAAAAATTTTTTTTTCCAGGAAGCCAAGCTCTCCCCAGCTGCCAAGGAAGCCAACGAGAAACTCGAGGCTCTCGGAAAGCAAAAGTTCGCCATCCTTGAGGAGCTCGACGAGGAAGTCAAGGACGAGCTTTTCGATTTGTGGAAGAGTCGTCCACATGGACCACCAAGACCACGCCACTAAACGATTTACATGACACTTTCTGTATATATCCACTATTCGAAACTGACATATCCAGAATTTTATAACATATTTATTTAATAAAGAATTCTACTGAAATCAGATTTCAATACACCGTAAAACATGTAATAGAAGGGCTCCTTAGTTTTTAACTTTGAGCTAATGTTACCTCCAGAGGGCCCTTCTATTAACTTCGGTGAATTCTCATTCGAAATGTATTCAAATGTCATAATTCCACCAAAATTTAAGAATTTTTTGAGCAAAAATGAGTTTTTCAACAAATTTCTGTAAGGTTGTGAATTTTCCAGAGTTTATTACACTGATAACGTACGGAATGGGTTAAATTTAAACGACACATCTTGATTGGGGCCCTTCTATTTCTTCCAAGCCCCGATCAGAGGGCCCTTCTATTAGAGGGGTCTATTAGATTGGTGTCATACAGGCTTTACGGTATTCCCATCCACAACATCTCCGAGTTTTACATCTTCATAATATTTCAAACAACAAAAAGAACGAATCTACAGTACCCCGTTTTTCCCGAACCCTTTATTTTTTTTTCTTTTTTTTTGACTACCGGATACAAATTTAAGTATAGGTTTACTTGAAAGAAACACATCTGTCCCACTAGAAACCCCCAAATTGTCTTGTGTGACAGAAACCCAAGCAGCATAATCTGTGGATGAGTCTTTTGGGAAAAGAGACATTCAAGTCACCACCATCCGTCCTCACAAATGCAAGAATAAATGCATTTGTGCACGGGGAGGGCCAGGGATCGATGCTCGAAAAGAAGAGAGAAGAGACTTAGAAATAGAGAATAGAATAGAAGCTAAAGAAGAGAGGAGAAGAGAAAAGAGCAAAAGTTCTTCTTCTTCTTCTACTTCTACTTCTTTTTCTCCGACCACCTCTTCTTCTCTATTCATCTATAAAATGACGTTCTTCTCTTCTTCATCATACAAATATTCGGCGCTATCACAAAACGATCCGGAGGCACCAGAAGAGGAATTGGAAATGGAAAGTCTTGAAGGATATTCTGGAGTTGTTGATTTCGGAGATCCGAACCAAAGCGTAATGGAATACGGAATGCCGGAAGGATCGTTCGATTCGGCATTCACATATGCACCATATAATGATCTTGATAAAATGGGTTATGTGGGTCCGAAAAAGTAAATTATTGGATGAATTATACAGTTTGGAAAAATAACATTTTCAGACAAGGAATGGTTCTTGGGAGCAAGTACGGAAACTTTACTTATTCAAGGGATTACGGGCAAGATATGGAAGAAAATGTGAGTGATTTATTTTCCAGAACAACCTGAAACACGCAAGCAAAATTTTATTACTGTAAAACTTGTATTAGAACCTGTAATAAAAGGGCCCCTTCAAAATAAAACATTTCCCTACGTTCTCAGTGTAAAATACACATCAATAGGTTCAAATACCCTTTTCTGCTCAAAAAATTTTGAATTTGGGTAAAACTTATAGATTTTTTTTTTGAATTTTGAACGAGAATTCACGGATTTTTCCAATGAAAATTCATGGAAAAAATGGACGGAAAAATATACGGGCCTTCCGGAGGTACCTTCGAACAATAGAAAAACCGGCCCTTCTAATACAGGTCTTACGGTATGTTGGTCACAAAAATCGGAGTTTTGGCCGTGGCCGAAGGTACCACCATGACAACTACAGTAACCTAAAAATTGTTATTTTCCGGATTCATTTTCACGATTTTCGTGCATTTTTCACAGTCAATTCTTTCACTGTCAAAAATGTTTATTTGGCGACTTTTCTGGAAGAAAATAGCTGAAAAAATCTACAAAAGGTTGTAAAAACCGAGAAAATGAATCCTGAAAGTAGAAACATTTTTAGGTTACGGTAGTTGTCGTTGTGAGTCCCACAGCTCCTACTTTTTGTACCAGCATAATAGTAACCCGTTCAAAACATTTATCGTTCAGATAAAACCCCTATCCGCCGTCGAACTTGTGATTTATGGTTTTTCAATGCTATTCGTTGTGATGACGATGCCATTATCTCTTCTATTCGCACTCAAGGTAAGTAAATTGGAGAAGACCGGTTCTCTCCACTCATCTCCCCGATTTATAATTATCTATTTCAGTTCATCTCGACAAGTGAAAAATTAGTGGTTCTCCGACTAGGACGGGCTCAGAAAACACGGGGACCTGGAATCGCGTTGGTTGTGCCTTGTATTGATACCACACATAAAGTAACAACTTCCATTACTGCTTTCAATGTTCCTCCGCTACAAGTGAGTTTCGATCACCAATCAGATTTATATGTACCAACTTCCAGGTTATTACAATTGATCGAGGGTTGGTTGAACTTGGAGCCACCGTATTCCTTAAAATCAGAGATCCAATTGCTGCAGTTTGTGGAGTTCAAGATAGGAATGCTTCTGTTAGAACACTTGCCAACACTATGCTCTACCGATACATCAGTAAAAAGAGGATTTGTGATATTACGAATTCTCAAGATCGAAGAATCATGTCTGCTAATTTCAAAGATGAACTTGGGACATTTACGTGCCAATTTGGAGTTGAAATTACGGATGTTGAGATGTCTGATGTGAAGATTGTGAAAGAAGGAGAAAATATGGGAATGGCTGCGTTGAGCAGTGTTGCAAAATCTGATGCAGGGCAGCAGTTATGGCAAGTGATTGGACCTGCGTTTGAAGATTTCGCAAAGGAGTGTGCCGCAGAAGAGAAGGCGAAAGAAGCAGCACCTCTCGTGGACCTATCTGATGTGCCATCCACTTCCACAAATATCCCAACATCATCTTCGACTGAGCCTTCCATTGACATCGATCATCTGATAACTGTGGCAAACATGGCTATAGATGAACATCTAGTCCGGTTGATTGGAAGGGTCTTTCAAATCAATTGTGCAGACGTGGATCCTATCTGTATTGATCTCAAACATGGAGCTGGAAGTGCATACAAGGGAACAGCATTGAATCCAGATGTCGTTTTTGAATCTAGTTTCGCTGTATTCGGCAAGATAATTACTAAAGAACTTTCTCCCGTAACTGCGTATATGAATGGAAGCTTGAAAGTGCGAGGAAGCATACAGGAAGCCATGCAACTCAAATATTTAGTTGAAAGGATGGCCGATTGGATTTAATTTCATTGGAAATACTCTTTTTTCAATTCAAGTTTAATTCTTTAACCTCAATAAATGTTTCTTATGCGTAAATATCGAATCCCTCATGAAAACGGATTTTATAAGAATCTTTGTCGCATGAATTTGTATACAAATTTGCACGAAACAAGCTTTTGCGCGACGATAAAATGTCCATATCGAGAGCGTTCATCGGGAAGCGAGCGCATTCAGTTTAAAGGGAGGCGCTGTTTGCCGACCGGCGGGTCTCGCCACGAACGACTAATCGAAATTACACGTGTGTGGCTGGCTGGGACGACATCCAGCAAATCAGCATTGCTTTTGCCGATTTTCATGATTTTTCATGCTTTTCGCGCTAAATAGGTCGATTTTGATGTACTTTTTCGTTTTCAGCAACTCTTTTTGCTTTGAATACATCCGGAAGCGCGCAATAACGGCAAGAATAGCGTTGTTTATCGAGCCAGTTTTGTCACATGCTTTGTCATGCATTATTTTTCTCCTGAACTTTCTTTTCGTATTCCGTTTCTCACACATTCTCATTATACCTATGTGATTTTCAGGTGTTGAATCGGCTTCAATATGGGTTTAACAATCTCATCTCTTTTCAATCGCCTCTTCGGCAAGAAACAGGTTGGTTTTTTAAGGATTTTCAAGAAACACGACGTTTTCTCCAGGTTCGTATTTTGATGGTCGGACTTGATGCTGCCGGAAAAACAACCATCCTCTACAAGCTGAAACTTGGAGAGATCGTCACCACTATTCCAACTATTGGTAAGTTTTCTGAACTTTGATTTCTGCTGCCGTAATCGGTAAAAGATTTATAACAATCACTGGAAAAAACGTGGGGGATTTATCCTTTTGAAAAACGCTTGATTTTTGCGATGAATGTCAAATAGCTTTTTCCAGGTTTCAACGTTGAAACCGTCGAATACAAGAACATCTCCTTCACTGTCTGGGATGTCGGAGGTCAAGACAAGATCCGTCCACTCTGGAGGCATTATTTCCAAAACACTCAAGGACTCATCTTTGTCGTAAGTGATTCGATTTTGTTTGATTTTTAAAGTGTTTTACTGTAGGTCGATTCAAACGACAAGGAACGTATCGAAGAGTCTCGTGAGGAATTGCACAAGATGCTGAATGAAGATGAACTCCGCGACGCTACTCTCCTGGTCTTCGCCAACAAACAAGATCTTCCAAATGCGATGACTGCTGCCGAATTGACCGACAAGCTCGGACTTCACAATCTTCGTTCAAGACAGGTGAGTGGAATTCGAGAATCCGCTTTCAATTTCTTATTATCTCGGCATAAAATCTTTTTTCCGCAAAAGAGCGGATAGAGCGAATTATTTTCGATCTTTTCGGAGATTAATTCTTAGACTGGGAAGAAAAATAGAACGATCCGATCTCTCAATTCATGAGAACTTTTTTCAGTGGTACATCCAAGCTACATGCGCTACTCAAGGACACGGACTCTACGAGGGTCTTGACTGGCTTTCCAACCAATTGTCGAAAACCTAATTGCACAACTTTCTGTCTAAAGTTCCCATCTCCAAAATGTGTAAATCCTTGTCCCCATAAATATTTATCCTAACCAACCACCACTACAATCCACGCAGCCGTTTTAAAACTAAGTGTTTTGTTAAATAGATTTTGATTTTTTGATGGCACTGGGCGCTTCTTTTTTCTGTGTGTTATTGGTACCCCGTTTCTCTTCTCTCCGTTCCCCCAACAATCGGCCCGGGCTTCGTCCTTTTTATGTGATATTTGGCCGTGTTATGGTCAACCTTTTCTGAAACCACCACGGTGTTCTAGTCGGAGAGTAATCGATGGCTGGTCCACCTCATTCTCAACAGTTTAATTTATTTTCTGGGTTTTGATGAATAATATTTTTATAAAAAATTGTCCTGAATGAGTATGTGGTGACTGTTTTTATTTTATTCATTAAACACATCGCTAAGTATAATAAATTTCGAAAAAACTTAAAAGCACGAGAGCGTAAGAATAACATACGATAGCAGAAAATGCAAGAACAATATATGAAGAAAGCAGGTTGACAGGAATTGTGAACTTCAGGATCACCAAAGTGGCTTGCTGGAGAGAATATGGGCCTTTCTGGCTTTGGCCTGATGAGCTCGGTTGCTCAGCGCTCCTTGTGGAGTCATGTCAGCATCGACTGGAGCGGCCATCGCATTTCCCTTGCTTTGATGTCCACTGACAGCGTGTTGAAGCCAACGAGTGTCAGTCATTCCAGTTCCCAACCGACGTGGAGTCATTGGACGACGCCATCCATCTGGTGGTGACTTCTCTGAATTGAAAATTCTATACTTGCAGCTTTGGAAATCAACCGTACCAACTCCATTCTCAGCAGACAACGATTGGAAGAGCTCGTCGAAAACAACAAAGTTGGTATTCTGCCAAACTGGTCGATTCATTCCATATTTCTGGGACATAAAACCGAGAAGAGTGACCGATGGATTGTCAAGAGCCAATTGATAGGGTTCAGCATGCTCCTGTGAGAACATGTAGTCCAGAATTTGCTTTCCAACGCCTTGACGTTGAGTTGAGAAGTGAACATAGAAGTCGAGAAGGCAAAGAACCTGTAGAAGTCACTCCTGATTTGAATTTATTATAACTCACTTCTCCTTCGTACGTTTGCATTTGAGCATCATAAAGGAACAACTTCTTTCTTCCCACTTTGGCAAATCCAAGAAGACGGCTCACTTTTTCTTCCCTAGAATTGATAGTTTCTGAGTTTTGTATTCTAAACGATAATTCTCTCTTACTCATCGTATTTCCATGAGAGATATAAAGTGGAATCAGAATTGATGAGTTTCTCACAAGTTGTCAATGGAGTACGAAGTTGGAGGCAATGGGCCGAGAGTTTGGCGAGACTATCGATCGCATCGTACACTTGAGGATCTCTGAAAACGCAGCCTGACTTTCAAACTTGAGTTCAATTATCTCGGTTCCTGTGAAAGATATCAAAAAGCTGTCAACTTATGAACTGTTTATCATAATATCACAAACATTTTGTAAGTTGACACAACTTTATTATCTTGGACAGGAGCGGAGATGTAAGGGCTCAATCTTGACAGAATTCGGGCCCTTCCATCCCAGGTTTTGAGGTACGTATCTCACTAGGGAAGGTTGTAAATGTGATATGAAAGATGGAATCTATATCATTCGAAAGCTGAGAACAAAAACTTTTAAAAATATACTTTGTTTTTGCTGAAAAACTACCAGATCCGAGAAAATTGACTTTCAAATTTAGCCTTAATTTGAGTATTGGTTCGATTTCCCCTCTCCCGATTTTTAGTGGCAATGTTTAAAATGTTATAACCGCGTTTTTTTTTCAAGATTTTTGACTTCAGTTCAAAGAAACTGAGTCCCTTTTCTCCTTTTTCCTCTTCAGATGATAAGAAGAAACAGAGAGAGGTGGGATAAAGGAGAATGATGAAAGAAATGGAACAGGTTATAAAACGAATCACAAGAATCACCTAGAGATGAGTTTAAAGTTGCTATAGTTGATTTGTGATGATATTATCTCATGATAACCGGGGAGGTAGTATTTTTTACAGAAACACTGAAATAACAACTGAATTCCGGTTATTTTGAATTATTCTCAAGAATAAACCCTTTCAGAATTGATGACTTTACAAGACAGAAAACGAACCAGGAAACTCAAGTTTGTAATAGCATAAAACTTAAGTGGAGCAAATGATTTTATCAACTTTGAGCTGAGTTATCGCTTGTCAATGTTGCTTCATCTCATGAAAATCGCAAGAAACTATGACGAGCAAGAAATCATCATTACCTAGACTTGAGGAATCGCCTTGAAAGTTTCAGTAGCTTTGAATCTTTGAATCAAAAGTAAAGCTTTTTTAAACAATTTTTGGGCTTCCAGGATGCTTTTTTCTAGAGATATGCCCATTTTTAATAGTCCCAGGGTAACCAAGTAATTTCCGGAAACTCACTGTAGCTGCTTGATTCTCATGGGATCCAAACGAACAAGTTGAGGACCGAGAATCGGTCTTAGATCCGCGTTGACTTGCATGATCGAATCGGCGAGAGCAACTGACGGAAGTGGTGGCTCTTCTACGTCTTCCCCCGATCCTTCTTGTCTCCTCCCACTCCATTTTCATGCATTTTTGCCGAGTTCTCTTCCCAAGAATTCTTCCACAGTAACCCTTTTTTTGATAAACCCTATGAATTTTATAGCTGCAAACAACGACGATTCATTTCTGAAACATTCTCGGATATGACACACTTGAGATGTGTCTTCTTTTTTGAGAACAAACTATGCAACATCCGGAAGAGGAACCCATGTTTTCTTGTCTTGAAAAAGAGGAAGGGATCAGAATTCAGATGAAGACTTGTAGACATAAAACGAGATTACAGAATACGCCTTCTTCTTTTCAACCCAATAATCATTGTAAACTACGCATACCTCATCAGCAGCAGCAGCTTCATCACCACCGTCACTTTTACACTTAAAACGACTGATAACACGCTGATTCGTCTTATTCGGTAAGGCAGAAGATGAAGCAAAAGCTGTCTGAACATCTTCTTTTGAGTTTCTCCATTTTCATTAGTTTTTAATCTCTTGAACTTCTTTTTTCGTTTAGAACTCTTGATTTGAGATTTGGCTTTCTTACAGTAAAAGTCATAGAAAGGCTTGTCAAGCTTGAGCTAATTACCTTGGCTCCTATTAGAGACATCGAAAATGTGTCAACTAACAAAACATTTTTGAGATCAAGATAAAAAATTTATCAGTTGACAACTTTTTCATATCTTTGACAAGAACCGAGTAAAATTGGCTCAAATTTAAAAGTAAAGGGGTAGACTTCCAATATCCTTTTTCAATTCAGTAATATTTTCTATCTTCCATTTCTTTTTGTGCGTTATTGAACCCTTTGAATACTTTGAATAAGAGATGCTATAATTTTCAGAGATCATATGCAACGTTTCCTTCCGCTTCCTTTTAGGGAAACCCAACTTTGAGTAAATATATGTTCCTGTGAAAGATATCAAAAAGCGGTCAACTGACAAACTGTTTATCATAATATCAGTAATATTTTGTCACTGCACCACTTTTTCATATCTTTTACAGGAAATGAGATAAATGAGTTCAAAGGTGACGGTTCGGGTTGCAATCTAAAATTTCTGTGGAAATTGTGAAAAATTTTAAAATCTTACACTTCCATTATCCGCCGTGCAAATTCACAAAGTTCCAAATTCGAACAGACCTAAAAAGATGCTGTTCCTATTATCACAGTTTCTGAAAAAATCCACTTTTGTAACCGACAACTTCAAAAAATCAAAATACCGTAAAACCTGTAATAGAAGGGTCCCGATTCAATTTTGAACAATTTATCTCGGTTTCTGTGAAAGATATGAAAAAGTTGTCAACTATCAAAATGTGTATCATAATATCAACAATATTTTATCAGTTGACAAATTTTGATATCTTTCACAGAAACCGAGATAAATTAGCTCAAACTTGACAGCCCCTTCTATTAGAGGTTTCGTGGTATGTCCGGTTGTATCCTCTCTGGATGTCTTGTTTAAATATTTTGACTTCTCCTTTTAAGTGAAATTTCATTCACTCTACTAAAATTGTTCTAAACCTAATTCCATTGCTCAGAAAATGAAGGGTAACGATCAAGAGCTAGAAGATTTGGCACTCCGAATGCGACACCTCGCCGTTTTCTCTTCATCCGTCGCCGTCTTCGTTGCAGTTCTGTCCGTCTTCGCTCTTCCGATTCTGATTTCATCCACACTTCAGGCAGTTGTGAGTAGAATTTCAATTTCAAACTTACTACTTTTGGAAAAAACTCTAGCATCAGTAGATGACAGCTTGGGGCGATGCACTGCGGATGCATTCAAAATGTACAAAGCGATTGACGAAATCGAAATTCAATTGATTCGATCATTCAACAAAACTTCTCAACGAACGAAACGTGGCGGTGGATATGCTTCAGCGTCTTCTTATGGGCAATATTCTGGACAGTATTCTGGACAACAATACGATTCAGTCGGCACTCCAACTTCCAATGGTCAATATCGATTCTTCCCAGAGGTAGTTGATTTGGAAAAAACTCTAATTAAACCGCTGACTTTAAAAGCCCATTTATCTTGGCTTCTGTAAAAGATATAAAAATTTGATCAACTGATAAAATACTCATCATAATATCAAAAATATTTTGTTAGTTGACCACTTTCTGATATCTTTTGCAGAAATAGAGATGGTCTCAACGCTCGGTTTCGCGGTTTACAGTACCTCCTTTATGTTTAGGTTCTCGAAGCAATTCGTGCCAGACGTCCAACACTTCACTCTCTTCAACAGGATTATCATTCAGGAGGAGGAGGTGGATGTGGAGTATCTTCACAGGGATATCAAACGAGACCAACTTTTGTTGGACGTAGGTATTCTAAAATCTTCGAATTCGGAATTTTTTCTTTTCAGCACAAACTGGTTCCATCCTTCGCGATGGTCAGTCTGGATTCAACGGAGGCGGTGGTTGTGTTCCACGATTTGGACCACCTGGACCACCAGGAACTCCAGGACAATCTGGAAGAGATGGATCCGATGGAGAAGCAGGATCCAATGGAGGGCAAGGAAGAGATGGAGTCGCAGATATTGATAGAGAACCATGCCAAGTCTGTGCTCCAGCACCACAAGGATATCCAGGACCACCGGGACCAAGAGGAAGAACTGGAGAGCAAGGAGCACCTGGATTAGATGGAAACACTTTTGATGGAGAGGATGGAGTACCAGGACTTCCAGGGCCACCCGGACCACCAGGACCACCTGGATTGCCAGGATCTATGGGAGAACATGGGCAATATAGAGAGGAAGAGATTGCCGGACCGCCAGGACCACCAGGAGTTAAAGGGCCACAAGGAGGTGTTGGATCGAGAGGAGCGGAAGGAAATCCAGGACCAAAGGGACCACCAGGACAACAGGGAAACCCGGGAGCGTAAGATTTTTTACTTTTTATTTCAGAATTTCAACACACTCTCAATTTTATGTTTTAGACCAGGAGTAGGAGGACGGCCAGGACTTCAAGGAAGACCTGGAAATCCAGGAGCGCCAGGATCTCCAGCATCCTGCGATCATTGTGCACCACCGGTCCTCGAACCAGGATATCAAGTGGATGTGAAAAAGACTCTCAAACGTTCATCTCCATGATTGACACTGCCTCTTTTTGTTACTTGATCTCTCTCTATCTGTATATACAAGCCATTGTTCAAACTAGTGTGTCTTATAGTTAAAGTGAAATAAATTTATATTCGTGATGTGTTTTTGAACACAAAACACCACAGTTGCAAAGTTAAAACAAAAAAGGGCAAAAACGAATACACGAGATTCTAATAGTCAGGGAAGGTGTGGGGAAAATAAAGGAACAAACTCATCATTAAAACAACCCGTTTTAGAATAGGCCAGAAAAACAATTTAAGTGTTCGAAAGGGATTTTTAAGTTTGATAGTTTCGGTTCTTGAAAGTCACCGGTAGAAAAATAAGATGAGAAAGGGGGAAGGGGGTGGAAAATAACTCTGAATGGTACAGAAAAAATATGGAACAAAAACTAAAAACACAAGGGAAGAAAGGCAAGATTTTGAAACAACATTGACAATGAGACAAGAAGAAAACAAGTCACAGATCTATGTACATCTAGAAAAAAAGAGAGTAATGTGTGAAGAAAAAGTAGAAAGTGGCTAGCTAGACGAAACTGGAGAATCCGGCTGTCAAATTTGGAGTAGCTGGGATGTTGGCCCAAGGACCTTCACTTGTACTGTCTGTAGTGGAAGATCTTCCAGCTGCACTACTTGGTTGTTGATTGGTGAGAATTGGTGCTGAAATTAATTAATTTATTTAAATCTTGTACTGTACAATCCCCTATTGATTTTGAATCTCTACTTACCTCTGACCATATCAGTGTCTCGAACTTTCCTCCATGTGTCTCGATATTGATCAGTCGATCCATAATGTCTTGCTATGTCATCAGCTCCATCAGTCATCGTTCGGTCTCCTCGGATAACGGTGTCATCATCCACATCATCTTCTTCATCAAATGAATCATACGGTTCTTGTTGTTGCTGTGGGCTTCCTTGTGGCTGTGAACCTCCTGATGACGATGGAATGTGCCCTCGATACTCCACACGACCGTATTCCGATCTAGTTCCATAAAGATCCGACCGAGTCGGCATATACTCATTCCGTTCATTATCGGAACCCCGAGCTGACGATGAGACGACATATGCGGTATTCTGACTTCTGATATCTCTTCCGACAAGAGCACTGAGCTTCTGCATCGCTTCCAAGCTGGCATGTGGTGGTCCGCTGTTAGGAAGTGGTGGAATGACATCAGTTGCCAAACCATACATATTCATAACACCACCATTGTTTCGCCCATCTCCCAGAACACTTCCGTACGCAGGAGGCTCCCTCGATTGATCAGAAAGCCAAGATTGAGTCGTTCCAGGACGAGTTGGAAGTTCACGACTTCTCGTCATGTTGGCAGCTGATGTTCCTTTCAGTTGGAATGATGCAAAGTTTCCATCAGCCAACTGAAGACTGTCAATCGAGCGGGATCGTTTTTCTCTTCGATATTTGGCAGAGCTACCAGTCACACAAAGAATCGCGATAATGATTACAATCAATACGAATGCAGCCATAGCAACAAGAGCCATGAACCACCAAGTCGTGTAGAATGGATCATCAGGAATGGATTCAGGAACAAACAGTTGCTCAGTCTCAGGACTTGCTCTTCCAATACCTGAAAATAACTAATTATTCAATTACTTCATTGGAGATACTTACCTCTAACGTTCCTAGTGAACACCCGGAAGACATAGAAACTAGATGGTTGAAGCTCTCTGTAGGATACTTGTTCTTTCTCACTCTTTCCATCAGTTGGTCTCAATGTAATCCATTCTCCAATCGGGTGAGTTGGTCTGTTCGAGTTGGAAGAAGCCGATGTCTGAGCTGCACTCTTCGCTCCTCTGATTTCGTTCCTTCGTGGTCGTTGTGAAACATATCCATTTTCAGTTTCTTCGGCCACTGACACTCGCTTAGCTTGAAGAAGATGTCCAACAATTTCATCCGAATTCGCCACATCGTTCCAACTCAAAGTTACATAACTTTGACCAGATGTGATTTGAGGTTTGCTTGGAGGCAATGGTCCATCTTTGCTTGGTCCAATCGTCACGTTTGCTGATCTCAGTTCTCCTTTACCAGCCGACGTCTCTGCCCAAACACTGAAGAAGTAGGTGACGCCTTCAGCCAACCCATGGGAATCGAAGTAGTTTCGCGATGTCCGTTGTTGGTCTTCATTTTTGAACTCTTCCTGCATTCGATATCCCTTATAATTGACAATGTATCCGATGACCATTCCGTTAGGTTGAGCTGGCTCATCCCAAGACACTTTGACAGAGTCCATAAGAACATCACTGAATCTGAGAACTCCAACTGGTCCTGGTTTGTCTTCCAACGTCTTCTCACGAACTTGACTCATCTTTCCTTCGCCGGCACGGTTGTAGGGGGAAACGGAGATTTGGTACTCGGCGAATTTGCGTAAATCACTGAGAATACATTCGTTTGTATCGACAATCATCACTTCTTCTTCACTACTGACAGAGGAAAGAACAGATGCAACTGGGACGTATCGAACTTTGAATGAAGTGACCGTTTCGCTGTCTTCTTTCGGCCAAGCGTCCCATTTTACACGAATCGATGAGGATGACAGTGGCTCGGTGATGATATTTGTCAGATTTCGTTTTGGAATTGAGTAGCCAACGTAGACAAAGACTGGCGCGGAGAATGGTCCTTCACCTTCAGAATTGAACAATCGCATACGAATGATGTAGTGCCGGAAAGTGCTGAGCTTTGCCAAAACCTTTTCTTCTCTATCCTCGTGTGGATCATGTACAGCTATCTCTTCCATTTGCCACGTTTCGTTCGACGGATACTCGCGGTAATGAATCCGATATCCGATGGCGTCACTGTTCCATGTGGATTTATGAGGAACTACCCATTCCAATTGCACACTGTTTCGTTCGTATGGAGTTGCTTTCAGTGATATTGGTTGCGCAAATGGAGCGGACGGAAGAGTTCTCATCCATTCAGATTCCGGTGACCACGAAGATTCGAGGAAGTCACCGATAAATCGGATTCGGAAACGGAACATTGAATTTGGAGACAAGTGTTTGATGACAGCACGTCGTTTGGAGTACTCGAATTTCTTTTCCAAAGTCAACCATTCGTCTTCGTTGGTTTTCTGATAGGACACTTGAACAGCTCGAACAGGACTCTCCGCGTCTTCAGTCAGTTTTCTTGGAAGCGATTCGTCCCATCGAATCGTGATTTCAGTCGCCAAGTGTTGGGATGTTGTGTCTCGAACTGGTGCAGGAGCATTCCGCACGGGCAATCTGACAGACGATGTCATCACTTCTGCCACAGCTTCTTCACTCTCTCCTTTACTATTTTTCGCTTTTATTGCAAACGTGTATTGAGTGTTCGGGCTCAAACTCATCGCGGAGAACATCAGCAAATTTCCAGCAACTTGAGCATCAATAGCCATTGATCTGGGTTCATGAGACTTCCAATACGAGATGACGTAGTTCTGAAAAACGTAATTATTGTAAATTGGATTTTTAAATTCAAAAATACCGTAATCTTTCCGTTTGGTGATCCTGGCGGCAGCCATTTCATTCGCACATCCTGCTCACTGATTTGAGAACATTGGAATGATTCAGGAGGTGCCGGGACGTCTTCCAATGTTTCGAATGAGAGGGGAGTGGAATTCTCCGGACCATTTCCAACAATTGTGTACGCAGACATGTATACGTAGTAACTAGTGAATGGGCGGAGATTCGACACTTTTGTCATCAGTGTTGATTGCCCAGGAACGTCGATTTCTCTTGTTTCGTCTGCCATCAGAGATTCTCTCTCTGGCACAACACGTAGTTTGTACCCAATCACATCTCCATTTGTGGATAACTCAGCAACTGGATCCCACTTGACAATAGCAGATTTCGATCCTTCGGCAGTCACAACAATATTTCTGGGTGATCCTGATGGAACACTTTCGTATGTTCTCGCCTTGACTGCATCTGTCGGAAGACTTCTTCCAAACACATTTTCGGAGAAAACGTTCACTTCGTATGTGGTAAAAGGGCGAAGATCAGTGACTGTATGCTCACTGGACCGTAGTGCAGGTGTACGAACTTCTTTCTGAAATGAATGATTAATTTATAAGGGTTAGGATTGAATTGTGACTTACCCAATTATCTTCATCTACTTCTCTGTATACAATCAAATATCCTTTGGGCTGTCCGTTCCAATGGGTTGCAAGAAGAGGCGTCCAGGACACTGATATAGAAGTTGCAGACACTGGTTCTGTGAAAAGTCGTTGGCTTGGAGTCTCCGGATTCGTTTGTAGCGTTTCAAAAGTTCTTGATGGTTCCGATGGCGCACCACGTCCTTTTACGTTTTCAGCAATCAACCTTAGCTGATACTGAGTGAATGGTCGGAGACCAGTGACAATAATTGAGCGAGCCTTCGGAGAGCTAACATTGAAAATATGAGCGAAAACACTGGAATCTGCCATTTTTCCTTCAACAATCCATTGACGAATAGCCGTGTGACCATCGAAACCAGGAGTAAAATGAAGTTGAACCGTCGTTGCAGAAATATCTCCAATGGAAAGCATCGATGGTCTTCCTGGCAGCTCAGGTGGCACTCCACTTTCAAACTTCGTCTCTTCTACTGGTCCATCTCCTTTTTTCGTTGAAGCCATTACATCGACTCCATAGCGAGTCGATGGTTGCAATCCATCTATAGTGATGTTTGTAGTTGATCCATCCACTTCATGCTTCGTCTTCACATCGGGAGAACTAGATGCCCAATGACGAATCGTGTATTTAGTAACGATTCCATTCTCCTTCATTGGTGGATTCCATGTTAGAACAGCACCATTATACATTACTTCAGCAATACTCAACTCATCTACAGCTTCTGGAGTGTCTTCTTCTGTCACTACTCGTAGAATATTACTTTTTGGACCATCTCCAGGAGTCGTGAAGCAGAGAACAGTTAGGTTGTAGTGGCCAAACTTTTCCAATTCGTTGACAACAGTACTAAGTTGGCGTCGATCAGGATCAAGAATCACTTGTTTGTAAAGCTCTCCTTTTTCAGGTTCTCCTTTCCAGAACTGTACTTTGTAACCTAGATTTACTCCAGGAATCCGCTGTTGTTCTGGAGCTGTGAACTCCAATGAGACTGCCGTTGAGTTGAGTACTTTCACACGGACATTCTTTGGAGCTTGTGTTGGTCTTCCTTCCGCAGTTGTCACTTCAATACTCTCACTGAAAACTCCGAGTCCTCTTTTATTGTAAGCCGCTACTTGGATCTCATATTCTCTCCATGTTATCAGTTCATCAACCAATGTGTTACGTGCATCCTTTGTAGTCAGATTCTTCTCGTTCCAAGTCAGAGAACTGTATCCAGCTAATCTATACCGCACCACATAGCCGAGAAAATCTCCACTATCCTGTTCCTCTTTCGGTTGTTGCCATTGAACCATAACACTATGAGGAGATCTGGCAGATGCAGCAACGTTTCTTGGTGCAGCTGATGGTGGTTGCTGTGGCATGGTAACACTGGAAGATGGTAGCGATGGTTTTCCAGGACCGTGTTTATTGGAAGCCACTACTCGGAACTCTGCAGTTGAGGAAGGTCTTAAATCCTCAATGTCAGCCCAGCAGCATGGTTTTCCGTCATCTTTTGGAATATTGTCGATGGCAGTTGTCCAATCACTCCAAAGTCCCGTTGGTCCCATAGTTCGAATCTCAATAGCATGCTTGATAATTGGCTCATTTCCATCGAATCCCTCATTCCACCGAACACGAACTTTTGCTGGCATCGTTTCATTATGGAGTTCTGCGCGGACACGTTCAGGCATCGCAGGCTTCTCTGCAATAAAAATTATATTTCATTGAAGTCCAAAATCTAATTCTTACCAATAATTTGAAGCATGGCACTAGCGTTCTCCTCTCTCCCATCGACTGTCACACGACATCTGTATTCTCCAGTATTGTCAGGTCCAACTTGTCGAATAATCAGACTTCCTTTTCGATTTCTAGAAATTCTGAGCCCCGAATTTCCGTTGACAGGCAGTAAGGCGTCATTCAAATACCACTCCACTGTTGCTTTTCTAGCATATTCTTTAGCTACTTCACACGAAAATTCAACGTTGGTACCGATTAGACTTTTTTGATCAGCTGGTCCGTATTCTATCAACGAGTCACCGTTCACTTGAACATTAGCTGATGCTTTAACATCAGTTCCACTAATTTCGCATGTGTATTCTCCTTCATCAGATTTTCGTATATCGTGTATTGTAAGATCTCCATTTGAAAAATCGTACTTCACACTGTCCGTTTGAATTCCGTTTCCATTCAGAAACCAGACAATATGTGGTGGGGGACTTCCAGCAGCAGCACATTCTAAAGTGATCTTATCAGTTCCAGAAGCAGCAGTTAGATCCTTTGGAGTTTTGGTCAATCGTTGAGAAGATTCAATATCCGAAGTGAATGGGAAGAGTTGTTCCTGACTTTTAGAGCTATCGAAAAACTTGAGCTTCCGTGGCGGAGGTGTCTCCATACTAATCTCTTCCTCCAGAGACCGTCCATCTTCTGACATTCCCATCACCATCGTGTCATTGTTGATATCACCTTCTTTGACCCATACACTACTCATATCAGCTCCAGCTTCGTTGACGGCTTCACATTGGTACAATCCAAAATCCTCTTGTCGAATACGATCAATTGTTAATTTCCCTCGTTGTGTATTCATCTAGAAAATCATGGTTTAGATTAGGTCTCAATCTTTATTTGCGCATTTTAAGTTGATAACTGCATAGTTTCCATCATTCTTCCCATTCCGTCTAAAGTGTTCATTCTCTCAAAATAAACGTTCAAGAGGGGGTAATTTTAAATTCAGGATTCAGCAGTCGAAGTGCTGTCACAATCTGGTGCAGTTCCTCTTTTTCTTCTTCGTTGTATAATTAAAACATATGGTCTCATCAAGTGCTTGTTTGTCTCCTCCTGCTTCCCCTCCTTTAACTTCTCCACCACAACAAAAAATGTGTCATCTCTCTTCCCTACGCTTTCATAATCTCGATACTCCATCTGACCTTGTCCCCGTGAATTCCGAATTCCGGAAACGGGCTTCGAGTACGTAATCCAGCACAATTAGTACTGCGAGGAAGACGTTAAAGAGGAGAGCGATGATGATTTTCGGCAAAGGTGATGATTTTCGGCAAAGGCAAGCAGAGAGAAAACGACAAGTAGATAATTAGATGGGTACGCATCGATCGTTGCTATGAAAAACGTCTTCAGTGACCACGAGACAAGAATCAAAATAAAAACCATCGTCACCACGTCATAACACTGTGTTAATCTTCTTAGATTTGTTAGTAGGGGGACTAGGTTCTAATCCTCAAACACTCATAAAATATGTACCATCTACTCCAATATTACGCAATTTTGGTACAATAGAAATCAGAAGAGCAGCATTAAAAAATCTCAAGTATCTCTACCCCACTGAGCTAGATAATACTAACCATTAATCCGTTCCTGTACCACTTGATATCCATTGAACTCTTCTTCTTCACACCACACTTTAGGGTGAGACTGGATCCAACTTTCTTATGAATCTCATTTGGCAAATCTTTGAGAACTGGACGACTGATGAATGTCAGATAGGCCGAATTCTGATCCGATGTTCTTCCCATCGCTGCGTCTGCTCGACACTCAAGTTTGTGCTCTCCACGTGTGAATCCAGATGGGTTTGAGATGATAAGCCGCCGATTGTTCATCGTCGTTTTGATTCCAACTTCAGATCCAGTAATTGGTTGACCATTCAAAAACCATCTGATTCGAACGTCATCTTTGGCTTCGAACGATGTCACACAATCGAACTTTTCATCATGTGGCATAGAAGATTCGACGATGGTTCGTTCCGGTGAAAAATAGATGATGGAGAGGGTGTTTTGGAGAGATGGTCTGAAAATTGTTGACGATTAGGCAACTTTATGATATTTCATATTTTTTTAAAAACTGAAAAAGGCACATTGACTATCAAAATGAAACAAGAAGAGAGAAATTTGTCTTGGTGCTAGGCGATCGTAAAATCATTGTTTACTACTGTTAGGCAAGTGCAATTTTCGTGCTAGCAGTAGTAAAATTAATAATTGCTACTGTTTAGTAGTAACAAGTTTTATAGTGTGATTTTCATAAAATTTTACCTACTGATTTTTCTAATTTTTTAGTTTCTGGGACTGGGGCAGACACTTATTTTCAAGCAAAAAACCTACGCCATGCCATTATCCTTGACGATGTATTCCTTGGAAACAATTTCTTTGAGATCATCACTGCTAGCCATCAGTTTATACGTTCCAAAATCATCTCGTTTCACACTGGTCACCACGAGATCCCCATTCGCTGTCACAAAGTGCGTTGCGTCCGGAGTGACCTAAACAACAGTTCAAATAAAAACAGAGGTACTTGAGTGAGAGCTTACAAGAGGTATACCCTACACAACTTTTCACGAAGTTTTAAAAATAGTTTTTTTTCAAAGTTTCACCTGATTTGAATCGTCTTTGATCCAAGAATACGATATATCGAGGTTTCGTGAAGACAGAAGACGTGGTGTTCGGAGAACAAAGTGTCGGCCAATTCCTGCCAGAACATCATATTGAGCAGATTCATCTGATGCATCGAAATCATCCAAATCTGCAAATCGAGAACATATGGCAAATTTATTATGCAAATCTTCCCCCGTTCTTCTGTTGACCTGGTCAACTTGACCACCTGTGTGATCCATACTTTTTTGCATCTTGTTTCTTTTGCACCTTTTCCCTCTCATTCTCAAACCGGCTCGCGGGCGCATTTCCAATAGTTTGCTCAATTCGAACATGAGAAGCTGATTATATGGGGGAGGACAGTGCGATCCCTCTCTCGCTTACAAACAAATTGTGCCGCGCCGCAAGACCACCGCCTGCCTTCACTATTCACAAACTGTCATCATAAACACTTTTCTGGAGCACAAGAGAGTGCCGAAACCCATCTTCACAGAGAGGTGTGTAGTGGTGAGAGCATGTTCTCGTAAAGTGGGGTTGCGCGGCGGCGGCGAATAGAAAAGATTGTGAGCATAATTATATGAGAGTTGTCATAAGATAGCGCCTCATAAATCTTGTGAACACATCTGCCAAGACTCTCAATGATGCCCCAGAATGCCTTCATTACTGAGGAATATGAGATAACGTTGTAGTGTAATAAGAAGCTGTTAGTAACTTTTTTAACACAACACCTGTTACTGGAGTAATAAACTACCAGATGTATTATGCTAGTATGCAAAATCGGAGCTGTGAAAGAGAAAATCTGGTGGCCGTGCCCGACGGTCCCACAGCAACAACTACCGTAACCTCGAATTATTTCAATTTTCAGGATTTTCTCGCTTAATGCTTTTTGTCGGTTTTTCGTCGCAAAATCATTTTTGGTAATGAAAAAACAGACTGAAAACGCACGAAAATCAGGATAATAAATCTGGAAAATGAAAATATTTTTAGGTTACTGTAGTTGTCGTTCTGAGACCTTCAGTTTTTTTTTTGCTCAAGCATAATAGTTCTCGATCAGTTTTTCTTTATTATTTTCCCCTCACTTTTTGCGCCCAATAAGTCCTTTATTATGTATTTGTGTTGATCGAGCAAACATATATGTATTCTAGGTGTTTGGGAAACATATAGAAAGACCCTGGTCACTTTCTTTCTTCTCTACCTATGTATATTCGAAACCTGACACCTCGACAACACCACCAAAATTGGTCATTTTCCGGCTTTTTCTTAGTTGTAAGCTCACTAGTTTTTGCAACACAAATCTTATGACGCATATTGTAGCAGTAGCCATATATATGGTCACTTCTAACTAACAGGATGATCTTTACGACTGGGGAGAAAAAAGCATTACTAATCAAGAAGATGCGTAAAAGGAGAACGCTTTCTTTTCAAATCAGGTCAAATGAGTCAGAAAAAGGGAAAGGAAAAGGCGGAAATCATCTAAAAACTTACACTTGGATCGAACCACAGAAGGTGGGGAAATGGCGGCGCCAACTGTGTTCCTCGCCACGCATCGGTACTTTTGGTTGTCGTTCGTTCGGGAAACCGTGACTTGGGCGAATCTAGAAGCGGCAATCAAATCGCCAGACGCATCACCGACTCGCCATTCGTATTGCTCGGCGAGCTCAGCGTCGTCGCATTTTAATCGGACGATTTCGCCTTCAACGGCGACTTTCTGTTCCACTGGACCAGTATTTTGGAAGATTGGAGGTTTTCCGAGGACCAGCTGTGTTGATACCACGGACCATAGTACCGTAGTAGTACAGAAGAGAAGAAAAATGCGATAATTCATCGTTCCTCCATGTGGACGCCTTCTTGGTTTTTCAGTCGCCTCTTCCGCGTTTGACGACACGTTGATCTATAAAAATCAATTGTTGTAAGACTTCAGATTTTTAAATCGAGAAAAGCTATACGAACGGATGTAAAAAAGTACTATATAATCAGAAATAAATCGGGCCGAGAGACATACTAAATTGGCGCCTTTTTCCCTATTAAGAAGACTCGTGGTGGCGATGAAGGAGAGGGAGAAAGGAATAGCAAAAAAACAGAAGAAACATACAGACCAAAAGTTGGTTGGGGAAAAAGGACGATTCCACTTCTCACTTTTTTATCCCCCTTCTCTTATATGTATATCGTATAATATATATGGCTTCTGTGCCCAATTACATATTGGATGCTAATAGATTGAAAAGAGGAATTGGGGATTGCTATATGATACGGAAATACAAGGAGAGAACTGAACGGTTTGGATATCTAGTATCCAGAAACGGAAATCCTATTTTTTTCGAATCAGCTAGTACATTTGTACAGATAAGAGAAAGTATGACTCACGAGAGTAAAAGAGGCAGAGTGAAAAAAGAAGTGGGCGGAGCCTTGAGAGGGGGAGGGAGAAGACCATGTGGTAGCAACGTTCAAGTGTGGCAAACGAGGATCATGAAGGGGACAAATTAATGTATTCAAATGAGAGCTCTAATGGGGGAGTAAGAGGTCACAGGTATGGAAAAAATGGAATCAGATATTAGGAGGAATGGTTTGAAAATTGAGAGGAGACTAAGAAATTGGAGGAGAAAGAGAGGGAGAAAGAATGTGAGAGGGAGTGTTGAAATGCACACCGGCGCCCCGATAACACAATCCATTGTTTACCATTTTGGAGGAAGAAGGCGGTAGAATCGGAAAGAGAGAAAAGGAAAATGGTTTGATGAGGAGAATAGACACTGATATCGAATAGAATAAGCAAGAAAAGAACGACTGAAACAAAAGTGAATAAACGTCTTTTCAGTATAAAGATTGAACTTTTATGAAATAAAATCGTTTAGGTGTCTTGAACCGACTGTAGCAAATATGAGAAACAGGTAAACTAGGAAGAAGAACAGACGTTAATGATTCGTAAAGAACACCACAAAGACAGACAGAATAGAGAATCTGAAGTGGTTAACAAGACGGTTTTGGAAGCTTTCAAATTTTTATAGGGATGTTCGGATTGGCCTTCTCAAATTTTCCGGAACGTAGAATATTCAGATTTTGATATTCGAAATTTTTGGAATTCAGGATTCCGTTCCGAGCATCCCTGAATTAATATTTGGAATTCAGAGGCTTTTTTTCTTGAAAAAATGAGTGCAATACGATAAAAATGAAACGGTAATGACGTAGAATGTGAGGCAATACAGAATGCGTCAGAGGTGTGAAAACCGAGCACTAATATTGCGAATGGTTCACTCTCCAAACGCTCATTTCCGTCTTTAGGTATCGAGAGTGCCTAGAGGAAGAGAATAAACCTTTCTGGTGTTCAATCGAAACGAGATATAAAGACAAAAACGGATAGGGCGGGGAGGTAGTAGGCGGGGGAACATCAAAGAGTTTGGCAATTATGATTGCGTCGCTATTTTCCGTTTTTTTATTACCCTTTTTTCTAAACATGAGAAAAGGAATGGTCCGTCATGGTAACTTTACTATTACTATTATATGCTAGATTTTCTCCAACTTGGATTATTGGAGAAAAGGGCAGAAAACATGAAGGATTTGTTGTATGGAGCGGAGGCAAACGATCATCATGGAAATTGGACGATGAGGAAGACGACGACAATCATCGGACACTTCACACGCTTTCCTCAAGGAGTTCATTTAGTTTTTATGTAAGCAGCCTTGTTGAGAGTTAGCATTTCTGAATTATGCTAAATGGGAGAGAACCGGGAGGAGGATAAAAAAAGAGAAAAATGTTCAAGAGGAAAACAAAAGAGAAAAGGCAGAAAAATAGATTTTTTAGTACAAAAAAATCAGAGTTGTGGAAGAGAAAATCTGGTGGCCGTGGACGGTCCCCCAACGACAATTACAGTAACTTAAAAATAGTATCATTTTCAGAGCTTTTTTCTCGATTTCTGTAATGACAGACAAACCAAAAAAAAGAGCAGTTGAAAACGAAAAAATTATCAGGAGAAAAACGTTTTTTAGGTTACGGTAGTTGTCGTTACGAGACCATGCCCTTCGATACATAATATCGGTTTAAAATTGCCTAGGCTACAGTAGTTTGAAAAACTCAAAGAAAACATTGCTGGAGTAATATTTATGATCTCTTCGAGCAGTTTGATCCAGTTTTACTACGAAAATGACTGAGTATATACTGAGAGCACGAATATAATTCGAAAAACTCATAAAATTTGAAAAAGAGAGTGCATATAGCAGAGAATGGGTTGAACTAGGGGATACGAGACAAGGTCGAAGCGAGAAGAACACACTTCTTCAGGGGGACCGTTCATTATTCTTGCCTCCCAAACACTCTTTTTTCTTCGAGTATTCCGTTTGACAAAAGTACGTCGTTTTCGCCTCCTCATCATTCGCAGCTGTGCTTGGTTGTGCAGGGCTCAGGGATGGAAAATTTGAATAACGCGAAAGAAAAGCGTCCCACAGCAAAAAAAAATAGATGGTGGACTTTGCATAAGAATAGTTGTATTGGTGTTAGAAGCAGCAAACTGAGAAGCGGACACGTATTCTCGGAAAGTAAGGGTCGCGCGCCCCTGCGATAGCCAGATCATTATCGACTGGAGGAAAAACCAAGCGCTGCTGGCGGAGAGAGAATCGACTAGTAGCAGTAACCAGCTGTATAGTCTAGATGAGAATCTGATGGAAAGAAACTTTTCCGCGCTGTGAATGAAGATTAGCTGAGAAGCGATAGTTCTATTCTTGACTTTGTTTTCACTTTTTAAGAAACCAATTGGTAATAAGTCCGAAACTGATTCCTGTGAAGAAACTGTAGACGATGGGTGAGGGAAAATGGAAAATGAAACGGCGGGAGACTTCAAAAAGCTTTTGGGGGAGATGTCCACTTCTCATGGGTTTTTGCAAATTGGCTGGAGGCAGAAAATTGAATGAGGTTTTGAACAAGCTTAGTGACGAATCGTGAAGGAAGGTATACTAGCAGGAAAAAGAGGAAGAACCAGTAGCCATAGCGAGAAAATCACAGGATCGAAGACTCTCGTAATGAACAGGCAAAGCTCAACTAGATACTCTCGTGGGTGCTCTACTCCTCCCATAGGTAGGATGCGGGATACCAAGAGATACGAGAGGATACGCAGAGTGTGCGCGAAGAGCTGGCTGGAGAGCAAATATGGTCAAACCCATATATGACAGTGGATAGACGAAAGAAGCTAACAACATAGGTAAATGAAAGAAAAAGGAACACAGAGAGGGGGAGTTGAGGAGAGGTAGCGGATGGCCGGTCAACGGTAGGGGACAACAGAAAAAAGAGACAGGTTACCTGTGAGGGCGATACATACGCTCGGCAGATGCAGGTATATACCGACTGGTCAGCAGACGGACGGCACCGGACGCGCGGACAGTCCGTGTACTAAATCCTACCAAATCCCTTTTTCAAAATTGTAATAGTCTTTGCGCTTTCTCTCGTTTCTTCGGTAGAGAGGACTATAAATCCGTTCGCTAATGGATTTCTAACGGCGCCTTTATACAACCGACCTTCGCAAAATGGTTTTCGAGAAGAGAACGTAAAAGTTTCGTCCCAAAAACGAAATCCTGATGGGCCGATAATGTGTTTCGTGAAGCCCCTAAAGCGGGTCTTAGATTTCGTAGTATACACAAGGACGACGGGACAACGACTTGTCAATTTCGGAAATGAGCCAACGAGCACAAGAAGATGAACAAGTTGTACTAAACTCAAGAAAAGATGAAGAGAGGAGGAAGTCTGAATCATGTTTTTGGAGTAAAAGAGTTTTAGAAGTCAGAAAAACTTCCAAAATAAACAAACTCGGTGCTGTGTATACCAAAAACATAGCGAAAAAATCCTAAAGTGAAGGGCACAAAACATTTGCACTAACGTTTCCTCATTTTTGAAATTAGAGCTGCAGATGGCAGGCCCAAAAACTATTGGTCAAGACCTCCTGGACTTGGTGGGCAGCTGGATATAATGAAAACAATTTTTAGAGCAAAGGGTCCCCTTTTGTAATTCGAAATTTTTTTAATTGAAAAAAAACACATAATAGGATCTCTATCTGATACTTACAAAGAAAATAACGAAAAATATTTTTTACATGATGATGATACGAAGTTAATTAGCTGGGTAACCTTGTTCTAACTAGGTAGATAAACCAATAATCCGGCAAAAGAAATAGACGAAAAGAAGGCGAAAAGTCGACACGGCGGTGAGACCCACGGGGCCACCAATCCGACCGCCCGCCCGTCATTACGATCAAGGCCATCTGAAGGTAGAAGAAGTAGAAGTGACGGCGAACGAGTGCCGTCGTCGCGCTCTTTTCCCTATTATCGACAATCAGGTGTTCCGGAATTTCAAAAGTATATTGCGGGATTCAACTTGATTAAAATCTGATTGATTCTGACTTTTTGGTAGCATAATTTTTTTCTTATTCAAAAAGGAAAAGGAAAGTTTATCGGAATATGCAGAGAGGATAATAACAGAAATCGACGTCGTCGTCTCAGTAATTGTTATTGTATGTTGCGTCGTCAGTTTGAAGAGGAAAACAAATTGGTGTGCGCACCGATAAGTAGACGGGTCACCATTCGGAGTTTCGCCGCTCATTCCTTAATTGAGCGTTTCGCAGAAGAACGTAGCGGATCCAAAGTTACAAAGTGGAAAAAAAGTGATTGTAAAAATTGTGGATTCAGAAAATTTACAGAATGAAATCGAACAAAAAGAACAAGTAGAGAAGTTCATTAATTATCCTAACTTTCACCTATTCATATGGTGAGACGGTTTGGATGGTGCGGGTAATAACTTAATTAGTCCTTTTTGGCAGATTTTCGTCTCACACACAAGTCTAGCCACTCACTTGGTTTACGCAACCTGGAGGAGGGAAAAAAGCGAATTGAGAAAAATAAAAGAGATTCATAAAACTAGAATTTCTCAATGAACAACTATGGACTTTTCGGAAAAAAAGAGATTCGCAGATAATGGGAGGGTGGAAAAGTATGAAATTGAGATGAAATGACAATTCATGCAAGCGTAGCCACTTTTAAATAATGTAAAATACTAGAAAGTATCAAACCTAAATACTAGAAAGTATCAAACATTGTTGTTTTTCGATAAATTTTATGACCGAAATTTTTCTACAGTACTTCAAAGGGTTACACCAAGATTATTCGCAGGTCTCACCAAGAAAACTGAGCCGAACATTTTTTCGCTTTTCAACTCATCTTTTATTTTTTTAATATTTCAATTAACGGACAAGTAAGCCATTTAAAGTTGATAATTATGAATTGACAGAAAAAAAATACACCGAAAGTGATTTCTCTTACTTATTGTCATGTTTCAGATACAAAATCTACTAGAAAATGGCGCTGAGACACACAATCTCACCGCAGCTCTCGAATCGCCCAAGTCCACCGATCACACGATCGGTTTCTCGCAATGGACATCGTCCAACCTTCGAAACATCGACACCGGTGACACGTCGAAGTCTTCAGCCAGGAATGGAAATCGGAACAATTGAAAGAGTGTTCGAACAGGCAGATGACTCAACAATCGATCTCAACTCATCAAAATTCGTATATAAAGAGCATTTCACTGTCAAAGAAAGGACATCGATGCAGAAAGAAATGTGGTACGACTGGCTGGTGTATCACATTCGAATGATCCGACGTCATCTGTTTCCCAACACTGAAAAAATACGCGAAACTTTGTTGGTGCTGGTTCTCCTTTTCATCCTTCATAAGTGTATGTTCCTATAGTGAAATTGATTCTCAATGCTTTAATTTTAAGATGCTCTTGACTGCTGGTATGATCCAACAACCAAGGCGGAGCAACCAATCAATCATCAGTCGAGAATCGAATTTGACAGTAAATGGACTCCGGAAATTGAGAGAATAATCGAAGAATCGAACAAAAATCTTCAAATGAGCATCTCCATCATCAAAGATCGCGAGAACCAGCTGGAAGATCGAACAACTCACCTCGAGACTTTATCCGATGATGAAAAGGGGTGGAAAGAATCAGTGGTAGAGGAAATCAGGAAGATCAAAGCCTCTCAAACAGCAATCGATCAGCTGGTGGAGTCGTTGAAGAAAGATTTGGAGGAAAACGTAAGTAATCCAGAGTTATGCTCCAATGGAAACAACCTTTCAGAAACTATCGAAGGTGATAATCACAGAAGAAGACAGGCAGCCTACTGGACCACCAGAACCACCAGGATCCTCCTCGAGCATTCTTCTGCATCCAATGCACTTCCTCCACCGCTCTCCCATTGGTGTCAACGTGGCGAACAGTCTCATCGGCGCGTCGATTGACTATTCGTGCTCTTCTCGTCCAGTCTCCGCGAAAGACGGGATCTTTTACGATATCATGTCCTATTTCGGTTCGTTCAAAGAAGGATACGTCCTGCTCGATCGCGAGGTCCTGACTCCGGGAGAAGCTTGGTGCACCTACGACAAACGTCCCACGTTGACTGTTAAACTGGCTAGATTCGTCATTCCGACTGCTGTCTCCTATCAGCACGTTCGTTGGAGCGGAATAGTTCCGAATCATGCACCCAAACTTTATGATTTGGTGGTAAGTTGGATCTTGGAATTTTAATTCTAATTTATATTGCATCTAGGCATGTCTCGATTCATGCTGCACTCAATCTGAACCACTTATCCTGAATTGTGAGTACACAGCTTCTGAAGAGGGTCCAGACGAGCAAGAACAGTTCTGCTCTATTCCGACAATCAATAGTATGCAACCCATTAATCATGTGCAATTCCGTTTCCGTGAGAATCATGGAAACATGACGAAAACGTGTGCATATCTTGTTCGTGTCTACGGAAAACCAGTCAATCCACAACCGCCACTGACAGAGCAAGATGCCGCCGCACTGGACAATGGAACGACTTCACATCTCGAATCGACACTCGTGGACTCAGTTCCAGAATCTGCTTGAAATACAGTTATAATTCATTTTCGGGTTAACGATACCTTGTAGTTTGTATTGTATTGCATTGTTCACCAGTATTATTCCTATTGCAAAATGTTCTGTTTGTATTGAAAAATCTTATCCTGATCACATCTTGTCTAATGACTTTCAGAGAAAACAACTTTTTATCACAAAATATGGCACATATAATTAACAAGTAAGTTACTAGCAGGGTGTTGGTCCTTCGGGACTTCTGCTGTGAAGATTCTCAAATGTGGCGACTCGTGATCGGAGCTGAAATAAGGTAATTAATATTCAAATGACCATGAGACTGACCGTTCCATTTCCATCATTCGTCAACCTGGTGACTACACTTCCTTGTCTCGTGGAAATGATTCCAGGGCATCCGAGTAGTTTCATGGCAGCACGACGGAAACGAATATTGAATAGACAGTATATCATCATGTTAGAGGCACTGAAACCGGAAAATTCAGGGATTATTAGTTACAAGGCGTTACCTGTTAACACAAACCAGCACATTAGATAATGGGATTCTTTGGCGATAGACTTCTGTCTTACTGTACCTATCAACTAGGTAGTTGACACCGGGAGGGATGTTACAAATGATAAAGATCATTGTCATTACCGTAGCCATTACGGTTACTCTGAAAATAAATACAGAATACTACAGTAATCCCATGCTTCCACTCACTTCCTCTCCGCATCTTCTCGTTTTGAGCTCTTTCCACTGTTGTGGCACATCAATTCGTGCGCCCGATAGGCTAATCTCACTTTGTGGATGATAAATGCGTTCAAGATGATGATAATAGCCCATGGAATCAGTTGGATAAATGCCACATACAGATAGAAGAGATAGAATTCGATGTAGAATTCGTTTTTGCGTAATTCAGTCGGCACGACTTCACCGTTCGCATCCAATCGTACTTCGAAAAACGATGGAAGTTTGAAGAGTGTGCTGAAATTTTTATAGATGGGGTACATGAAAAAAATAATTTTTTCGAAATTTCGTTAACGCCCTCAAGGAGTTGAACTTGTGGGACGATTATTGAAAATGCGGTTTAAGAATTTCGAAAAAAATCTCCTGTTTCGAAAAATCCCCTCCTTCAATTTGTTCCCCTATTTCCAGAAAACTTGAAAAATCAGTTTCCAAAGGCTCAAGTTTCTTTCTCAATATACAGACATAAATCTGTCTATTCGAGTGCTCTCTCTCGGCTGTCTCAAGTGTGACGGTCTCCTGGAAACCGTATTGCACCAGCCATAAATTTTGGGCTTCAGAAGACACGTCACACTCGTCTAGGCCCTATTGAAGCGTCATCATAAAGATGAAAACACAAACCATACGACTGTGATGATGACCAGAACAGACAAAGAATTCGAACGAGTTGACCAGACTCTTCGTTTTATTGGGAATGAAACAGCGATGAACCGATCTACAGTAACCGCCACGTATGTCCAAACTGAGCCAGCTTGAGCAACTAGGGATAATGGGAAAATGAACACTGTGACTTTCCAGAAGAAATGGCAAACATAGCTTTTGTGCTGAAAAGCCAAAAAATGAGTTTTACCACACAGTCAAGTTTGAGCTCAATTATCTCAATTCCTATACAAGATATCAAAAAAGTGTGAGCTGACCAACTAATTATGATATTATGAAAAACAATTTATCAGTTGACGACTTTTTGATATCTTTTACAGGAACCGAGATATATGAGCTCAAAGTTTACAGATTCAATATAAGACTTTTTAAACAACCGTACCCTCTCGGATGGCTCATGGATCGTTGAGCATTGATGCATAGATGGATAGATCATAATTGAAGAAGTGAGAAGAACAACATCGAAAAGTGAAAGACCGCATAGAAGAACCTGAAATAGCTTTGTTTTTCTTGTGAAGAATGTTTCATTTTTTTCATGGTCCCTTCTAAAAATAAATTTGGAATTCAAGGACCGGAGACTTTATTGTCGTTTCGAAAACAACAAAAAAGGAATTCATAGGAAATTGAGTGGAAGAAGAAGAAGAGCAAAGACGAACCTCCAAAGAGCTGTGTCGTAGTTTGGCAAACACAATTGCAGAAAGGACGGCGGCTAGAGATCCAGGAACACAGATCTGCAGAAAAGAGATGAAATGTGGGAAATTATTTAAAAAAACAACATTCCATGCAATACAACACTGACGACTACCACATGCCGAACAACCTGTAATAGAAAGGCATCCAGACCATTAAGTTTGAGCCAATTTATCTCGACACTTGCGAAATATCAAAAAGTTTTCAACTGTCAAAAAACTCCTGAGAGCTAGTTTATTTCAAAATTCCCATACAAAAATGCCGGAAATCCCGAATTCAGAATATACGTAAAAATTAGAGCTCTTCATGTTGTTCAGTGTTGTTGATTTATTAAGTTTTTTGTGAGAATCTTCTTAAGCCGTGCAGTAATTTTTTGTTTTGTTTTTGAATGTAATTTTCTAATTTATACAAGAAAATTTTACCAACTTCCGTATCATTTTGATCTACAAAATTTGCGAAATCCAAAAACATATATTTCAAAATGTTTGACCAAGTTATAGTTCCTTAAAGTTAGCTGACCTATTACCAGTTTCTCCAGTGCGATTTCTTTAATATGTAATTTCATAATTTAAAAATACTTTAAGTATTGAAAATCCATGCAAAATTAGATATCATTTTCTTTCTATCTACAAAATCTGATAAATTCAGAAATGTAGGTTTTTAAAAGTGTTGGTCCATAATGTCTCCAGTTATGACTCTTTAAAGTTAACATACCGTATTTCCTCTACTAATAGCCCACCCAAACCTCCGACTTTGAGCGCAATTATCTCAATTCGTGTGAAATAAATATATCGAAAACTTGTAAACCGTAAAAATGTTGCTGATATTCTGATGAATAAATTTTCAGTTGATAAAACTTTGATATCTGTCACAGGAATCGAGATAATTGATCTCAAAGTTGACGGTTTGGGTCGGCTTCTATTAGAGGGAGTATGTCGAATGTGCCCCGATTCCTGGAATCAAACACGTCTCTTTAAAGCCTTCTTTCCCAACTTTAAGAAAACCAGGCCATATTCAGTATCATTCTGATCAACAGAATCTGAGAAATCCAAAATTCTAACTTTCAAACTTTTTTGGCCGATCAGCTAAAAGTTATGTTCTTCTGGGAGTGCCCTTCACTTTTCTTTTATCTATAAAACCCATTTTAGTATATGTATTTTTACTTCTTCTCAAAATCACAACAACCTAAGTTGAGCTCTCAAAAGTACACTATATAAGTTTTGTGTTGTGTTTCCTGTGACTTTCCATGCGATAAGTTAGAATCATCAATGCAATGACGTAACATAATGTAGGAAGCAAAGGAATCAGATACCTCATTAAAAAAATAACATCAGCTGACTTCCCTTTTCAGCAAAAAAACTTTTCTTCTTCATTTTTTTTACACAGAAATTGGACCTTCTTTCCCGCTATATACCAATTCCTGTTTTGAAATAAAAATACACACCGCAGAATAATTGAAAACAAGGTGTTTCCGGAATCTCTTTGTCTAGGAGGAAACACTCCATCTTCGCCAGAGTCAGAAAGGATCATTGGAATTGACAAGGACACATTTTGATGATGATTGGGAGAAGAAAAAAAAAAGATGAATAGGGGTAATTTGAGAATATATTTTCGAAACGGATGTGGTGGAGAGATGCGTCACCAGTGTCTGGTCTAGAAGGTGACAATGAGGAACACTCTTCCCATAATGAGATGGTGGAGAACACAAAAAAAAATGGAGACAAAGATTATTGAGCAGAAACGAGAAGACGGGTTGTGAGAATAATTAAATCGTATTGTTACATTCAAATTGAAAAAAAATGAAACACAAATTTTTGAACTACTACAGGGTGGCGTACAAGTTTGTACTAGCATAAAAGTTGAGTGAAGCGTTGTACTGGGCTTAAATTTAGTGTACACAACTTCAAAGAACTTATCAATAAACTGGGCAATTTTCAAACTATTTTATCAACTTTGAGCTGAGTTATCGCTTGTCAAACTTGCTTCATCTTTTGAAAATCACAGGAAACATATCATCGTTGGACAATCATAACAATACCTAGACTTGAGGAATCGTTTTGAAAATTTCAGTAGCTATGAATCAAACATAAAATTATTTATTTCTACCAATTTTCGTGCTTCCAAGATACTTATGTCTAAAGATATGCAATTTTGTCAGTCCCGGAGCAATTATGCGCCGCTCTGTATGCCGATAAGGGATTATCCGAACTACAGTAACCCGGAACACCTATATCTTTTTTTTAGTATTGTTCTTTTTTTCCCATTTCTTCTCCGTTCAGTTCATATTTCCTCAAAATAACATACTAACTCTCCCTAACCGCGACACTCTGTTCTCCTTTCACAAAAAGCCAAAAAAGAGAAAAATAATGACTTCTCAAGTGTCTTCAAAATAAAAATATATATGCAAAAAGAGAAATTCATTCAACTGGATCCAACGAGCACAAAAAGAGAACCCCTGCTATTCGATGGAAGGTTCCAAACTCATTAGGCTGGAAGAATGGAATGGGGCTTCTCCATTCTCCCCTTTTTTTAGATTAAATGAATCATTGAACAGATGGATCGGAAAAAGAAGAAGATGGGTTCAAGACACATCCCATGTTTTGACAAAGAATATACTGGTAAACATATTATTTGCTTTTTTTGACCCCCCGGAGAAGATAAGTGGAAGCATATATGGGATCCGATTAAAGACTTACGTAGATTCCAAAATATTAACATTTTGGATCACTTGTTTATCTTTTTACATAGTAATGGATCATTCGGTTAATCCGTTCCGAGAAATTGAGAATCAAGGAAGAAAAAACCATGAGACGAATGGTAAATTTTGAGTCCAATATATCTCGGTTACTGTCAAAGCTACAAAAATTTGGTGAGCTGATAAAATATTATTGATATTATGATAAACATTTTGTCAGTTGACAACTTTTTTCTATCTTTCAAAAGAACCGAGATATATGGGCTAAAAGATAGAGTTGGGGTGACATTCAATTAGAGTGCTTACGGGACATACCGTAAACTTTGAGCCCATATATCTCAGTTCATGTAAAATCCAGACAGCCTTATCCCTGTTTTTTCTAGTTTAAGACCTTTGTCCACTACACATCATCATTTTCTAATACCTTCTTCTTCTTCTACTCAAACCCTTCTTCTTCTCCAATTCCTTATTCTTCTCCTTCCTCATCATATCCGTTTTTTCCGTTTTTCGGATAATGATGGATCAGCAAAGGGGGCTCATTATCAAAATGAAGAAGACGAGCAGTATCTTTCTTTTTCTTCTTGCCATTTCGTTCACACAAATTTATTCATGAGAAGCTGTGAAGAGCAAATGAAGAGAAAGAAGGAGAAGCATTTTCAGGGACATTTCAGATCTTCTTCTTTTCCAGAATTTCACATCATCTACTTTTTTTTTGGTGCGTCATCCGATCTTTAGTTCCACCCACACCATGTACACCTTTATTGGCATAAGCAGCGACCGAAAATTTCGGAGCAACTCCATCACCTCCGTTATGTCAAAATGAAAAAGTCAACTCTCGAGTAAAAGGTTCTCTTCAATGGAGTCTTCAAAACATTCGATTACTAATTTTATGAAGACGACCACTAACGAATCTCTGGGATGTTTGGTCTAGACGGCTTCCGCAACTTTTCATTTTATTCCGAATTAGTCGATGCAGCAGCGAATAGATAAAAAAACAAGCGCTAAAATAGCTGGTGGTTTCATCCACCCATCGCAATAAAAAATTTTGGACCTTTTTTGGGTTCCCCGAAAAAAAATTTCGAGGAGCTGTTGTTTGTTGCTTGATTGAAACGATTTCTGACGTTTCGCTATGGTTCTGCTCCACAACTCATATCTTACGAAAATCAAGCATCCATAAAACATGCAACAGTTAAAAACACGACATTCATATAATTAAATAATATTAACCAGAGGAACAAGGTAAAGGTATGATATTCTCTCCACGTTTTCATAGGAGAAGAGCTCTTCCCATGAACAAGCGGAAAGAGATCGATTGTTCAGCATGTTATCAGAAACAATGAATAATTTTTAATATAAAGAGTAGACTTTCTAGTGTTGGAGAGGAATACTAGATATGCTTCTCTACATCAAAAACAAACGAAAAAGGGCGGGGCTTCTCGACGACGGAGATGTGGGGAAGAGGGAGGGGGAGGGGAAAGAGAAAAAATAGTGGGGAAAGAAATTTGACAGTTAAAAATATTGCGAGAATAGAAAAACAGCTTTAAAGCTTAACGCAGTTAACTTATAGGTTATTCTACACCTAGAGGAATTGAGCAAAAAGCAAGAAGTTTGTACAAGCCTGGCTTAAACAACGCGGACTTTGGATAGACGATCAAGTGTGCTGTAGGAAAGTTGATCAGAGAGTGTGGCCCAGTCACGAAGTTCTCCGTTTTTGAATCTGAAATTAAAACTGAGAGTATGTTGGATGAAATTTCAATACCTGTAGGCTTTGAACAAGCCAGTTCCTCTTTTGGCCATTTCATGAGCGACATATACTGGTGTTGGAATGGAAGTAGGGCTATTGACGAGCTGGGATGTCAATTTGAGGTGAAGAACAAGCGTAAGAAACTAACTTGGTGGAGGCTGCATACGGCACAAACCATTTTCGTAATGTGGTCATCTGTCACTTCCTCGTCATCACGGATGATCAAGAAAGAAGGAACTTTGGCAGTACCTTGTACTGGACGGAAAGCTTGGATGAAAATTTGTCGCTTTCCATATTCAGCAATCTCTCCGCCTACAGATGTATCCGGCAACGGGTTCTGTAAATTTTTAGTGATAAGGCTACACTCAAAGAGTTAACATACAGTTGGCATGTTTCCATGATGACCTCCTTTCGCGTAAAAGCGAGTGTGGTGGCGTTTCTTTACAACGATCGCCAATACTTTAGGAGCGTAATCACGATGTCCCATTGATTTAGCAGCTGCGATACATGTTTCTTCGATGATTTTAACTTCCCGCAAGGCTTCAGTTTCTTCTCCGAATGAGACTCCGTCGCGGAAAATGATAATTCTTTTGGGGAATCCGCGACGCTCAGCAAAGTTACGAACATTTTGATCTGTGAACTTCCTGAGAATCTCATCCTGGATAGCTTCACGCCTTGGATCAGTATATAGGAAGTCTCCAACGAAGGAATATGGACTTTCAGCTGAGTTGCAAGACAACTAAAAATTTGAATTTTATATTGAAAAATGACCTAGTTGAAACTCACGCCCACGGTAGAAGGACTTCCTTCTCGCGTTGCCATTTTGTCCGGGTGAGCTACGTCCATGCCCATGACAAATGTCGACACCTCTCGCCAAGATCCAATGCTGAAATTTTCAAATTGGAGCATGCTTCTAGTTATAATACCAACTCTCTGGGAATGTCGGCTGTGTAGTTCAATCCTCCACATTTGACGTTGGCTTTCATCACAATGTTGTCGAGAGTCAAATCGTAGGCTCTTCTACCGCCTTGCGACTTCTTCTCGATGTTATCACGAATCTTCCTAATATTCTTCAGAAGGATATGTTGAGTGGGAATATCGCTCATCCGCTCCTCGAACTTCAGACACTCTGTAACCATTTTCATGTAAATTGTTTTCTTGTTGTTGAATAGTTACCATGAATATTCGGGACGTCATCCGAGACAAAAAGAACGAAAGGAATAAAAGACGGGTCCCGATATCTATTGTGAGTGACTAGATTCTTGAAAACTGATGTTAGGAAGTTTTCGCTGTTTCGTTCTCCTTCAAAACTTCTCAATTCATAGTTATCGATGCGCATTCCCTTGTCGTTGCATCTTTGCATAAAAGCACGAGCGACGAACTCTGTGGCTTTGATTTCAGCATCGAAGTTTCGAGAATAACCTGCTACCAAGACGAACACCAGATGATGGATTGTTGCTGGTGTTTCGAACTTTTTGTCCTGAGCCTTCCAATCGCGCTGTAATGTCCAACATTAAGAATCACCAAATAACCAAATGTACCTTTTCGTCATCGACATGAACCGGGTCAGCATAGGTGATTTTCGGAGCGAGAACTCTTTCACCGTCAATCTCGCTGATGTTTTGGAACGGGTCGTTGCAAATTTGAACTCCGAATTCTTGCATCACTTGATCGTTGAAACCAAATTCTTCATAGTGATGTTGAAGGGTTGTCCAGCGTTCATTTGGAGCATTAGCGCGCGGCTGAAATAACTCATATGGAATTTTTGTTCAAAAACGGGTTCTTACAGTGAGCTCAAACTCTTCAAGGACTCGGCGGTCAACAGATTGGAATGGGAGAACTTTCAGATACTCGAGTGGCATCAAACGTCTATGAGGGCCATTGCCGCATTGAGCAGCTGGGAAATTTGGGAATCTGAAATTCTTTCCTCTAAATCTGTAACACTTTATCGGGTAGTTACCTAAGATTTGGATACTTTTGTCTGTATTCCGGATCTTTCGGTGCATTGTAGTCGACATCGGAAACGGTGATGGTGTTGGTCGCCCAATCGGCTAAATCCTCGTAGAACGGATTGCACTTGAGATCTTTCAAGAGCAATTTCACGGCTCTTTGAAGCCTCATGTTGGGATTGATCATGCGGTTTGGAACAAAGTCTCTGGGAAAGGCATATTGAATCATTTGGCTAAGTGGGATCGCGGCATAATATTGTGTTGATTGTGCTGAAAAAAAGAAATCTAAACAAGTCTCTTCAAACGTCTTATACGATCAAGTTCCAAGATTGGCAGTGGATGTCCGGTTCCTACGATTCTGCATCCTTTGTGTATTCCTTTCGCGGCTACCGCCCACTTCACACGGAGCTCTTCCATGTGACCAGTGTTCACATACAGTCCTTTGGATTGGGACAGATATTTCCCGCTGAAAAAAATTGAAGAATACAAGTTAGTAATCTAGATTTTGACAAACCTTCTAATGGCACTCTGTGAAGTGACGATATCCAGGTAAGCGTAGAATCTTGGGTCACTCCACTCATTAACTTCAGTCTGATTGAATGACGGCTTTTCAAGATCAGGCTCACAGGTAATCTCCAAATCTCCGTTAAGAAATTTGATGGAATCTTTCAGAAACTCCGAGATTTCAGGAATTTCAAGAGCGTCCTCTTTCTTGATAACCATCAACTGAAATGGCGAACATAGTGATAACTAAGCCTAGTTCCAAAGTTCGTACCTCACTAATTCCTTCCAAGGTGAACAAGGACTGAGCGCCATCGTACGCAAAAAGGACATCCGTCTTTTTACCTCCCTTTCTACCGGCCCACTTGTCCAGAAGTTTTCGAAGAAGAATGAAATTATCCTTCTGCTTGGACGCACGATTTCCACGACCTCTGAAAAATTAAGTTTTTGCTGATGCAGTGACATATTTCCATACCTGGCACTCATGGTGGTGAGGATGTAATCCTTCTTGGTTTTATGATCGAGTAGTTTCATTTGAACGACATGACGAAAGACGGTGCGATCCGACAGCTCGAGTCCGAAGATGTTGATTGCAAGCCTCGGGTTGTTTTGGTTCATGTTTGAAGAGTTTCCTAAATGAATGTTAACTGATTTTTGTTTCATACAATGGGATTATTCACCAAAATGTGAAAAATGCTAAAAATTTCGCGAAAAACCCTTTCGCGAAAAAGAACGAACCAATCGCAAACTTTTGTGAATTTGTTCCCTAAAAATTTCTCCTATTTTCTCCTGAGTTTCAGCCAGATTCGTTCATTCTCCGAGTTTTCGCGGAATTTTTCGCATTTCTCTGCATTTTTTACATTTTGGTGAATAACCCCATAAGATATCTCAAGAAAATCAAACAAAAACTCGAGATTTTCCTTCAAAAATTTAGGACAATGAATTTCGAAAACAAATTTGTTCTAGAAAAGTGTGTGTTCACCATGACGCACAATTGCAGAGTTCTTGCACACCGTAACCTAACAAAGAGCGCGCACCATCGTTTTTAAAGATGAAGTAAAGCTTTGTGATGCATCATAATCATTATAATAGTTTGAACAGCTTTCGAAAATGAGGGTCAGTTGATGACTATTTTGAAACTTGCTTCTAGTGCGTAATTACACCACTAACTCTACCGTTTCCGCAGAAAAAAAACTGACTGGAGCATTCGAAAATTGAGACCGTACGAATCCGGGAGACACCCAAAAGCGGGAGACACGAAAGGGGAGAAAGTACGCAATTGCTTACCGTAATCCACCGTTCCGTTGTAAAAAAAATAAACTATTTTTCAGTAAATTTGTGAATAAAATACCCGAGATAAATGAAAATATGTTTTAAAAAATTTTGAGACCTTTTTTATGCTCCTGAACATCATTTTCGGCCGTTTGATTACTCTCGGTTTGGGAATTAACGGTGGTACGGTAAGCAATTTCGTCTCCCGCTTTCGTGTCTCCCGCTTTCGTGTCTCCCGCTTTTGTGTCTCCCGCTTTTGGGTGTCTCCCCGATTCGTACGGTCTCCGAAAATTTACAAAAATCATAAATTATGCAGAAAGAGTTGTCGATAGCTGAAAAGCAACTTCTGTGTAAGTTCTCACCTTTGTTCTCTTTATCATCCGGGAGCAATCCGTTGCATCGACCGACAGCTTCTACCGGTCTGGCATGATTGTCGTCGTTGTTGCTTCGCCCACCACGGTGACCATCGCCTCCTCTTCCTCTGTACGAACTGTTCTGACCATTACGAGGACCTCCTCTTCCACGGTAACCTCCTCGAGATTCGTTTCCCTCTCTACTGGAGGTTCCCCGGTCGGAGCCACCACGGTATCCACCTCTTCCTCTATTATTGGACTCCCTTTCGTCACGGGAACTCGAAGGAGGTCCTCGTTCAGACCCTCCATCCCGATACGACCCACGACCAGCACCACGGCCCGACTCTCGATCACCACGTCCCCGTCCTCTTCCTCCACCTCCACGTCCGCGATTCTCCGACTGCATTCTGTGCTGAAAATTCTCGATTTCCAGAAAAACTGCTTCAGACTATGACACGATATCTCACGATAAACGATAACAAGTCGTGGAAAAAATGCTATATTATTTTCAATGCTCACTTTTCACCTTAATTACTTTTCGGGGTACTGTAGCCACAAAAACAAGTATTGTTATTCTCGCTCCAAAAAATAGAAGAGCGAACCTTAATATACAACGACTTTACAGATTTTCTCAAAAAGAATCTAATTTCAATTCCATTAATAATCTCAATTACCTTCTCCCTCAATACTCAAATTTCAGTGTTTGTCATAGAATGATTACAAGTGTAGAGAGAGCATAGAGTCTCGAGGAGACGTAGTGCTCACCTGTCGCATAACTTTCCCACGGGGTCCTAATATAAATCAAAGCAGAGAGTCACTCTCTCACTCACTTCTCCTCCTCTCCCAAAACGACAAGTCATTAGAATACTGATTTCCCTCTTCCGAATACTACTGTTATTTGTCTCCAAATGGCTTTTAACATTGAAAGTTTACTGGAAACTAAGCCCAATCAACACGAAGAAGCTTATGAAGAGGACGTAGAAGAAGAAGAAAGAGATAAGGAAAGAGAAGAAGATGAGGATGAGGAAAAAGGTTTAATTGACGGATGGTCTAACTTGGCAAGCAGCCAATTGGCTATGTATGCGATCGCTAACGATCTACGTACTCCAACACTAATCGAGCTGCAAATGCTACTTGGAGTCTCTGGTAAGCGAAAAATAGAAAACTTGAAAAAGGTATGAGCGGCCCATTCGGGAAACGAACGATAAACAAGTGATGGGAACGTAGCTACACTCCCAGTGATGCGTGCGCATGAAACGTGGAAAATAGATTATGAGCTGGAATGACGTGGAAAATGCGCGCGCGCCTTTATCCAAATTGTGACCTCCTTGGATCTCAGAGTTGTAGTTGAATATTTGGCGCTTTAAATCTACGAAAGTACTGTAGTTTTAAATAGTGTTGAAAAACAAGCGTGTTCAAATCTATTGGGTTACTGTATTCAATAGTGAGAAAGGCTTGATTCACCTACAGTAGGAATCAATCCAGTTATTAGGAAAACAGAGTATCAAAGATCTGATAGTTTTCTTAATAGATCGAAGTCAAGTTCACCCAAACAGGCAACTTTTAGCTCAAATATCTTGATTCCTGTGGAAGATATTGAAAATCTATCAACTAATAAAATGTTTGTGATAAAATTATAAATAAATAATATCAGTTGACATATTTTTAATATCTTTCACAGGAATCGAGATAATTAAGCTAAAAGTTGATGATTTGGGTGGGTTTCTATTAAAGGGAATACGGTATCTGCATTCAAAAATGTTCGGCTAATATATGCTGGGTTCTTTGAGTTTTCATTGTCTCTTTGGTACTGGTTCACTAGCTTGGTATCTTTTCAAATTTGAGTGAAAACTATTATCTTATTTGATCTGATAGAATCGCACCCTAACTTTCAATTTTGAGCCAATTTATCTCGGTTCCTGTGAAAGATATAAAAAATCTGGCAACTGATAAAATGTTAATCATAATAACACCAATATTTTATCAGTTGACAAATTCTTGATATCTTTCGCAGGAATTTAGACAATTGCGCTTAAAATTGATTGTCTGATTGGGCTTCTTTTAGAGAAAATGCGGAAAACGGTATACGATAAACGGTAATCCAAAGTCTCAAACATCATTGACTTTGTTCACAAATTCTGAAACTTAGTGTTCTAATTTCTTTTCTTTGATTTTTCATTCGTTGGCTACAGTAAGACGAATGTCTTTGATCTGGCCCTTTTTTTCAGATAGGGCATTTCAATTTGTCTCTTTGGGTCCAGTTCCCTAATTTGGTATACTCTAAAAGTTTATTGAAAAACTACTCTCTGACCATGAGAAAAGTGCAAAACATTTAGAAGTACATATTGAAATTCAAATTTATAATGTCTTCGAAAAAAATGTATGAGTATCAAATAGAATTGAACTTTGACAGTCCATTGAAATCGATTATCGCATTTCTTTTAATAGAAGCCAACTCAAACCGTCAAGTTTGAGCTCCATTATCTAGATACATGTAAAAGATATCAAAAATATGTCAACTGATAAATTGTTCCTCATATTATCACAAACATTTTGTGACCCTTTTTTGATACCTTCAACAGGAACTGAGATATGTTGACTCAAACTTGACAGTGGTTTTACGGTAATAGATAAATGGTTCTCAAAAAAGAAGGTGTTTTTTTTGAAACTGAAGTGATGGAGCGAGTTTCCTCTTGTAACTGAAATGAACACCGCAACGGACTCAAACCGACTGAATTTGAATTTCTCCACCAAATTTTTTTTTCAAAGCCGTACACAAGTAAAGGTCGTAAACGATGAGACACCGAAAACGCATGCATATTCATGCATATCAATGTGTTCGGTGTCGGCAAAAAAGTCTATTAAGGAAAGAGTCGATTTGATATGATATTTGCATTGGAAGATGTCGTGCGACTATGCAAAATAGATATACGGTTTCTTTTTGAAGTTTCTTTGAGCTGGATTGTTTTCTGGTGCGTACTACGGTAGCCAAGAGCAAACGAAACTAATTGAAGTTTAGAAGTTTGATTGATAAGTTCCATATAATCAGTTAAAGTTTGATTGACATGTTGATAGCAACATTAATCAAAAAAGAGCTCTCTTGTCAATTATCTTTTGAGAAAAGTAATTCAAAAAGAAAAAAGGTGGCCAGAGAGAAAGAAAAAGAAATTGAAAATTCTATAATTTCAGCACGGAAGCATGACTACAAAAGAAATCGAAAATCGGTGAGCGAACGGAAACCAAGACAAGCATACTCTGCAAGACAGTTGGATAGATTGGAGTCTGAGTTTCAGGTGAATAAAACTTCTTATGTTATAGAAAGGGAATTTTAATCTCAAAAAGTTTCCAGAACGATAAGTATCTAAGTGTGAACAAGAGAATTCAGTTGTCCCAAACTTTGAATCTAACCGAGACTCAAATCAAGACATGGTTTCAGAATAGAAGGTAAAGACGTTTTTCATGAAGGAAGTAGAGGAGTCGAGAAAGAAAAAAAATATGAGGAAAGGAGTCTAATGGGCACAATGTGTAGAAACATTGCTCAGGCTTCACCTCACAAAGATGAGTCATGATTTGTGTTATAACAAGTGACAGTAATGTTAATAGTGAGTAAGAAGAAGAAGAAACCATTTGTTGAGATTACAAAAATGTGTTATTTAAAAAAATTGGGCTCTGCCCAAAAGTTTTTTTAAAATCAATATTTTTTGACCAAATCTTTAAAAAATCTAAAAAAATATTTATGACTTGAAAAGATTATTTCGTCCGTTTACAAATACTTTTTTTCGAAAAATCAAAAAATCAACGGAAAAATGGCTGATAGATTTCTTCCATACTTGAAAACGTGCCCATAACGGGCTCACAACGGATCATGACATAGTTTCTTTCAGGATCAATATTTTCAGACCAATCAAATTAGATAGGATAGAACTTGACGAGTACTACAAAATGATACTATTTGAAAATTTGTATCTTGTCTATGAACGAAGTTATAAACTGTGAACTGTCTTGCCCCAGCCTGGCAAAGCCCCGTTTTGTCTGTAACTTCGATCATAGACAAGATACACTTTTCGAAATAGTATCAATTTGTAGTACTCGTCAATATCAATCATATGTGATTTTATTTAGAAAAAATATAGATTCTGAACGAAATTATGTAATGATCCGTTATCGGCCCGTTTTCAAGTATGGAAAAATCTATTAGCCATTCTCCAGTTGAGTTTTTGATTTTCCGGAAAAAGTATTTATGGAAAAACAGAAACAATCTTTTCAGGTCTAACATTTTTTTAATGCGTAATTTTTTTGGAATCCATTCAAAAAATTATCTTTTGAGTTATTATAATTGACGATGGGGGTGATTATGATTGAAAAAACTAGACGGTTCTGAAACTGTTTAAAAACTTTAATTACTTCCTTTCAAATCCAGAATTATTTTTCTTATTTTGAAATTAAATAAAAAGAATCATAAGATTTGAGAATTTTTTCATCTAAAAACATGCTCTGGCTAGATTTCCTTAAGGAAGAGATAGTGAGAAAAAATGCGAAAAAGAAGAGAACAAGAAAAAATAATTAATCCCATCTTATCTTATAAGCCATATCCTACCAATCCAAAAAAATAGAAATTTTTTCGCGGCATTGTCAAATTTGAATTCCTATTGATTCAGGGAACATAGTGGAAGAAGAAACTTTTCGTTTTTTTCTCCTATTGCACGCTCTCCCACAGAACAATTCCGAACTGCAAATTAATTTCTACAGAAAATATTCTATAATCAGATCTACAGAAAAAAAGTTTGACGCGATCACAATTGCAGGTCTAAAACCATAATTTCAGAATTTTTTATCTGATTTTGTGGAGTTCCAAGATGATTCAAATGATTCTTAAAAATTAATTAGTGGTTATGAATTTATGTATGGTCGTTTTCCGGAAGAAAAAATGTCAAAAATGGTCATTTTTGAAAGTTTTTTACAGAAAAAATCTATCTCCTCTTTCAGTTTTTGACATTTCTAGGAGTTATATAGCTCAAAAAAACCGCAATTATTTTCTCTACATTTTCTACGGACGAATTTTTAATTCGTCTGATAAAACTTTTTTATAATTCAAAAACAACGCAAAAATGCTATTTTGTACAATTTCATGAGGTTTTTGAGTTATAAAAAAAGTTTTATCAGACAACTTAAAAATTCATCCATAGAAAATGTAGAGAAAATAATTGCGGTTTTTTTGAGCTATATAACTCTTAGAAATGTCAAAAACTGAAAGAGGAGATAGATTTTTTCAATTAATTTTTTAAGAATCACTTGAATCATCTTGAAATAAAATCAGATAAAAAATTCTGAAATTATGGTTTGAGACCTGCAATTGTGATCGCGCCAAACTTTTTTTTCTGTAGATCAAAAATTAATTTGCAGTTCGGAATTGTTCTGTGGGAGAGCATGTATTGCGAAATATCACGGAAAGGGAAGAAGCGGGGAGAGTGTGAAGAATCGTTTTATATCGTTTTACGACGATACAAAGCATGGGAACACCGAGAGGAATCGGTGTAAAAATATATATTTCTGAAATTTTAGGAGAAAAAAAAGAGAAAATGTGTCAACCGAAATTAGAACAAATATTCTATAATCAGAAATTCCAGAACTAAATGGAAGAAGCAATTGACGTCTTCAATCCGTCAAATGTGCAAAGAAGTCCCTTCGACTCCTGTCGTCCCATTCCCAGCTCTTCTCTCCCAACCAAACACTTCGCTTGCCACGTCACTAATCTCTTCTCTCAACACCAGTGTTTCCAGACAAGAAGAATCCTCATCGGTCATTGATAATCATGAATAAGAATCTCAACTTTTTTCAAAGCTTTTTTCAATAAATTTTATCCATATGGTTACTATGATTGTATAAATTCAGGGGGAAATTTGTGTCTGGAAATTTTGATGCAATACACAGAATACAACTTTGTCGAAACAAGAATACGGTGTTTTTATGAAACTCGGAGAAAACTGATTAAAAAACAAAAAGGTAAATATGATACAGAAGTAGGTATAGTTATCATCGGTTTTGAATTATGGATAAACCCGCTGGATATGGTTACAATTCGTCGACACGTCTCGATTTGATATCCGCCATCATTCGATCCAACTCCGCTGTATACCGGAGAGTTTCATCGAGAAGTGCATCTGCTTCGCCGGTCACTTTTTTGAGATATAGATCCTCTTTTTTAACTTCTATAAATATCACAATTAGAAATATGAAGCTCCAAGAAAAGTAAACCTTCACAAAACTGCGCTTCGTCTCGTTTCTTCTTCGACAGATGTTCTTCACAAACGTTCTCGAACGATTCTCTTTTCCTCTTCAGCTTGTCTTTCACGTCTTCTGGAAGTTCTGTTGATGGCTCCCAGTCTTCCAAATATCGTCGAGCCACATAAAGGGAAGTGTCCGGACATTGGAACGAACTATTGGTCACACAACTATACGATGGTTGTTTATCCTTCAGAACGCTTTCGTGACTCTTCCTTTCCGACATCATCCAGTCGTCTGGAGCGTTAAACTTGTACCTCGTTTCGATTTTCGTACTTTTCTCGAAACGCCGATAAAACTCTTCTTCTCGTCTCTGTTTCTCTTGGGCCGACATCCTTTTATGCTTTATTTGCCGGGCAGAAGATCTCCATTTTGTAAACGCGTCTCGAACCATTCGATTCTGCCGCTTAACCTTGAATATCTTCAGCTTGATGTGATTGGACGATCGATTGAGCATCGGGCAAACGGGGGAGGTGTTTTGACTGCTGCTACCGTATTTCTCGTTGAGATTTTTTGCAATTTCTGTGAAAAAAGAACGATAAAGAATGGAGAAAAAGAAAACATTCTGAACCTTCTGATTCCCATCGGGGGACACATCTTCTAATCATGTCTAACTTTCGAAGCTTGGCCTCTTTCTTAATTTGAACCCAATCCCTCCAGCGATTCCAGAATTGCAGTAGCCACTGTTTTGACATACGATCACGGAATACACCCAATCTTTCCAGAATAGCTTCTTTCTCATTGACCATATCTTCGCAGATTGACTTCACCCGACCGTCGATACTTTTGAGCACTTCCTTCCAGAATTTTTCAGTGATACTTCGAGCCAGTCTCCGTTCTCGGTCGTGTTTCTCCCGCTTTAATTCCTCTTCGGCGATCTTTTTCAGTTGTTTTTCGGCTACTTCTTTTTCGACTTTCATCGCTAGATTTCTTGCTATTTCTTTCTCTTTGTTCATTCTTATTTCCTCTTGTTCCAATCGTATCCGTTCTGCTTCAGCTTTTCGTTGTCGAGCGTTTTCCATAGCAACCATCTGCTTTCGAACTATCTTCGCCTTTCGGACTTCTTCGTCGACGATGCCGTAAACCACCTGGTCCACTACTCCAGACGTTAGCTTTTCTATCAACTTTTCACGCTCAGCCACTCTTACTCTCTGAAAACCGCTTGTTTAATATTAAGATCGACGATTTCCAGAAGATCTCACCTTCAACCTCTCAGCTTCAGCTTTCTGCCTTTGTTCCATCGTTGCTTGCGCCTGAAGCGATCCAGATGAAACAGCAAACGAGGAAGACGCATCATTGATAGTGATTGGAACATCAGATTCGTTAAGGACGGCTTCCAATACCCTATCATGGGTATACTCCTGATGATGATTGAAAGAATTTGAAACGTCACAGCGGGAAGCGATGAATTGGAATAGATCTGGTCCATACACTGCAGAACTGAACTTTCCAGTACTCTTTCTGTCGATCCAGTCGTATGTTGTGAGAGGGATTGTTTCATTAAGAGTAAGATCATCTTTGGAAAGCATCACATAATCCGTTCCTTCTGTCCTCAAACCATAAGTATGAAGCATGCTTGTAAGATCTTCAACTTTATCAAAAGCCAGTATTCGTTGAAGTTTTTCCAGTGGGAATGTGTTCCGTCCGTAGGAATTGGTCATGATTGATACAGCATTACTTCTAGTGATATTGAAAAGTTTGTGTGCTACGCAGCATTGAAGATATGATGCATCCGTCTGAAGAACTCGGAAAAATCTACAGTAGTTCTTGTCACGAAAAGCTGATGCTAATTGGAGAGCCAGACGAACGGATTTCGATTGACGAACTTCACTGCGATAAGAGAGGACTTGCGATAGAATATTGGTATCATTCATATGGAGCATAACATCATAGGAACGAAATTCGGCTTCATTCACACATGGTATTCCTCTCTTCTCGAAATCTTCATAAAAATGTCGAAGAGTTTGTAGACATTTTCCCAGGGTCTCGTTGTTCATTGCTGCATCGAAATATTCCGTTTCGAGATCACAGAGGACGTAACCAAAAAGGATATGAAGACGTGTACATCTTTCCACCAAATTCAGAGCCAACGAATCAGAAAGAGACAATTGGGTAACTTCCTTCCGAAGAGCACGTGTTCGATTCCATAGGAAATTGTACCAAGCAGCACGTTGCTCAGCAAACTCTGGGAACTCATCAAGGACCTCAAAAGGGGAGTTTCATTAAAAATGGATACGGTTTTTTCTAGAATCTTACATTATGAAGGAGATAGCACATTGCATGATTCATTATCTTCTCTGACCGTAACTCATGTGGTAATGGTCTCTCTTGGTCTGCAGCTGATCTCGCATACTGTTTCACCATCATTTCATGAGATACATCACCGGTTTCTTCATCGCATTCGAATGGTGAAACTCCTTTCTGCACTATCCTCTGATACCGTTCTTTCTCTGTACACATTTCTTCGCATCGCTCCAGTCGTTGAATCAACGGACTGTTCACCTCTCTCAATTGACACAGAATCTTGTCCCGCTCGTCCAGTAGAATGTATTTATCGTAGTCTTCCGGGCACTTTTGACCTCTCAATCCAGCTAGTTTTTGAATAAGTTTCGCTTCCTCTGATCCCGTTTTGAGTTGTGGTCGGGACTCTGGAGCTGGCGATAATCTTGATGATGGTTTCCACGTTCGATCGGCTGAAATTGAATACTGAACAACAGGTCAGTTTTTGTGTAAACCTGCCTATTGGTTTGAATGATGAGGTTTTTTCGTTAGATAATCCTCCGAATCCTTTTGAAGTAGAACCAAAGGAGCCAGAGAACAGTCCAGATGGTCCCTCCATCTTCACAGCATGATCAGTCTGAATATTTCATCAGATCATTTTAATCAACGTCAGAAAAAATACCTCGTTGTGTCCTTCTTCGACAACCGGCTTTGGCTTTCCAAAAAGACTTTTCACTTCGTTATTGGGTTGTCCAAATTGAAATCCGACTCGCTGAGAAGGTCGAATTGGTTTTGGTTCAACAAGTCTCTTCTGAGCTTCGCCAGTTGCACCTCGCTTTCTAAAAGTGAATGGGCCTATCGTCGATTTTCCTCCCTCCTTCAAACGAGAAGGAATCGCAAACGCTCCTTCTTGTAAATTCGGAACTTCTGTAACATTCTTTTCACTTTACTACTATTGGTTTCTCACTCACTGTCATCAGATGAATCTCTTTTTGCTTTTAAAACTGGTGGCTTGTTTTTTCCCACCATTGTAAGACGACTGGCAAGGGAGCTGCTTGAAGCTAAACTGACAGAGGGTTTCGGCTCGGGAGGAGCATCTTGCTTCGCGGCAGCTTGTGCGTGAAGTGAAGGCTTGCCAAAGAGTGAACCAGCACCAAACGCTACTTTTGGAACGGCTGCTCCGAAAGCACTTGGAGCTGAATAGACACTGATGACAATTTTTTTATTTCGGGAAAAACTACCTGGTGGAGCAACTGGTTGAGTTTTACCCAAGGTACCAGCTGAGTTGAAGTTAAATGGTGGAGGATCCATAACCTAAAACATTAGATTACAAGAAATTCGAGATGTTTAAAAAGTCGGAAAATTTCGAAGTTTTGAACATTTTTTATCTGGGAAAATTCAGAAAGCTCTGCATGTCGGCGTCTATCAAATTCCTGTTATGTCTCATGTCCGCAAACTCGTTTCTACGCAAACACCAACACATACCGTATCTTTTACAGTTTTAGCGCGTGGAACGATTTCTGTTTCAAATTCCGGATTTTTCTCTGCTCGTTACATTTGGAGACCCACAAATATCTGAGATCATCAAAACTTTAAACATAACTTCCGCTCTTGTCAGTACCTGCTATTGTTAATTTCCCTTTTAGTTGTCATAGACTTCTTCTAAATATTTTTTTCGAATTGATTGAAAATGTTCACTTCTTTCATTGATTTGTTGCATGAATCGAGACATTTTCTATTACTTTGTCGCAATTCTAACGTCTGGTGTATCATGATCTAATACTTACTAAGCAAAGCGCGGCGTAGCATCGTTGTTTTCTACAATTCAGAGTTTGCGCGGGAAGCATAAATAAATTGCTATATTTTCAGGTTACAACCTTGAATGATGCCGTCGTCCGAAGGCTCCTATAGAGATCTGGAGAAAAAGCTAAAGGATGGTCTCACTTCGATTTCGGCCGACATTGTGGATAAATATGGCAATTTGAAGGTCGCACTCAATATCAACAATACCGCGAAGCTGATTTTCGATCGTCTCGAAAATTTGGAAGACACCGCTGAAATGTCTTCTCGTGAGCTTTCAAATTTAATTGAGCAAACCGAGAAAGATAGTCCGGAAATGCTTGCTGAAATCAAGACACAAGCTAGGTCATGCGAAAATCTCGTGGAATTTTTGCAATCAGTAACTTTACATGTCCAATCGTGACACAATTTTAAATGTTTCAGATGAAAAAAGTGGAGGAACAGCTGATTATCATGCGAAGCAAGACCACAAACCGAATCGAATGGGGAAATGCCATTCTCGCTTGCAAAGATTATCTCAACGAAACGAATCTGCTTCTCGAAGGAATTCAATGCGAAGGATTTGATATGAGCATTCCGTTGAAGCATTTTGCAGCTGAATATTCAGTGCTCAGTTATAACTGCCGCTATCAACTATCTGCCGATTATGACCGCGCTATGAGCGTTCCAAAGGTGTCCAAGAAACAAGGCGGTGACAAATCGAATGTATCGGTCACGGTATTGAATCTTTCAACACCAGAAGAACAGAAGAACATGAATGAGACACTGACAGCAATGAATATGATCGGTCAGCTACCGGAACGGTTGGATGCATGGAAGACTGTAATCCTCAATGTCTTCTGCGAAGCAATCGTGTCGAGTCGGGATGGTGTCGATGTTTTCTTCGTCGACAACCCGACTCCTGCTCAAACAAGATTTTTGATCAATCAGAAGCCACGTGGAAAGAAAGATAAACCGATGGATGTCGAGAAAGTTCTTCAGTAAGTAAAAATATGTTTTGAATCGTTTTAAATTCGTATTTTAGGTCCATGGACGTGTTCTTTTCGAAACTGTCAGATGTACTTAAGTCTCACGAACTTCTCGATGCTTGTGGCAAATCCTTTGTGGCAATGATCGGCCATGCAATTCAACCACAACTAAACGAAATGATCCTCAAGGATGTAGTCGCAATTGCTGCTCCAGTCACTGAAACTGCCGAGGAAGACCAAGAAATGTTCCTTCGCTTATTGCAGTTCGGCGAAGACTTCGTTGAGAATATGAAAACTCTTGGTTTCTTCTCCCCAGACGCAAAGTTGCTTTTCTCACTCGACACTGACACTATTTTTGTAACACGCCGCTGTTTTGCAATTGTCTCGAAAGCCAATAAGCTGATCAATGAGACATATGATAAATTGGTAACTGTTGGAGTCGATGATACAGCTGTGAAGGATATTGATCTGCTATCGAAGGCCCATACACATGCAGAACTGTATGCTAAGGAGTACGGAAACGATCTTGCCCGCCTTTGGAGTCACAACGAAGAGTCGCAGTTCCCATCTTTCTTCGCTTTCCAAAAGTGTACTGTAAGGTATTCACAGATTATTAGTTAGTGATCTTTTCTTATATACGTTTTTTCCAGTGCATCAACAATCAGTTTTGTGAATCTACTACGAGATAATGTCAAAGCGGCATTCGCCTGTGAAGATGAAGGAGCTCGAGCTAAATTGGCACTTACAGCTGAGAACATCGTTCGTCTCTACGTAATTCAGTCACCACGAAAGCACGCTGAACTGTTCAGTTCCATTCCGAACATGTCCGCCATTTTCTACAATAACTGCCATTATATTTCTCACTGTATTATGACTATGTCATTCGAAGCGAGCGGTGAAAATCAAAAAACACTGCTTGAGCCTCTTCTTGTTGACTCCGTTATCAGATTGCGGAACGTCGCTGCAGATTGTATGGAGAAAACATTGACAAGATGCAGACGAGAGATGTCAGCCTATTTGGAGGATCACAGTATTTTTGAGCACTTGCCAGCCAGTTACAAAACAACGAAGAGCACCTTCGCAACACCTGATCAAATGGTCGAGATGGCTGACCTTTTAGTGCCGAAAGAAGAACCAAAAATGATTAAATGTCTGGCTGCCTGTCTCTTACATATCCGCCTGATTGCTCAGAATCTTCGAGAACCACTAACCGAAGTGGTGTACTGCAAAGTCATTGGATCACTAATATCATTCCTTCTGGATTCCCTTGTTCGACATGTCGTCACAACATCAGATTTCCGAGAGAATGATGCCAATGTGATGGCAGATGTCTTCAAACGGCTGCTTGAAGTTGTTGCCAACATTGTCACATACCGAGAGCAATCGAAAGTCACTGATTTCTGCGCACGAGAATATTTCCGTCTGAACGAGATAGTTTTCGTGTTAGGAAACCGAATGCAGGTATAACAAGCGGATCATGGTTAGCAAAACATATATTCCTATTTTTCAGGACATCGAACACCGTTGGTTCAACGCAAAGGGTCCAATGGCCGAGCATCTCAGCCGATCAGAAGTCGTTGGCCTCATCAAAGCTCTGTTCGCCGACTCCCAACACCGCACCGACCTTATTGCTCGCTTGTAGTTAACCGGATTCTTATTTTCAATTCACTATCATAATGATTTTTCTTATGTCATTTTTATTAACCGACATCGTGTGTTTTACCGGTTTCATATTCTTCGCTTCCCGCTTTTTGTGAATAAACTTGAATTATACAAACAAGGATTCCAGATGACGAATCTGTCTCTCCTACTTCTAGCGTCCTTGGAATGTGGCCAACTTTTCAAAAACTTTTTTGGCGCGCGCAGTCGGAGAGTACAGACAGTTAGAGAAATCACTTTGAAAGATCGTCTGAATAGTGTCACATGAGGAGAGGAAAAGGAGAAAGAAGCTGAGCTTCATCATCATCCATTCCGAACCAGTTGTGACTTTTAATCCCGTCGTTTCTCCTCCTACTCTTCTGTGACTTCGCCCGTTTCCTTTCCCGGCGACAATACGTTCTACTCTACTTATTTGTTCATTCCATTTGATCCTTCTTTTTTTCTTTTTCTCATTTATCCACATCTCCTTCTTTTTCCGTTTTCTTCCAGGCCCTAATAGTAATCTACTTCTTACTAAGTAAACTTTTCTGTGTGTGTGTCTGTGTGTCCGTCTCGGACATTTACTTGAATAACTCCAAAGGGCATGGGACTCCTATAATAGTGTGTGGTATGTAGCCATGGACTACCGAGCGCTTCATGTCTATGGGCCTTCTAGCTAACAGGGAACCTACAGGGTTGAGAATCAAAATTTTCAAAATTATGCTCAAACTCAATAAAACTTTATGAAATTTTGCAAAACGGTTTTTGGCCTATCTATGTGTTGCCTACATGAAATTGAGCAAAAATTTTCAGAACTTAAAAATTTTGAAAATTTCGTTTTTTTCGTCTATCACTTGAATTTCAATCCTGTGGACTACTGAAAATGGGTCATAGTAATTTTCTTTTGAATACAAGGTTCTTAAGTTATGAGGAAAATTCTAGAACATTCCAGAAAGTTCCATAAAATTAAAGAAAGTTCCAGAACATTCTAGAAAATTCCCGAAAGTTCCAGAAAACTCCAGAAAATTCCAGAACATTCTAGAAAATTCCAAGACATTCTAGAAGTTTCTGAACATTCTGGAAAATTCTAGAAAGTTCCAGAAAAATTCAGAACATTCAAAGTTCCAAAACATTCTAGAAAATTCTAGAAAATTCTAGAAAGTTCCTGAACATTCTAGAAAAAATTTTAGAACATTCCAGAAAACTCCAGAAAATTCCAGAACATTCTAGAAAATTCCAACACAATCTGGAAAGTTCCAGAACATTCCAGAAAGTTCTAGAACATTCTAGAAAAATCCAGAAACTTTCCAGAAAGTTCCAGTAAATTCTAGAAAGTTCCAGAACATTCTAGAACGTGCTAGAAAATTCCAGAACATTCTGAAAAATTCCGAAAAGTTCTAGAAAGTTCCCGAAAGTTCACGAAATTCCAGAAAACTCCAAAACATTCTCGAAACTTCCAGAAGATTTTAGAAAATTCCAGAAAGGGCTAGAAAATTCTGAAAAGTTCCTAAACATTTTAGAAAATTTCAGAACATTCTGGAGCATTCCAGAAAGTTCCTAAACATTCTAGAAAATTCCAGAAAATTCAAGAAATTCCAGAAAGCTCCAAAACATTTTAGAAACTTCCAGAAGATTATAGAAAACTTCAGCAAGGGCTAGAAAATTCTTTAAAGTTCTAGAAAATTCTGGAAAGTTCTAGAACATTTTGGAAAGTTCCAGAACATTCTGGAAAGTTCCAAAAAGAGCTAGAAAAATCCAGAAGTTTCGAGAACATTCTAGAAAGCTCCGGAACATTCCAAAAAACTCCAAAAGACCCAAAACATCATTAAAGCTCTAGAAAATTGTAGAATAGTCCTGGAAATTCGAAAAAGTTCAAGAATATTCCAAAAAATCCCAGAAGTGCCTCGAACGTTCTCAAATTTTAGCTTTCTCTATAAAATATTGCAAAATTTTCTCTATATTTTCATTGTGATCTAGAACCAAAGGCTTAGAAATAATAATGTATGTGGGTAGTTCAAAATTTCAGGAATTCGGAAAAGCCGAGTATTTAAAAAAACTCGGAAATGCAGAAATTCGACAATTAAGGATTTTAGGTTAGAAATTCGAGACTTTAGAAAATCAAACAATTGTATTCCCTTTTAAATAAACATGTATTCTGTCGTGTAGAAACTCGGAAATTCAGAAAATCGGATATCTTTTTTCTCAAAAAAGCGACAAGACTTAAAGGTGGGGGACAGGAGATTTTACGGAGGATTTTTGGAGCCACGGTATGCATTCTACCGCGACGGTGTACAACGCTTAATGTCACTCTGCGTACAGCTGTCGTCCTCGCCCTTATGTATGCAATCGGGCGGCATCTTCCTCTTTGCCCGCGTGGCTCAGTCGGTAGCTGCGCCGCATCCTCAATCCTCGCCCCCCACAAGTTCTACTCCTCGAGGGGCATATTTGAAAGTAATTTCGAGAACACCATTTTTTCATGTCTCCCCACCTTTAAAAGAAATTATCAGAACATTGAAAAAAGTACGCCTGTTTTATCAGAGGTAGGCATCAAATAGATGTGGGCTTCTATTGGAGAAATCACGGTATCTAGAAATTCCCATATTAGTAACATCCAAAATTTAAAAATCGAAGTACTTGGAAGTTTCGGGCACTCGGAAAGTGGAAAATCTAGACATTAGAAATTCAAGTGTAAGATACAGTGAACTGAAGCCAGGAGGTTGAGCCCCCGACAGGGGGCTCAAACCGACTGGTAACTAGTAATCTAACATCGTTTTTCGGTCTTTTTTCTCGATTCAAGTGACCATTCAAATGGGATTACGGTAGATTTGGGGCAAAATGAGAAGGCGCTTTTGGATATTAATGTCATATGAGAATTCTATTTTGTTTGTGGTATTGAAAGGCGATACTCGACTGCTTGAATTCCAGGTTTTCATTTGGTATGTGCTGATAAATGTCAACAGACAGAGGCAATGCTATTTTATTACCTTAAAACCTGAATTAGAAGGACCGGCCCTTCAATTGTCCCAAGGTACCTCTGGATTGCCCTTCTATTAGAGGGGCCCTTCAATTACAAGACCGCCTTCTATTTTCGGGCCATTTTTCTGAAAAATTTTATCGAAAAATCAGGTGAATTTTATTTCAAAAACAATCACAATTCATCAATTTCGCTAAATTAAGCAAGTTTTTGTACAAAAAAACAGTGTTTCAACAAATTTCCGCGAAATTTTGGAATTTCCGGAACATTTTCTACTGAAAACGTACGGAAATTTTTAATTCCAAACAACAAATTTGGAAGAGGACCGTTCTAATACAGGTTTTACGGTAGGATATATCTTAAAACCATCCGAAAGTGTTCTAAATTTGGCCCTCGAATGAAGACCATCCCATCAATCCATCTCAATTCGTCCTCCTATTCAAACAAATACAAAGCATGTCTTTATAGAGTTATTGGAAGAGTGCAAATTGCACCTGTTCTTCTTGTCCTTCCCCATGTTGTTCTTCTTTTTCTTCTTTTTGTTCACTGCGCGGCTAGTGGTAAAAAGTTGTAAAAGAACAGATGTGCGTCGTCGGTCCCCCGTCTCCTGTCCTTTCCGCCTTCTAATGAATTGGTGTGTGTCTCTGTTGCAATTTCGCCCCTATGGTGTCTGGTCATTGCTTTTTTGAATCTATATAATCAAATTTTTGCATATATTGCATCTTTTAAGATCTAGGAATACGGTTTATATAGTTTTGCCAACTGACTGTATATCAGTCGAAAACTCGGTTGAAAAAAAATTCAACTACTTTTCCAGTTTTATGAAAAATAAATGCAAATCTATGTTATTTTTTGTGCGCCGGAAAGTAATAATATCTCTCTCTCTCCCTCGGTTTATTTCATTCGTTCTCTCTCCACTTTCAGACCCTATTCATATTTTGGAAAATTGAAAAACGCTCTTTTTCTTCGCCTTTTTAATACTATATTTGTGCCAACTGTCAGTTCTGGTGGCAGGTGTCTCTCTATATATGACACACCTTTTTGTTAGTACTGTTGTGTTGTTTAGTTATCCGTTTAGGAGACTTAACGAGATTTTCCGAATATTTAGATCATATGTTTTTGGTTTGAAACATCAAGTTTGAAGTTCGATCGTTTGAGGAGCGACCTCGAAAATCGAAAGTGACAAAAAACCAGTTTTGACCTTATGAAAACATTAGTTTTTCGTCTTGACCAGATGATCTATCACTTGAGACTTCTATTTTAAAAATCGGATCTGTGGAAGAGAAACGCTGGTGGCCGAAGGGTCCCACAACGACAACTACCTAAAAATGTTGTTATTTTCTGAATTAGTTTTCTCGTTTTTCATGCGCGTTGAGTCAATTTTTTCACTAGTAAAAACTGTGTAACTCGAGATTTAAAAAACCTAAAAATTTTTTTTTGGGTTACTGTACTTGTCGTTTTGGATCCTTCGGTCACCGGCTTTTCTCTTCCACGGGACGACGTGACACGTGATCTCCACTTTCCACGGTAGCCAGCTCGCAGCCACCTCGCAGCCAACATCATGAAACTTTACAGTAATCTGTTCTTCAGCCTCTTCGTCGTTTTTTCTTCTTTCTCAGCTCAATAGGAATTTGTAAACATATAGCGCGTGCCAGAGTCAAGCTGCTCAAATCTCTCCTCCTCATCCTTCTTCTTCTTTTTTGATCATCTGCTTTTTCTCATCTATTTTAGAATTCTCTGTTATCTGTGTTCTGGTTCTCGTCCTCTCTTTCTCCTTTTCATTACCCTCGCATCTTTTTTCTTTTTCAGAATCACCCAAACGACAAACATGCCGAACTGCCCACGTTGCCAGAAGCCTGTCTATTTTGGTAAGAATCTGATATTCTATGACATTTCGAGTATGTTCATTATTCAGCCGAACGCGTCACCTCGATTGGATCCGACTGGCACCGCCCATGTCTTCGTTGCGAGAACGAAGCATGCAAGAAGACGTTGGCTGCTGGAAGTCACTCTGAGGTACTAGGAGAGAATATTCAGAAGACGTTGTTGACTTTCAGAGAGAGGGAAAGCCATACTGCAACCGCTGCTACGGAGCAATGTTTGGACCACGTGGATACGGTCATGGAGGTGTCGAATCGCACACTTTCCATCAAGGACAGACGACTGGACAGGTTAGGAAAACTTTTTTAGTTTCTTGTTGTAGAAAATTCAATTTTAAGCATTTTTGTAGCTGAAAATAGCTCTAACCGCTCTTGAGATATAACCCCTGAAAGAAAAGAGCCCGGCGAAAAGAGTGTCTCTGTCTCTCTGCGTCTCTAACTTGAGCAAGATTCTAATTATCAATAAGTTGTTGACTACAAAATTATAGGAAATTGAATTTTAAACATTTTTGTAGTTGAAAATATTTTGGTAACTTTAACCTCTCTTGAGATATAACCCCTGATAGAGAATCCAGAAAAGTGATTGTCTCTGCTTCTCTGCATCTCCAACTCTCTAACAGTGAGAGCTATCAAAAAGTTGTAAACTACAGAAATTAGTGAAATTTTGTTTCACACATTTTTGTAGTTTACAAACGTTCAATAGCTTTTGCCGCTTTTGAGATATAACCCCTGAAAGAAGAATGCCCAGAGAAATGAGTGTCTCTGTATCTCGGTTGCTCTAACTCTCGAACGGTTAGAGCACACAAAAAATTATTGAGTACAAATATGTAGGAAATTTTATTCTTAACATTTTCAGAGTTAACAAAATGTAAAATCTTATCTTCTAGACCTAAATGTGTGGGATTGTTAGGATCTACATTGTTGTATCCTGTGGTCCAGGCATGATAGGAGACACAGGAAGGGTAGAGAGTGGTTATAATGAAAGTCTTTATTCAGGGACAATACAGAAACTGATCTTGAGAACTTAGGAGTTTTCAAGAGACAAAAAATCCACGTGTAATATGTGGAGGAAATAGAAAGGGTTAGTGAACCAGGGTAGTTCACGTCACCAAATAATAATAATACATTCAACTTATAAGAATAGGCGTAGAATGTAACACCTCCCTTTTTAAGTTGAAAGAGAAAGATGAATAGAGGTACAGAAATTAATTATACGGTTTCTGACTCGGCTGCACGACCAGTCGTTGAGGTTGCCTGGTGATGCGGGTAGACTTCCGGGGCATCGGAGTGGGTGGAGTCGGTACTGGAGATTCTGGAGCGGTGGAACTGGTTAGAGCTGGAGCGGGTGTTGGTGTCACATCAATTGGATCCATCAGGTCCAGTGGCACGTCTATGTGGATTGGATTGTCGCGTCGACGGAGTTGATTGGCGTTTCTGATCCATACAGTATCCTTGACGAGCACTCGATACAACGTTCGTCCAATGCGTCTTTGAATGATTCCTGGAATCCAAGTGGTAGTATTTATGCTACTGAAGTTTTTAACATAAACCTTTTCATCGGCTATAAAACTGCGTCGCCGGGCACCATGCTGTTTGTTGAACTACTTCTCCATCTCTGTGTCATGCGAGACGAGAAGTTGGTCGTTGGGAAGCAATTGATCCAAGAAGGTGCTGATCTTCCGACCAATGAAGTTCTCAGCAGGTGTGGTGCCATCTGGGCTGGATAAGCAAGGAGTGGAGCGGTAGTTCTGGAGGAACACATATAAGGCAGTATCTGTGTTTTCCTCCCCCTTCAACTTGCCTAATCCCCTTTTCAGGGTATCCACAAATCTTTCTGCTTGTCCTCCCATTTGACTGAGGATGGAACGGTGGTGATCGCAGGTGACTGATTCCTCGATCTTTGCAGAAGCTTTGAAATTGAGATGACGCGAATTGTGTGCCGTTGTCGGTCACCAGTGTCTCCGGATCTCCAAATTGTGCAAAAATTCGTCTCAATATGTTGGTAGTAGCTGTGGATGTTATGGATGTGGTTGGGATGACTTCTGGCCATTTGGAAAATGCGTCCACGATTACCAAGTAGTAGCGTCCATCAACTGGTCCGGCATAGTCGCAGTGAACACGTTGCCATGGAGCTGTTGAAATCGGCCAGGAGCACAAAGTATTTTTTGTTGGATTTTTAGAAACAGAAGCACATTCATCACAATTACGTACCATTTTCTCGATATCCTTATCAATGGCTGGCCAATAGACTAGTGATCTTGCCAATTGTTTCATCCTCACAATTCCTGGGTGAGCACGATGTATCATTTTGAGGACTCGGGATCTCAGAGCATGTGGTATCACGATTCGTCCATTGAACATCAAACATTCGGACACGATGGAGAGTTGATCACGTCGGTTGTGGGAAAGAGATAATTGTGAAGTTTTATCAGAGATTTTGGGCCACGAATCTGAGATAGTGTACTGGTATACTTGATTCAGCAGAGGATCCTTCTTGGACGATGCTCGAATCATTTTAGCAGTCACAGGCAATTGATCACATGTTGTAACCAGATTTGTCAAGACTTCCGATTCCACTTGAGCAATCACACGATTCTCACATTCCGTCTGTTGGATTTGTTCGGAGATCAGTCTTGACAGGGCATCAGCTTGGCCAAAATCATGAGTGTTGACGTATTCGATCGAGAAGTCGTAGTTGAGCAGGATGATCGGCCAACGCTGGAGACGGTTAGCACTATAAAGGGGTATACCTTTTTTATCTCCAAAAATCGATAGTAATGGCTTGTGGTCCGTCTTGAGTGTGAAGTGACGGCCATAGATGAATTTGTGGAACTTAGTGACAGCCGTGATGAGACCAAAAACTTCTTTCTCAATCTGACTGTAGTTCCGTTGTGGTGCTGTGAGAGCTTTGCTGATGTGGTAGATTGCCTTCTCGGAGCCATCTGGAAATCTATGAGAGATTACAGCACCAATACCGTATTGAGAGGCGTCGGCAGAGATGATGGTCGGGAGGTTCGGATCATAATGTGTTAACAGCAAATCGGAACGAAGAATCTGCTTGACGCGGTAGAATGAAAATTGACATTGAGGAGTCCATTGGAATTTGACATCCTTCTTTGTAAGGGCATCCAATGGTATGCGAAGCTTGAACAACTCCGAGACAAAAGATCCGTAGAACTGAATGGATCCTAAAAATGATCGGACTTGGCTGTCATTTGTTGGTGGTGGCATCTGATCAATGGCTGCTATCTTCTCCGGATCCGGTCTTCTACCATCTGAATCGATGACGAACCCCAAAAATGTGATCCTTTCCATCAAGAATGTGCACTTTTCCAGTCTGATCCGAAATCCATAGTCATTGATCCGCTTCATCAGTGTCATTAGTCTCTTGTTGTGTTCTTCAATGGTAGAACCCGAAATGATGATATCATCAAGGTATGCTGCAGTGCCATCGAGACCCGTGATCATAGAATCCATCACTTGCTGGAACGATCCTGGAGCCGACTTAATGAAAGTCTTTATTCAGGGACAATACAGATACTGATCTTGAGAACTTAGGAGTTCTCAAGAGACAAGAAATCCACGTGTAATATGTGGAGGAAATAGAAAGGGTTAGTGAACCAGGGTAGTTCACGTCACCAAATAATAATAATACATTCAACTTATAAGAATAGGCGTAGAATGTAACATACATATATCAGACTAACCCCTTTTAACCCTAAAACAGAATGGTTCAGTTTCTTTTTCCATTCAATAGTTTTTACCATTTTCAGGTTTAAGTCATCCACATCTTCAACTCCTCTCCCTCAAGTTCAACCACATACAATTCGAAATAGCCGAATTCTCGTACCAAGTCGCCACATCGTCACCTACTATTAAAGTTCTTAATAATTGTTGCCACTTTTTCTTTTTTCTGAGAAATCACTTTTATATGGCATCCACATTCCTTCTTCTTATTCCGAGATAATAAAGAGCATCATTCTAAATACGAATCTTTGAGCTGAAATTGACGCAAAAGGAATACATGGAATATAGGGCTTCTCTAGAATTAGATTCTTTGAAAATAGGCGGAGCAGACAGACAAAGATAAGAAGTCATCCTACAGGTCAGGGAATTTAAAGTGAATCAGAAGCGGATAGGTTTTGTGTATCGTCATGAATAACGATATCAGATGGTATTGAGAAACAGCTAAGGAAAAATTCTCTGAGTCTCCATTTCTCTTGTACTATTTCCACAATGCTCTAATCCTGGAAGAGCTCATCTAATATCCAATAATAATCCGCCTATTTTTTTCTTATCATTCACACCTTCCAGGAGTCATATCTAAGACTTTTTCCCCTATTCTTTTTACTCTAAAAAATCGATTTTGAAAAAAATGGCACCAAGAAATCAGAGAAGATATCGACGGGGTCAAGAGATGACTTGGAGAGAAAAATGGACGATTTTTAGACATAATAGAAGAAAAGCAAGTCAGTGTTACCTTACTTTTGTTCTATTTTCTATTCAATTTCTATTCACAGGTTGGCATGAATTGATTGCTTATGGTATTATTCTAAATGTGTTCGGTGCTGCTTTATTGCTTATAAAAGCACAATTGGACAAGGATGTGATAAAAGCAGCGGTGGATCAAAAGTTTCGAGATGCTGGAATTCGTGTGAATTCCACAGATGGAACTGATGAAGAAGAAGAAATCACAGAGCCAAGTGCAGTTCTTCTTGTTATGATCACAATGGGAGGGAGAATGGCAAATGTTGTGGGAACTATGAAGTTGTATAAGGTCAGTTTTTAATATATAAGTAGAGAAACTAGCCAAATTGACAATTTCCTAAACCATGTACAGTATATCTTTATCATATTTATAAAGAAGTATCAGTACCGTATTTTCTCTAATAGAAGCCCACCTAAACCATCCACTTTGAGCCCATGTATTTCGATTCCTGTTAAAGGTATCAAAAAGTAGTTTACTAATAAAATGTTACAAAAAAATCAGTGCCATTTTATCAGTTGACAATTTTTTGATATCTTTCATAGAAATCGAGACTATTGAGATCAAAGTTTATGGTTTAGGCTCCTATTAGGTAGTCCAGAAATTAGGGAGAATCCTTGGAAATGTTCATGTAATGGATCTGGAAATATTATATATGAAAGTTTTCATATTAGAAATTGTACATTCAACTATAACAAAGACATTTTTCATCAGAATAAGCCTAAAACTTGATTTCTTTTCTTGTCCGTTCTATTCAATTTCAATAATTTTTTTTCCTTGCACCCAGTATACCGTATTTTTTCAATCTGAAGAAATTCTAGATGATGACCTGGATGTGGAGTATATGTTACAAAAAAAATAAGTTTAAACAATTTTATTGATAAAGAATCAAAAATACCGTATATCCTCTAACGAGAGAAGCCTACCCAAACCGTCAACTTTGAGCTCAATTATCTCAATTCCTGTGAAAGATATCAACAATTTGTCAACTGATATTATGATAAATAAGTTATCAGTTTACAAATTTTTGATATCTCTCATAGGAATCGAGATAATTAACATCAAAGTTGACGCTTATGAGGGGCTTCTATAATCGAAAGTACGGTACATAAATCTTTCATTGAAACCCGTACGATACGACTATTCACCAAAAGACTTTTCAATTTTACAACAATTTCGAAGTTTTCAGGGACTTGGAAAGTATTTATCGGATCGAAAAAGGAAAAAGTTCCAATCGACGACTGAAAGAATTCAAAACGGCGAAGCCGAAACTGAATGCACCGAACTTCTTGCTGATTGCTGTCAAGTTTGTTAATATACTTTTTCAATAACGTGTTTTGTTGGACGGGTATCTGTAAACTTTTACAATAAAATTTTCATATTTGCTTTTTTCCAAAATTTCGAAACGAAAAGCATTTTTATTCTTGAAAATACAAAAGTATATACAAAGTAGTTTTCAAGCAGAGCACAATCCATTCTATTGGCTGGATGCTCCGTACTGCAAAACCTTAGTGACAATCTGTTTATTGTCTTCTGAAATTGCTGCTCGACACGTGACGACAATTTGTCTTCCTGGTTCTCCAACTGAAAAAAAAACAGAGAATATCAAAATAAGATTACGGACGACAGTCAACACAAACCACGAAGTCTTGAGCAGTTCTCGATTATCTTGTTCAGACGTCTCAGAGATTTCACACATCTTTCTTGATTGTTCCATCTGAAATGTTTTTTCTAGATTCTCGCCACTTCCATAATATAATCGGTACCTTAGCTGAGCAGCTTGTCTTGCTGCAGCATCGTTTGCTTTCAGACGGATATAAAACTTTCTGGCATCGGGTCTATAAAAAGATTAAAGAAAAATATGAAAGGTCGGGGATTATCACTGACATATCATCAATAGCAATGGAATCCTCGGCACGTATCAATATCTCTTTGACGGCTGCCTGCCTTTCTTGCAATTCAGCAGTTAGTCTGTCACGAACTTCGGTCATTGGTTCCAACTGCAAAAAATTGTTTTCTTTGAATAAAAACAATAAATGATATTTTTCTTAATCATCAACACAGTAGGTGTAAATCCGCTTTAGGATCATTCCATGATGTCCGAGAAGATGAAGAAAGGATTTGAAAAATTCTCACCTCCTCCAAAATCTCTTCAGCCTCCTTGAATACATCGGGAAAGTTTGCAACACATTCCATGTGTTGAATTTGGAAGAAACTGGCATAACTCTGGACAAGAGCTCCCATCGTTTCAATGTCATCATGGTAAATTGTAAATGTTTTATCGGATTGTGTTATTTTGAACATCAACGATTTCTCGTGTTTTGGTCGAAGTCCCATGAATTTGAACTCTCCTTCTGGCTCATCAAACATATCCAACAGCGACGCATCAATTGTGAAACTTTCGGATACCCATTCAGAGAGCTGTAAATTCTATGAAAATGACACTGAAACAACAGAAAGATCCACCTTTGCAGCTCTGGTATTGATGTCAAATTTAATGAATCCAGTTGGCATAATGAAGAATTTCGAGTACTCGGCTTTCAATGGTGTGAACCTACAGAACCGGGGCAGGATTCTTGTATTTTCCATGACCATCAGCTTGTTTCTATAATTAAAATCTTGATCTATTTTCCTCCGTTTGTTTACTTACGAATCAACATGTCCCAGGAACACTTTTGTATGCAAATCATTAGTTGAATCCTTGTCGATAACTAATGGAATATCAATGGCACTTCGGGATTGATGTTCGTTTGGTGGGATCCTTAATAAATTTTTTTTATAATTTGGAACTGTTAGAAAAAAAGTGGCCTAACTTTCTAGAAAAAAAGTGGCCTAACTTCCACAAATGGTCTGACATGTATATGATGTGTTTTCTAGGCCGCAAACTTTTATGAGCCTGATACTTGGTCTGTTTTTCTGCGATTCTAACATTTTGGTCAAACTTTTACAAGTTGATTTTTCGAGGCCACCATGGTAAATGTCCTAGATTTCCTAGGCCTATTTGACATGGTGGCCTAACATTCGCGATAATGGCCTGATATTGAACATGTGTTTTCTAGGCCATTTTAACATGGCGGCCTAACTTTAACAAGTTGATTCTTCTAGGCCACCAATTTTTATGGCTCAGAAATGACCCGATATTTACTTGGTGGGTTTCCTAGGCCATTTCGACATGGTGGCCTAACTTTCGCGAGTTTAATTTCCTAGGCCACCAACTTTTTTTAGAAATGACCTGATTTTCAGAAATGACCTGATTTTCAGCCTAGGAAACTCAACTTACAGATATTAGGCCATTATGGCAAAACGGCTTAGAACGCTCCGAGCCCAGTTTGTGGTTCGAACTTTCGAAAATTTTCAAAATCTGTCGTTTTCAAAAAATTCATTTTCAAAGACACACACTATCTACCAACCATATGTAGGATTCTCCTTCGAACAGGCCCTCCGCAAAAATCAAAACTCCACGAATAGGAATGTTATGAGTAGCTTCGACACGCAGACTCAATAGTTGTACTTCACAGTTTACAATGAACATGACGCCAACTTCTGTATCTGCAGGAATTCTGAAATCTCCAGCTTTTTCTGCCTCTGTCATCTGCTCCTCCTGCTCATAATTAGAGAGCTCCATCTGAAAAAAAAGTTTATGCCAATCTGATCAACTTCTCAACAAACCATCAAATTATGTTTCTTCTGACCAAACTCTCTGATCATTTGCTGTGTTTTATCCACTGCTCCACTCGTCGCTTTTTGCACTTTGAATGTTTTAGCCTTTCCATCGAGACAAACTACAGTAATCGTCGCGTCTTCTGCATTTCTGCTACACGTGGCAGATGCCACTGGAGTTGGAACGGAATCCCGAGACAGAACTTCTCCATTGTGTGCAAATCGCAAATCGACTTTTCCTTGTTTCCAGACAACAACCATCAACCCTTGTTCCTCGATATTGAAGATTTTCGAAACATTCGATTTGGATTTGATTCTCCACTGTCTCTCTTTCATCACATAAGTTCCGATAGTTCCGTTATTTAGAGAATATGCAAAACATCCGTTTGTCACATGAGCAAGACTTGTTATTTCATCTGTCTCCATCAGTTCAGCTCTCATTAAATCGTTTTTGAACACTCTTATTTCAAAATCCGGTGATCCAATGACCAATTCAGTTTCTCCATCTCCGTCGTAATCACTCAGACACATTGTTGTCACTTGATCTCCAGTTACTGTCCAATACGTGTTAGCACCAGTTTTATCAAATCCCCAGATGCAACAATTTCCTCCACAGTATATGGCTTCTTCAAGATCTCCCAGTTTTCCGTACTGAAAAAGTTTAATATAGGTTAGAAAGAACTACTGAAACTTACTGCAAAACAGTTGACGCCATCTGGAACATCGTTTCGAAACACTGTGAGATTATTGTGCACATCATAGCAGATAACACTGGCATCAGTTCCAATTACAATACAATCATATCCATCTCCGATTGGAGCTGCGGCAATGCAACGAATGGTTTCAGTGATGTTGAGTGGAGATTCAACGTCTGTAAATTAACTGATAAGGATTTTTATACAAGCTTTAATTTCGAAATTCCAAAGTTTATAAAAAATGGTTCAAAATTCTGCATATATATTCCAAAATTCATTTAAAATGATCTGAACTTCATGAAAAAAGGTCCGAAATTCCTCAAAAAATGGTCTGAAACTCGAAAATTGATTACCTTTGATGATAACTTTGTTGGTCATAGAAACAGCAACAATTGTCTCAACGCCACGTGGCTCCAGAATCGCCGACACAACGCACCCTTCCATAATTCTTTGATTGAGAGAAAAGTTGAATACACTTTTGAGTTCGACATTTTCGTCGAAATGGGGTACTTGACTTGAATCTCCGATCTCGAACTGTTCTTCCGGAGTCTCATCCCCGTCCATTTTGAAAAAAAAACCAGGAAAAAGAAGTGAGAGGGGAGAAAAGGTAAAGAGAAGCTTGTGTTGGCTCCGTTGCCATGGATATCGGAGGAAGAGGAAAGAGAGACTGAGAAACAGAAAAAGGGGGAATTTAAATGTAGGATGTTAAAAGAGAACAATAATTGAAAGCACATATTTTGTTAATTTTTGAACTTTTCATTTATCGTATAACCTGTAATTGAAGGGCCCCTTTAATAGAAGGGCCCCTCTCATAGAAGGGCCCTCCGAGAGGGGATTGGAAAAATATAAGGTCCCCCTGTAATAGAAGGGCCTCCTGTAAAGAAGTACCCATCCAAAATGTGTCATGAAATTAAAAAATTTCCGTACGTTTTCAGTGAAAAATACACCAGGAATTCTAAAATTTCGTAGAATTTTTTGAAACACTATTTTTGATTGAAAAACTTCCACAATTTTGGTGAGATTGACAGATTTTCACGAATTCCACCGAAAATTCGTCCATATATTTTCGTATCTGCTGATTTGAAATCATAATTTGAACTGAAATTTCAAAAAATCATTCTCTCCGATAATTTCCAAATTTTCTCACCCAACAAAAAATCTGCTCAATTTTTGGTTTTATTTGAAATTGTTAAGTCAGTAGAAAACTCAAAAAAAAACTATTTCCAATACTTTATTCAAATGAACGCAATACGATTAAATGCAAGACCATAAATTCTAGAAATTATTTTTTTTTCTACTTATTTTCAGATCATTATATCAATTTTAAGGTTCAATTTAAAAGTTTCAAGATGAGAAGAGGGAAAATATACAATCATCAAATGGTTTATTTTTGCAGTCCAGTTGGATTTCTTAAATTCAACGAATAGTCAGCCGCAGTGGTATTTCCCAACATTCCAGAGAAACCAGTTCCAGCTGATTTCATTGAAGGAGCCATGTACGCTCCACTGAGACCAGCACCCTCGGATTTGGTTCCCATCAACCAATACGTCATGCACATTCCCTTTCCTTTAATTGGAATCTCTCCACGTTGTTCACAGATGTAATCGGGATACTCTTTCAGGAGAAGATTTTTGGCTGCTTCCGAAATTTGAGTTTTTCCAGGTTCTCCGTTACTTTCCATTCTTGAAGCCATGTTCACTGTATCACCAAAAAGACAGTAACGAGGAGCATTGAGTCCGACAACAGCTGCAGCAACTGGTCCAGTGTGGAAACCAAGACGACATTGAACTTTTGTATCTCTCTTGTGAGGAACGATGAATTCCGAAAGGAACTGAAAATGACTCCATCAGCTATATGAGAGTCTAGAAAACTTTTATGAGATACAGTAATCCACTTCAATTTCAAATTGTCCTCTCTACGGTAATTCTTTTCACTTTCAAGTTGTTTTCTCCCTTTCTTATTTGCGATTTTTTTTCACCACAGTAATCCTTCTCATTGTAGAATTATTACCCTGCAGTAATCCTTATCTTTTTCGAATAGTTTTCCATACAGTAATCCTTCTCATTTTCGAGTTTTTTTCACCCTACAGTAACCCATTCCAATCTATACCTTATGAACATCCAGAGCAATGCTTGCAATCTCATTGATATGACGATGTCCATTCTCTTCTGGAACACCCGAAACAACCATATATGCATCTCCAATAGTTTCCACTTTGTAGGCATCTTTTCTAGCGATAAATTGATCAAATCCATCAAAAATTCCGTTAAGAACAGAGACCACTTCCAATGGCGTCGCATGTTGACACATTTCAGTAAATCCCACGATGTCACTGGAAAATATTTTGATCTTCGAATTTAGATGGTGTTCGGTTTTAAGAAAAACATCAACAACTCTGAAAAAAGAACCTGAAAAGAACCGTAGACCCAGTGAATGTCTTAGGTGGAACCGGTCTTCCGAGTTTAAGCTCATTGGCGACGTAGGCAGGGAGAAGTTGACTCAGCAGACGATCAGCTCTTTGGTTTGCTTCTTCTAACATTCCAGTTCTTTCAGCTACTAACTTCTCCAAATTGTTTGCATACTGTTCCATCATTCTAGTCATTTGATCAACCAACGATCCCTTTCTGAAGAAGAGAAATGAATTTAAATATAATTTTCTGAATCAACATACATGTTCAAATATGTCTCCACATTCAATTTGATTCTTCTCAAAGACGGTCTCATCTCAGGAGTTGTATTCCAGCAATCTTGAATCAGCGCAGTCAAATCCATATTCAATACTTTGTTCTGAGCAATCGTTGGCTTGACCACCTTCGTTCCATCCCTCAACCACTCAACCAATTCCATCTGATTAGTTCCCTCTGGGAATGGAAGACTTCTGAATATTATCTCATACATCACAAGACCAAATGCATAGATATCTCCTAATTGTCTTCTTGTTTGAGTCTGTCTTATCCACTCTTGATCCACCCTTCTTGTCCTATTCTTTTCTCTGTTTTTCAACATTTCCGGTGCTTCGTAAAGAATACTTGTGCTCTGTGTCGCCTGTGATTTATCATCATCCGAAGTCAATGCATCTCTGGATATCGACTGTTGTTTTTCCCATCTTTCCAATGGATCAGCTATTCCGTAATCTGTCAGTTTAATCATCCAATTTCTATCGATGAGGCATGACCAAGGAGTAAGTGATCCGTGATATCCGATTTGAGAAGCATGTAAATATTCACATCCCGCCAAAATATCTCGAATAAACGCTCCATGGAATTTGGTGTCCAATGTGATATTGTCGTTGTAGATGATGTCTTGAAGAGTACCACGAGAACAGAATTTCCAGACCAAAAGCATTTCTTCTCGTTCATTCCAAACCATTCCAAGGAACGGATTGATGTTGTCATGGACTGCCGCTTTCATCTAAAACCAATAACTAGATGCCCAGATAGCAAAACTATACAGTGGCGCATAATTATCCGGACTCAAGTTTGTACTGGGCTCAAATTTGGAAATTAAATAATTTGTAATTGGCCAAGTTTCAACTTATTTTATCAGCTTCGAGCTGAGTTATCGCTGGTCAAATTTGCCTCATATCATGAAAATCTCAAGAAACATTACACCGTTCATCTTTGAACAATCATAACAATACCTAGACTTAAGCAATTGCTTTGAAAACTTGAGTAGATTTAAAGCAAACTTAAAACTATCTTTCTACCAATTTTAGTGTTTCCAAGATCAGTCCGAGTAGTTTTTCGCCACCCTGTCAGTTCTTACCAATTGAATCAACGTTTTATCAGCTCTGTTAAAGACAATAGGTCTCCTCTGGACATATTTATGATAGATCGCATGAGTATTAGTTCCAACAATCGCATGATTTCTCGAGCCGTAGTTCATATTGCTCATTTTGGTTCTGGTACTTCCCAACGAAAGCATACTCTTTAGTTGTTCCTCATCAATAAACTGTAGATCATCTCTATAAATTCTGAATGGAAGTTTGTCCAATGCTCTCTTCTCCCTGAAATATACGAAATTTCATACACTCATATATTTTTCAATCATCCGGAGTCCCGGAGCCTACAAGAGCTTTTGAGCAAAGAAGATTGAGACGGCGGCAATGATAAATAGGAGGATAAGCGCGGCTCCAATGATAATCAGTGTGTAATCACATCTTTCATTACGATATCCGCAGTCTGGCTCATCCTGAAAAAACGCGCACGAAATCTTCTACGATATTATATTTTCAGATTACAAAACCTTGGGCATTTTTCGATCTATCGACGGCCAGAAATCTTTCATCATATCTGTAACAATGATCTCATAGCATCCTGATTTATTAGCAATTCCATCACAGTTATCGAGCATTGTAGGTTCCATATGGACCATTGGAAGTACTGCATCTGTGTTTGGAGACACAAAGAAACCACGATAAAGCGGAGCTCTTTCTGCACGATCGTCCATTGTAACCTGGCCAGAAGCAATTCCTGATGCACCGACCATTCCGACGAATTTCATCTTTCTCATATTCTGCCAGATCATTCGTCCATTAAGAAGATTTTCCGCTTTTCCAGTCTCATTCAAAACTTTTCTAGCAGCAAGGGCATAGAGTTTAAGAGCATCAAATAAATACAGGTAGCCATAAATGTTGGCAATATCCACATCTGCTTCTGTCAGTCCTACATCTTTAATTTTCTCAACGAATGGACCAACAATGGTATTATCAAAACTGTTGGCGTCATCGATCTGAAGATGTTTTATTTTCAATTAAAAACATGCATATTCAGAGCTAAGCTTTCCGTTTCAGACGAATTTCACCCGCCCGTCGCCCACCCGTCGCCCGCTCGTCGCCCGCTCGTCGCCCGCCAATCGCCCACCAAACGTTAATCGGAGCAACTGACACATGAACTTACAATGATAGCATTTGCATACTGATCTTTGACTTTCTGAAGCATAGATCCATCAGATCCAGTCCACGGAGCAATATCCTTTCCACCATCCTGAAGCCAGGGAAATACATATCCGTATTCATTGACACTCATTCCTTGAGAATTGGCTGCTGTCAAAAATTCTCGAGACGATTCTCTGGTATTTGAAAACAAGCAAACCACAACTGAAAAATCATAAATTCCATACAAAAGATTTCAAAAAGTTCAATTTACTTCTTGCCGAGTTTTTGATATCATTCAACAAGCCTGAAGCAACCATCGCCTTCGAATCAGCAAACTCGTCAAACATGATTTTTTTAACAACGGTAATTCCTCTCTGATGGAATACTTCTTCAAAAGAGAGCACTCTATCATACGCCACAACTCCTGTATTTGTTATAATGGCGACTTTGGACCATCCGTAATGACGTAACATTGCACAAGTCGCTTCAGCAATCGAATTAGTGGTTCTCAGCTTAAAACTTCTTGAAGTTCTTAGAATCTGTTAAAGCGCTACTCACAGAAATTCTAGAAAGTGTTGGATATGCATTTTTGTCAGCCAGATTATTAGAAGCAGCCATGTACCCAACAATTGGAATGTTCCAGAAAGCAGCCATCCGAGCAACTGCATCCATTTCAGCATTACAGTAGGGGCCAATGAAAGCTTTGACTTTTTGAAGATGGTACATGTCAGCTGCTACAGCCACACCTTCATACGATTCACCACATCCAGTTTGAGAAATTATTCTGGAAAGGGGAATACGACGAGATCAATGAATATAGTATTTTCTCTAATAGAATGCCACCCAAACCGTTTAATTCTCAATTATCTCAGTTCCTGTCGAAGATTTCAGAAAGTTGACAACTGATAAATAGTTTATCATGTTATCAGAATCATTTTATCAGTTGACAGATTTATTATACCTTTCACTGAAATCGAGATGATTGAGCTCAAAGTTGACAGTTTGAATGACACTATACATATTAGAGAAAATAAAGTAGAGCTGTTGAGAACTAATTTTGAATTTTTTAAAAGTTTAAACCTAAAATCAATTCATCTAGCTTCTGATTAATGAAAAATCTCTATATACCATTTTTGATTGGCCATGAGTATAATGTTTTGAAAATGAATATACCGTATTTCCTCTACGGGCATAATTACTCGGACTAAGGTTGTACAAGCACAAAGTTCGAAAAAGAGTTAAAACAGGTTCAAATCTGGAGTGTAAAAATTCAAATAATTCATCAATAAGCTGGTCAAGCTCCAAATTATTTTATCAGCTTTGAGCTGAATTGTGGCTTGTGAAAGATGATTCATCTCATGAAAATCACAAGAAAAATTACGACGTTTATCTTTAGGCAATTATAACAATACCTAGACTTGAAGAATCGTTTTGCGAATTTCAGTAGCTTTGAATCAAAATTAAATTTATTTTTCTACCAATTTCCGACCTTCCAAGATAATTATGTCTAAAGATATGCCCATTTTTATCAGTCCGGGTAATTCTACGCCACCGTGCCCACCCTAACCATCAACTTTGAGCTGAATTATCTTGATTTCTGTGAAAGCCATCAAAAATTTTTCAACTGATGAATTATTGCTGATATTATGATGGATAATTTATCAGATGGCACATTTTAGATAACTTTCACAGGAAATGAGATAATTGAGCTTAAAGCTGGCGGATAAGCTTTGGGTAAGCTTCTATTTGAGGAAATATGGTATTTATAGCATGTATTCAATAAAAAATGTCTAAAAATTGTTTCATAACATACTCCACATCCAGATCATCATCTAGAATTCCTTCAGCTTGTAATGACTTGTGAGAAACTTCCAAAATCTTCACATCATTTCTCAGTGCACCAATTGCTCCGATATGTCCGATAGTTAGTCGAATTCTACCCTTTGAGTCGTAGAGTCCAGCAGTGGAATTGGAGAGAAACAACGGATTTGTGTTTGGAGACGTTCCTTTTGATGGGACATTCTCACCATCTTCTGTTCCATTATTAGCCAGAATACGTTCAGTTTCTTGACCCAATGCCGGAGAATTTAAAAGAAGAAATAATAGAAAAGGGGATAAAAACCCAGGTTTCATGATCACGATAGAAAGAAACAAAAATTGAGAATTCGATGAGTCGTCGTCGTCCACACAGAATAAGAATGAAATGAAGTCGTGCCTTGAGCGACGAGTCTGCGCGTTGTGGATCATCTCGGATAATATTCCTACTGTAGTCGTCAGCCGATAAGCTTCTCATATATTTCCGATAGCTCAATTTTGTTATGTTTTTATCAATCTACTCTAATGGAATGCAAGATTACTCATATTCGTTCACTACATTGAAAAAAAGATATAGATGTTAAGATGTGTGACTGTGTAGGAGTTTAACATTTTCTTTTTCAAATCCGTTGGGAGCAGCATCTAAATGAAAAAAAAACAATTTTAAAGGATTATTCAACTAGGTAAAAACCCTAGTATTTTCCATATTTCGCATTTTTACAGAATAAGCGAAATAGGTGAAATACTAGCTTTATAAAAAAGATACTACAAAAGTTCAAACAGATTTCGATTCATGTGAACAATGACAATCATCATCGAGATTACACTATTTTCGATTCGTCTTGTTCTCAGTACGACACCATTTGGTGATTGCAGCAATCACGCATTTTATATTGATTGTAAAATGAAAGTAGCTGTTCTTCTGTGTCTGATACTTCTAGAAGTACTCGATGGGCTCACATACAACGAGCGTTTACAATTTCTTCAGCTTCAAAATGCGGCTTACAACATGTATATACGAACGATTGGTGAAAGGAAACAAAAGAATAATGTTTTCAAAAGTTGGTATGCTGCCACTACGGTATGTGTCTTCTTTTTCAACTCGATAAGCAATATCCCTCGGTTTCCAGGAATTCCCACCTTTGAAAAGCGAGTTTTTCGAGAACGACACGGTCGTTGGAGACAGCCAGAAGAATTCAGCACCCGTTAGCATGGATCTTGTTTATTCAAGACCTCGGACAGTTGATGATGATATCGGAATGCCTCTCAATCAGCCGATTTATACAAAAGATAAAACCAACTTTTACAATTACGGAAAACTGTACCAGAATTACTGGCAGAACGGAAAATAAAGATTTTTGTTGATTGCTTGGATAGCTGTTCGATGTTTTTTTAGTTTTACAATGCACATTCGTATTTATGAATGCATTTTCATGCTTTTCCCCGATATCGTTCGAAAAAATCTGCAGAAAAACAAGTTGACACAGCTTTTGTTTAAAGGCGCGCGCCGTTTCCACGCCGTTGGGTCTCGCCACGATTTCCCTTTCTCCACTACCTCTCGCAGTAGAATATCATTCCTTTTCCTAAAATTTCGCCCTTTTTTTGTGATTTTTAAATGAAATTTCCGATTTTTCGTTAAAAAAGCAGAGAAGTTCAAAACAATATGATTTAGAACTATAAATGCAGTCTAAAATACTTCGCTACTATCGTTCATCCTGCCTCCATGTCGAATTTCAGTTTTTCATTCACGTCTTTCTTAATTTTGCAGCTTGAGGTACACAATTCAAAATGGCCGATAGAGGAGGCTTTCAATCTGGATTCGGAGGACGCGGAGGAGCTCGCGGAGGCGCTCGCCCAACTGGAGATCGTCCAGCTGGACGTGGAGGACGCGGAGGCCGTGGTGGACGCGGTGGACGCGGAGCCAGGTAATTCACCTTGAAAATATTAACTCGATGTTAAATTTGATATTCTAGAGCCGGACGTGGAGGAGAGAAGGAAACCGAATGGACTCCAGTGACCAAGCTCGGAAGACTCGTCAAGGAGAAGAAGATCACCACCCTCGAGGAGATCTACCTCAACTCTCTTCCAATCAAGGAGTTCGAGATCATCGATGCTCTTTGCTCCAACCTTAAGGACGAAGTCCTCAAGATCTCTCCAGTCCAGAAGCAGACCACGTAAGTCTTTAATTAATTTGCAAATCTGAACAATTAAACTTCCAGTGCCGGTCAACGTACCCGCTTCAAGGCTTTCGTTGCCATCGGAGACCACAACGGTCACGTTGGACTCGGAGTCAAGTGCTCCAAGGAAGTCGCCACCGCCATCCGTGGAGCTATTGTTGCCGCCAAGCTCGCCGTTGTTCCAGTCCGCAGAGGATACTGGGGTAACAAGATCGGACTTCCACACACCGTTCCATGCAAAGTTACCGGAAAGTGCGCCTCCGTTATGGTCAGACTCATCCCAGCCCCACGTGGTACCGGAATCGTTTCTGCCCCAGTCCCAAAGAAGCTTCTTACCATGGCTGGAATCGAGGATTGCTACACCGCCGCTAAGGGATCCACCGCTACCCTTGGGAACTTCGCCAAGGCCACCTATGCCGCTCTCCAAAGAACCTACTCCTACCTCACCCCAGATCTCTGGAAGGAGGAGGCCCTCGAGAAGTCGCCATACCAACGCCACCACGAGTTCCTTGCTCGCAACTAAAGTGTGGAACGTTTTCTTCCATTTGTTAAAATAAAATTGTTTACTGTGTATCATGTAATTTAATTATGAGATCACTCATTTGTTTTAACAATTTTGGAAATGAATTGTCAATTTTTAAGCACAGACACTTTTTGTTGCCTCTTGAAAGAAGTTTCAAATGTGTTTAGAAGGCTCAGTGAGAAAAAAGGGGCCGCGGGGTTACCAACGAAGTGATACGGTCGCATTCGGATCTCATTGAAAGAGAAATGTCTGGAAACTGATCAGATCCCACTATCTTTTTTGAGTTCTTCATGACAAAGCATGTTTCTTGAACCAATTCGTGCAGCCTTGAAAAATGAGACACGCACTTTAGTAAATTTCGTGTCAAAAACATTTCTAAGTATGTCGATTAGATTTTTTGAGAAGATTCACTTATTCAGAAGAGGTATTTCAAAATTTTATTGAAGAATCAGTAACAACAACAATAACAAAAAAAAACAATTGTGGAATTATCATGTACAGTATCCGTGCTTATCTGAAGTTTTTCGCAGATTTGTTCTTCGACTTTTTGATCGCCTTACTCTTCTTGGTAGCCTTTTTCTTCTGTCTGCAAAGGGGATATTTGTATACTTGTAAAATTCCGGGCCCGGGCCGGAGGAAAATTTCAAGGCCCGGTAGCAAAAATTTTGTCATTTTGAACCGAATTTTGAGCTCTCAATACAATTTTCTATATTTTTTTGTGCTTTTTGGATTGTTTGTCCGTTTGATCAAAAAATATCAAAAAAACTCGAAAAAAATTTTTTGTTCGAAAAAAATCACATAAGGGTCCCCCCTTATGTATTTTTTGAAATTTTAAAAACTTGTGGAATGACAGGCCCGCCGGGCCGGGCCCGGGCCTCCAAAATTCGGGAAAAAGCCCGGCCCGGCCTGGCCCGTTACAAGTATGGATATTTGGTTTTTTTCTTTTCTTTCAAAAGTTTTATTAACTGTTGATGTTTTTGGTAAAGCGGTGAGAGACAAACCTTCGGTGGCCGAACTTGATATAATACTTTTTCTTAACTTTTTGCGATTTCAGCAAAAGTTTAATTTTGTGTTTCGGTGGGGTTTCCGACTGTTTTTACTTCAGATATATTCGCCACCGTTTTCCTTTTTCAAATACCAGAATAAGAATAGTGAAATTAAAGAAATATAAACACTTACGTTCCCGAAAGCCATGATGGGAACGATCCGTCTTTCTTTCTGAGCGTCTTTGTGTTGATGGTTGCGGCTTCTCCTGTCACGTCCATCTGAAATAGTTTTTTTTAGATGACCCTGTTCGGAGAAGAAAAAAGTTACCTTGTCACCACCATCAGTTCCTTCGGCCTTTGCTTTCTCTGAAAATAAATTTCGTTTTGAATTTACTCGAAGAATTATATTTTCACCTGCTTCTACTTTTTCGTATTCATCGCGTTTTTCGATAGCTTTTTGAAGGAAAGCGTCCGTCTTTGGTTGTTTTTTAGTTCTTGCAATAGCACGGACCTTTCTCTTGAACTTAGATCTCAAACTTTTTGCCATTTTCCTGAAAACAAAGGAATTTGCAAGAGAAAGAAGTCACAAAATTGAAAGAAAACTGGTTGCGTTTAAAGGCGCATTCATTTTCCCAGTCGGTCGCGGCGAGACCCGTGCAGTTCGAAGGCAAGCCGGGTGGAAATACTGGCTTAATTGGTACGATCCGATTTGTTCCGTATTCAATTTCACACATATTCAATTTATTCGATTTGCTGGTTCCGGAAATCAATAAAAACATGAGAAATAATTAAAAATGGAAAAAAGTATTGTTTTTAGGTGAGTCTTCTTTTCGACGAACACTCAGAAGACCCAAGGAAGCCAACTGCCAATGAAATAAAATCAGAAGTAATGGGAATCGGATATGTTCGGAACTAATGGAAGTGCTGGAATCGCTGTTACTGATCCAACAAAGCAAGAGGAGGTATTAAATATGAAAATAACTGATTAGTTAGAAAATCCTTTGTTAAAGATCTATCGAGCCCTGGAGACACTTAAAAAAGACGAACTAGGATGGAAGAAGTCAGTAGAATCGTTCATCGGTCCACACAAGCCGTAAGTTTTTTTTCGAAAAATAAAAGCTATGAGCTGAACTTCAGACCACCAGAAGAGCAGTTTCTTCTGCTACAAGTAATCGAAGACTTTCTCAACAAACGATATCACTCCTCAAATTCACAAGATGTTGCCATCATCAGGAATTTCTTGCTTCATTATACTAAAACTTCCCGAAGTTCGCCTGAAGATCAGCCAGTCTTTTTAACAAACAAAATGGCTCATATCTTCTCCCTTGTTTTTGCTGCAGATTTTCCAGAGAGGTGGTCAACATTTTTCAATGATCTGTAAGTTGAAATTTTATCTTTCTATGTAAAATATTTTTTATAGTTTCTTCAATGACAATATCACTGATCGTAAAGTTGCGTTCTTCTACCTAAAGGTCCTCCTCGCTGTTGACGTTGAAGTTGTTAACCGAGATATTCAACGAACCAAATTAGTAAGTATTTAATTATTTAAATGTTAATAGTTGATGTTTAAATTGCAGGAAAGTGATAGGAACATCAAAATAAAAGATGCCATGAGAGAGATTTGCATAAACGAAATTGCAAAAAGTTGGTTGTCTATTGCAAACTCTCTGTCGGGAGATGATGTCATTCAGTGTCTTATCCTCGAAAACATCGCTTCATATGTCGATTGGATTGAATTGGATCTTGTTGCCAATGATTATGTCATGACATACATTATCTCGAAATTCCAAAATTCAGCGACTTCGGAGGTACTTTCTTTTCATGTTTTTTTTTAAATACAATAATCTTTAAATTATAGGCCGCTACATCCGCGGTTTGTGGTCTCCTCGAGAAAGGAATGCCAGCTGAGAAGAAAGTTGGATTAGCATTGACAATCATGGCGGTTCTACGGAACAGTGGCCTTTTAACAGTCAACGATGTAAGATTTTCCTTCAGAAAAATATTTGGTAACAGGCATATGAAAAGTTTGAGAAAAATCCTTGTTGTACTGAAAAAAAATTTGCTCGATGACAGGATTACTGGAACGGGAGCTATCCTTTTTTTTACACCAAAAGTTATTATTCAATGCTCCACCCTAATTTCCGGTTTATCTTTAAAAATGTTCTTCTGAAAACACTTGTAACAGAATAATGAAGAAAAATAATTAGTATTTCAATAGTTCATTTCCGATCCTCTTCAATCCAAAATTGTTCAAAATTGAAATCTAAGCAGTTAATGAGAATTACAACATCTAAGACTTCCACTGATACTCATGTTAAATGTAATGTTATTTTCAGAATAACGACGAAGATGAAGTGACACGGGTCGGATCTCTAGTTAACACACTTGGATTAGTTCTTCTGGATGTTCAGAACAAGTGAGTTCGATTCATTGGAATGTAAAATTTGAGAAGAAAAAAACAATATATACAAAAACATAATTATTATTAGCTAGGGTATTAAAAATTTCGCTTGAATAGGGAGTTCTGCGAGCACGTTTGTTCACATTGCATCTTGCTAGCAAACCGATTTTGGTTACCACATCCACTCCAGCTGAACCTTTCACATTTTCTAGATTCGTTATCGTAGTACCTAAAATATCTTTATCTTATCATTTGAGAAAATTCGTGTCTTACCACATAATTCTCGCTCTGCTACATGATCCTGTGACTGGAGGCAGGGTACAGACATCGACAGGATCCGGAGTTGTTGGTGGTGCAGTTGTAGGAAGAGTTGGGAGAGTGAAAGGGGGAATCAGTGTAGGAGCAGGAGCTCCAGGAGTTCCTCCTCCGAACAAATTCAAAAATGGAGCAAATGGAGAAGAGGGTGTAGTGGGAGTGGGTTGTGTACTAGGCGGGATTGTAGGTGTAGGAGCTAGAGGAGCCGGGATATTAGGTGTTGGAGATCCCGTTTGAGTAGGAGCTGGTGGAAACAACGGCTGACCACCATTTACAGTTCCAAACGGCGGAGGAGACGGCGTGTTTTCAACAAGGCATTGAGCGACCTGAGAGAAGATTTAGGGATTAATGCGAACCTGACCTAGCAAAAACTTTTGCCAAAAAAGTTCCGGTAACAATGAAGCTGTGTAAATACAGAAGCTGTTCAAAATTAAATTGCGCAAACCTGGTCCACAATGAGACACTTTTTTGGAGGATCACAAATCAGGGACTCGCAAAGCCAATCCGCCCCTTGACCTCGCACGGAACCAGCTGATAGCAGTAATAGACAAAATGATAAAATAAGCATTGAGAGAAAATAGAAAAAAGATTGAATTAATAAATAAATGAAGCTTCTTCTTTGAAACTGGTATGCGAGTGTTTGAGAAGCGAAATGAGGGAAGAAGGCGGAATGGCAAGCAATGGAGGTGAGTCACGCATCGCAGATCGCGCCGAAAAAAGTGAAGCGTAGAAGGGAGAGTGACCGGTTGGGATAGAAGACGAAGAAGAATAAGAAGAAGCAGAAGCCGATAATTGTCCGATGGGCAACAAGCTTCAAAATTTGAATTTCAATTTTCTTCAAATTGAAAGCTAGAAAATTTACAGATTGTGTGCCAGCTCGATTTTGGAGAAGGAACAATCATGTTGTGTACAGGAGATGGCTGGTCTTGCAGAGTCAGCAATTGTAGTTCTCAACAACGAGGATCCAGATTTGAGCTGCTTGTGCGTTGACTATATCAGAGCGTACGCCTCATTTCTCGTCAAGTTTCATCCAAATGTCAGAGAAGACAGACAACAAGATTTTATTGAAAAAATAACTTTTCAGGATACGAATTTTATCGAGAAAGTCATTCGAACAGGACTGCTACGATATGTTATGGGAGATGATTTGACAGTTGGAGGGGATGGTGAAGACGAGGTTGAATTCCAGGAATACCGCAAAGAGCTTCGCTCCATGCTCAACGTTATTGGGTTGAAACGGCCAGAAGCTATTGTGAACGCCATTGAACCCTGGACGGCGGAAGTGACAGCCGGAGGATCATCTATTCCAGTCAACAGAATTGAAGCCCTTCTCAATATTATTTTCCATTTGCACGAAATTATTCCAGTGAGTTTAGAAAATTCTGGAATACATTTCATTCAGTTTTTTTCAGAGTAACATGCTCCAAACTCCACGAGAAGGAATTTCTCAACGGGCAGCTCGTCTTCCAATTGTCATTTTGGAAGGATTGGTTCTAGATGGAAGGTGTCCAGCAGTCCATGTTCTGTATTTCGAGCTTGCATGCCGATATGAGAGGCTTCTTGTCCTCCAAAACCAGCCGGTTACCATAACTCACATTGCTGGAGCATTCCTTGACCAACGTGGAATCTCAATTCCATCTGCGAACGTTCGGACAAGGATCGTTTACCTCTTCTGTCGATTTGTGAAATCTCACAAAACTGTCCTTGGACCATTAGTATCAGAAGTGATTACTCGTCTAGCACCTCTCCTCGCAGTCTCTCCACAATCGGAAGCCAATCAATTATTGAGTCCAGACGACCAGGGATACATTTTCGAGTCTACTGCCACATTGATTGTGTTTGGAGATCTTAGTTCGGAAATGAAATCACAATATGTTGGAGAATTAGCTACAACCCTTGCTATGAAGTTTGAAAATGGTCTCGTCGAGTTAAATGCAGCAAGAGCTCGAAAAGCAGATGAGGAGACGATTCAATCAATTTTGCAGTTCATGGCTAATATAATTGGATATAGCAGTCGAATGTCAAAAGCTTTTAACAATGCACAATCGATGAAAGCCTGTAACTGCATCGAAATCTACCTCAAGCTTGTGAAATTGTTTGTTGAAACACTTTCTCCAGAAAATGCTTTTCTTCTCGAATCAACACGTCAATTTGCTCATCGTCTAGTGGTATCCATGGAAGAAGAACTGATGCCTTACATGAGCGGAATTTTTGATAAACTGGCCCTAGTCTCAACAGACCTTGATTCAATGCATCATTTACTGATTTTCTGTCATCAAACAGTGGCCAAATACAAGAAGGCAATGCTAACCAGTGGAGTCGATCTCGGAAATGTGTTGGCTATTGCTGCAAGAGCTTCTCTCCAAGAACAAGAAAACAATGTTCCTGCCAAAGGTATATACGGCGAAACTATTAAAATGTAAGAATCGGAAAATTTCAGACGATAGTCAGCGCGCTCTACTATACGTCCAACGAGCATTCGTTCAACTGCTCTTCACAGTCATCGTCAGTGATTGCACTCCCGCCCTGAATAATACTCCAGGACTAATCGATCATGTTCTTGAAGCTGCTGCTCGGTTAGCGTTATCATCCGATCAAACCGCTCAAAAAGTTGCATTAGCGAGTCTTACTAAAATCTCTCCAATCATTCCGTCTTGGTCAGCAAGAACTCTTCGTGTCGCTCTGGAAATTCCCTCCCTTCCTCACATCACACCATCAGATGCTGGAAGTACGTTAGTGGTCCACGAGGTGTGTGCTACGCTGACAAGTCTGCATCAATCTGATCCCGATGGTTTTTCTCGTGCGCTTCGAGAACTAGTTCCCAATGGATTTTCCGACGAATTGCTCTCAGCACTGAACACCTTAAAAGGGAAGAACTTGGATAAACAGGTACGGTATTTTAACCCATTTGAGGTATATAAATACATGGAAATTACAGGTTATGAACCTTTATGCTTCACTTAAAAATCAAACATCCCAATGATTTATTAGTTTTATTCTCCTCCCCGGTGCCCATCTTCAAGCCGTCGTCATCACCGTTTTCACTTGTAAATCAATTGTTTTTTTTGTTATTATGCTCCCTCTTTCGTTTTTGTCCTTCTTCCCATTTTTCAACTTTCTCAGCTCACATACACTTTGTTGTTAATCTTATTTCTTTACATTATTCACAATTGCTTTCTTTCTATTTGTTTTTCGATTTCCCCAAGTGCCCTTTTCTGAAATTTGCAGTAGACCACACGCGTTACTTGACACTCTCCGTTTCCGGGTTGTTAACTCGTTTCATTGTTTCCCCAATCTTTCATCATCATCATCATCATCATCAACAGCAACCCCGATTTGTTCTAACATCCCTTATTCACTTCTAGATTCTCTTGCTCACCACCAACTCATCATCGTAATCTATGAGCTTCTTGATTTGAAGTAGACATTTTTACTTAGCTTGATACATTTTTAATGGTACTGAATGAAAAACAGGTAAATATACTATTTATTAAGCATCTATAGTTTGTACAGTAGAACCACGGAATCACCCTTTATGAAACATGCACGCTGAAAACGTTCCTCCAGAAGAGAATTGGCTCCGATTGGTAACGGCCATTTCGTACCCTCTTTCCATTGAAGGAATTCAGGAAGAACCGATTGGAGTTGTTTCCGGGCTCCAACTTCTTTTCTAGACTTTCTGGAAAAGACAGTTAGGTGTTTTTCAGAAATCTGAAGATGGATACTACCTTCCATGCAAAATAGTTTCTGTAACATCTCTCATCATAATGTTGAAATGTTCGTCGAAAGTTATCGGAACACCTTCAAAGACTCGATCAATTCGAACAGCTGCACGCGTTCTGACATGTATCTTTGTCCCATCTCGAACAGCATCAGCCAACATCTTCATGGGAGAATCTTTTTTAATCTTCAAAATGTTGTCATGGAATGTTCCTTCTTTATCCTCCACAGCTTTGCGTCCCGGAACCATCATTTTCTCTAAGTTGGCACGACGATTTCTATCTTTTTGTCTGTAAGATTTAGAACATTATGTGAAAGTGAATATAGTGGTAAGTTGGTAACAAAAAATGGTGATTGTTCCAAGGTACCTCCGCAGTGCCCTTCTATTACAGAGCCATTCAAGAGCCCTTTTTTCCGGCCATTTTCTCAGAAAATTTTCAGCAAAAAATTTTGAAAAGCTATCAATTTCACCAAAATTTGAGCAAGCTCTTGAACAAAAAAGATTTTCTCAACAAATTTCTATGAAATTTGTGAAACACTTTTTCACAGAAAATGTTCGGGAAATTTGATTTCAAATAGCTTATTTCGAAAAAAGACTTTTATTACAGGTTTTAAGGTATTTCATCTTTGAATCTAGCTAAAAACATACTTATTGCTAACTCTTTTCTCCTGTTCTTCTTTCACAGATTGCTCGTCGGACTCGTAGATTCTTTCAGCAAGTTCCGGATGCTCTTCAATCATTTTCTGTTCATAAGCGTCCGGTTGGAACTCATTTCCACTGTCACTCGTATCCTCCAACCCTTCTACCAAGTCTGGATGCGTTTCTTTCAAATCAATCGTAAACTTCTCGATGTCGAAATCGTCATTCATTCTTTTCTAGAAAAACCTTTTCTTTTTTATTCTAAATTTTTTTCAGTTTCAATCAAATACGCTCACTCAGAATTCCTTCACCATGAAAAATGAAGTACATCACACCAATTAAACTCTTTATTCGTAACAACACTCTCACACAAAAAGAAGCAAATCCAACCAACTAAAATTAATAGAGAAATAGCTGGAGTGCCTATAGTAATACGAGAAAAACCTTGCGATAAACGAAACAGCACTCCCCTTCGCCTCTGTTCTCAAACGAGGAGAATTGAAGGCTCCGGGATGTATGTGAGAGTACGCCAAGAAAATGAGAATCAACTAAACTTTCCAAAAAAAAGAAAAAGGACAGGAGAAAAGAGAGAGAGAGAGAGAACAGAATACGTTGCTCACTTGAGACAGAACGTTTCAAGACGCGCAGTATAACAGTTCGAAGGGATGAAAAGAGACGAACGGGACGACAAGGAGGAAGGAAAGAGAGGAGGAATGGACAGGGAAAAAGACAAAAAAGCTAAATATAAATAGAAGGTATCGTCCCGTTTCTAATGTGTGGATCCCAGAAAAAAAACAGGGATGAAAGGGTGATGCAAAGTGTGGGGGTGGGAGGTTTCGAAACTTCAACGATTCAGATGGTCAGCTTTGCAGTCTGTTCACTGCACGACTGTTCGAAGAGTGTATCGAAGGTGTAGGTGAAATAGCAGAAAGAAGGGAATAATGATCTGGCAGTTCCCGGAAACGAAATAATCAATGGGGATTCTATGGGATGATTCGAGACAACGGAGCCGGCCCAAGGGATACTCATGATACATGTCGTAAAAGAGGACACAAAATGATTATATTTTGGAGAAGGATACCATTAACATATGATGAATATTATTATGACTTGCATTGGGGTGGACAAGGATATTTGTAGACTAGAGGTGAAAAAAAACTCTGATCAACCACAACCGGATACGGGATACACATCAGAAACTGTTCCTGATCTTAAAGTAAAATAATGGAAAGAATAGAAAAGAAAAGCAATAAACTAAAATGAGAGTGTATGTGTGAAAGTTTGAATGAAACGTTTAACGATTCATCACCGAAGAGAAACCTGGAGGTGGAGGGACAACAGTAGACGATCGCAGACTGTTCTCTTGCGACCAACGACTTTCGTCCATAAATCTGACATTCACATTTGGTAGCAATGCCTTGAAAGCGTCTTGTGCTTCTCGGCCTTGTTGTGATGATTGATCAGGCATCATGTTATTTCCCATTCCAAACAATCCCATACTCTGTTGCTGAGAAATGTGTGATTGTTGTGGCTGCTGCTGCATCTGTGGTCTGTTCGTACTGGGAGCTCCGAGACCTGGTGGTGGAGCCATTCCAAATGGCACACGCGGACGCATCATATCATTGTACATATAGGAATTGAGTCCTGCATACATCTGCTGTTGTTGTGCCTGCTGTTGCTGCTGCTGCTGTTGTTGGTGATGTTGCTGCTGATTGAACAGCTCGTGCAGAAGGTTAGCTGACTGAGGCTGTTGTTGTTGCTGCTGTGAGGAATGATGTTGCATCTAGAAAATTAATTATTTGCATTAAAAAATTTCTTTGTAATAACTCACGTTTCCAAACGGACTGGAGAAATTCAGACTCTGGTCGTACTGTCTCTGCTGATGTTGTTGCTGCATTCTACTGTACAACAAGTCCTGTTGTCTGTGCATATCTGCTGCCATCTGCTGCTGCTGATGTTGCTGTTGTGCATGCAATTGATGCAGTAACGAATTCTCTTGATGTTGCTGCATGGAATGGTGGTGATGGTTCTGTTGTTGTTGCTGCTGCTGGTGATGGTGTTGCTGTTGTTGGTGATAATTCTGTTGGAACTGTTGGGTTGGTTGACGCTGCTCCGGCAACTGACCGAACAATCTGGAACTACGAATACTTAGTGGATGTTACCCTATTAATATAACTTACTGTCTCAACAAGTCATTTGTGTTTCCTGGTTGATGTCGCGGTGGGACCTGTTCCTGCTCTTCTCGTAGCAATGCAGTCAAGCCCTTCGATGATTCAGTGAATGGGTCGAAACCAAGATCATCATCTGAACTGAATTTACCAAGTCCTGGCGGAGGACTAGGTTCCCTTCTGAACGAGTTTGTATTTGTGTTTGTGTTTGAGGTTTGTGTGCCAAATAATGATTGCGAGTTGAAAGATTCCACGTTGAACGTCGGGAACAGAGAAGGCGGATCAATAGCGGTATCTGCTGAAGAGAAACCCAATAATGCTCCCCATTGCATAAGTGGTGCGGGTGCTTCTTGGTGTACTGCAGGTGCAGGAATTCCAGAGTGTAAATAATCGTGTTCTGATAACGATGTCCGGTCCAGCCGGTCCTCATTTACATCCAATCGAGAAATTAAATCGTTGACGTCACCCCTGAAATCATTCGATTCAGTTTTCCTAACTTGCTGCTCTTCGCTGTTTCTTACTCACCTATTAATATCTTCTTCAAATTCATTTTCATTTCCTTCTGGATCTGTAGGAGGTGTGTTACTAGGTGCGACTGAAGCTTCGTCTCGTTCCGACCATTGTCGTTCTCTGGCTGTTGCATTACTTCGTTTATTGCTGATAGTTTCATCTGCTGGATTTGAAGGAGCTGGATCGTCGATAGACTGAAATATATAAAGCTAGATGTTCCGTTTTCGCATAGAAATAGGGCTACATTGCTTGTATTCGTTGAGTCCCGATCGTCATCGAGTTCCTCTGTGCTGTTATGTGTCGCTGAACCTGAAAATTAGTTGAAAATGATTTCGTGAAACTCCTTTCAAAAAATCTTACCTGTTCGTTCAACGTCTGCACTGGGAATTTCTGAATGAGGCCGTCTGACTGGAGATGAATGTGTATTTACTCTGAAACAGTTGACTTTCTACTTTTATATCATATAGATAGGTCTTACGCTGGAGCGAGAATCTTGTCTAATTGTGATGCAAGTGATGATTGTGGTGGTGGTGCTTTGCTGCTCAGCGCATCAATTAACCGTTTCTCATATTCTGTGTGTTTTCCCAAGTGCATGTCTTCCTTTGTAAAACTTATTTCAGGTTCAGCATTCTCGTGTAAATACATACATTCCTAAAAGAAACGACATTACAATACATGCGGAGAATGGAGTAGTTACGAACACCAACCGGTTTGAAACACTTCCGACTAGTCAGAAATGAAGAACAGTATTTTGTCGTCCCAAGTGACGCCTTCACTAACCTACCGTCCAGCATTGAGTTGTGTACACCCTGAAAAAAGTAACAATCAGTTTACTGTGAAAAAGATGATCGGTGGTACGACGGATCGGACATTTTTCCAAATTTAAAAATTTACGGAATGAAAACTGTCCGAAAGTGGAATTGTCCTAAAGTAGAACTGTCCCGTTTCAGATCTGCAGCATAATAGGGGCGACGGAGAAAGCAGGCGACCGGCAAATCAATAAATGCAAAACACCAATTGATGACATAGGCTTCTTTTAACCCCTGTTTTGCGGTTTCAGATTGTAGACAAGGTTTTATAGAAGCATATTTCGATGTTTCAACTTTTAATTATTTTTAAAACGAGACTTATTACCTTGTATGTTTTGATGATCTTTTTATAAGCTTCAACGTCCCGAATTTTGTGAAGAGGCGTCTTTTTAGTCCTAAAATGAACACTCTCCGAAGGACAAAATACTCTAAAACAAACCGTTTTTGTGGACTACTCGAAGATTGGCCAAATGAGAGAACTTCGTTGATCGAGTCGGTGGCTTTTCGTTTTAAAACTGCAGCATGCCGATTGTTGGCCGAGTCGACCTCCATTATTGAATGCG